TTGAAGCTTGCGGTCACGTGGTCATTTCTCTCTCTCTCTCTCTCTCTCTCTCTCTCTCTCTCTCTCTCTCTCTCTGTCTCTCTCTGTGTGTGTGTGTGTGTGTGTGTGTGTGTTGAATACATGTATACGGGTTGACATTACCTATCTACATGTGTGCCTCGTAATTGCCACGAATCCGCTCGCAGACTATACAGATCAAGTATAAATACATACATTGATTGCCCACTGCTTCCCGTCTTCAGCTATAAGTGGTACTTGTACATGCATGTATATATACCCCAAAGATTCCTCCTCCCCATAACCACTAGATAGCAACATAGGTATTTCGCCAGTAACAAAACAAATCATTTGCCAAAGGGGGTTGGTTGTGAAGACGACGTCACATAACGCCGCCATCTTCCGAGAAAATGTCAGAAATGATGCTCTATAATTCAGAGTCACGGAACGTCCTTCAACCATCAAGCAGGTCGCTTAGCTCAGGTTAGTAGCCTCCCTAATTTACAAGCCAGCCTGCCGAAACCTGGATACTAACAAATCAATCACAGTTGGTTAGAGCGTGGTGCTAATAGCAAAATATCAAAAACTGCCAACGCCAAGGTCGCGACGGGGAGCCTCGTAGTGACCATTATCTTTTTTTCGATTTTTTCCCCCTTCTTTCGGGGTTCTTCTGTTCCTTCCCTTGTTTTTTTCTGGTTCCCATCCAGATCTTTTCCGACTCCAATGGGGGAGGTGGGTGGACGATTAAAAAAACGATGGGTAATCTATCTTCTATGAATACATTATGCGTTGTGTTGGCCGTCGCTGGGAGGGGGTCATGAATACCAGGTACTGTATCTCTGTTCCATCCAGTCACTCAGTCACCCCGTCAGTATCCACCACGAATTATCAAATATCTATCGGGAGTTTCCTTACTCACGTATTAACACTATCGCTAAAGTGTTGATTGGATTGATCAAAAATATTTGAAGACTCTGACCACGCTCAATCGCATATCCTCAGGGACAGAATGCCTCTCTACGAACGACGTATCACAACAACGTATGATCTGGTCGAGTACGGGTATCGCGTGAGTGTGAACATAAAAAGTTGCTATGACTGATTGAGTGATTGATTGATTGATTGGGTATATGCCCGTAAGGGATATCTATCCTTCATCACAAACCCTGATGGTTCCCTGTATCGTCGAGGGTAAAGCGATGTTCGTAACGTGGCCTGCCTCCATCGTGGGTGTCGTGCTAACGAGCGCCATATTCTTAGGCCTGACCTTCAGGCTTCCTGGTATCTGCACCTGTGTTCTAACGCCCTCCATTGTCCCAGACTGTCGTTACTCAATCATGAGCACAGGATCGCCATTCCATGGCCTGTAGTTGTTCAAAACTTGGTCTCTTTGTCCTTGATAGGAAAGTCCTTGCCAGTGGTCGATTTGTCTGCGGTGAGAGAGAGAGTCTCGTGTTAGTTCATCGACATGTCAGGTCGCAGGCAGGCACGAGAAGTGGGCACTGACATTGATTCCGAATAAAGTCACTGATCTGCTCGTCTTTGGCTTGCTCGATGGCAGACTCGTTGTCTTGAGGCCCTTGCCCGAGGAACTTCTCCTGAACAAAGTCGACTCCTACCGTCAAATGGTTTGGTTAGTATCCCATCACCAACAGGGGTTCGTGAAATACTGCCTCACCCTTGTCGAGGTAATCCTCATTCTTCTCGCTCTCCTTTCCTCCACCGGCCGCAGAGTTGAGCTTGTCACCCAGTCCGCCTAGGAAGTTACCGCTGCCAGTGCCACTCCCAGAGGCCTTTTGCTGACTGCCACCCTCTTTCTGCTGTTGCTCATTGTTGCCGCCGGTGAAGCTGCTAAGCGCACCCTTGAGTTGATCCATGGTTGCAAGAATGGGAATGGCAAGGTTGGAATCGATCTAGAGATGAGTGAATGGTCTGGAGATGCGTGTGTCAGGTTTGAACAACGGGAGATGAAAAAGAAAAAGGTGGGAGAGAAGAAAGAGAAATATAGAGGTTTATGGCTTCTTGGTGGGTCAAACGAGCGTCACCAAGTGAGCTGAAGGATACAGGTCACAGAATGCAGCCAAGCGGCTTGGTTGAGCAGGACAAGGGAGCTGTACGAGTAGAGATGGTGTGGAACTGCGACACGAGCATCTAAGAGGCAGAGGCCCAGTAACTCAAGGTTGGACGATCAGTGGAGAGACACAAGGGAAAGCTACACCGACTTGTACTTGGTACCAAGATGCAGGCAGTGGTGACTTTTGGTAAGGAGGAAGTGACAAGCAGCCACAGGGGGAGGGGCATTGGGTGGTCGCAGTCGATGACGTCAGCCACAGCCGGATCGGATTAACTTATTCGGAATCGCTTCGGCTGGGCAGCGACTTTGTTTTGGAGGCGCTACTTTGCACAGCCACAGCCACCAGTTCCTCCTAGACCTGCATTCTACTTAGTCCCCAGGACATTGCAAGCTGAAAATGCTGCAAGCCACAGCTCAATGGACCACCATGTCATGCATCTAACTGCACTAGCACTCCCACTGGCGCTGGGCCCCATCCTGACTATTCCCCCTTTGTCGCTGCATCATTTCTTCTTGCTCCATTTCCTTTTCCCAATCCTCTACAACCTCTTGCTGCTGTGCTTTCTTCCGCATCTTCTCTTCGTTCTCCTGCTTCTTCCTCTTGGCTTCAGCCAACCGACTACCCAACACCGTGTATACTGGTCGTTGACCGACGGGCTTGACCTGAGGCGCGACAGCAGGTGCTGCTCTCTTCGCCGCAACTTGAGACCATCCGTCCGTAAGTGACGGAATCGGTCTGCCTTGTTGCTGAAGGATCTTCGGCTCTAGATCCGAGGTGTCGAATTGACAGAGGACAACCGATGCACCGAGGCCATGCTTGGTTACCTCGCCGGCAATTGCGGGCTGCAGACTGGTAAGAAGACTGACCAGCTGTTCGGGAGTGTCAGAGGAGAGGGTGGGTAAAAGAGCTACGCCTTCATCGTTGGACAGAAAGATGATGTCGAACTCGATGGCGGGGGCGGACTTCTTGATAAGAGACCGCAATTCGTCCTCGGTCAGTGCAAATCGAGGCTTGCTCAACAACAACCCGTTGTAGTCGTGCTTAACTTCGTCTGCTTTTCGATCCGGCGTCGATTGCACAGGAGCGGACACGTTCAACTGTGCTCGCTTGATCCTGGCTGCCTGGGCTAGGGTTTTCATGGGAGCAGCGACAAATTTGGGAGTTTTGAATAAGACAACATGTCGATGTGGCTCTGGGTCCAAACTCTCCCCGTCCAACCCAAAATCTTCGGCAAGACTGTGGATGAAGGCTCGCTGCCGGCTTTTCATGGGTGGGAACGGATATCTCTTCTCCTTCTCGTCCGCCGCAAAGAGCCGTAGGGTTTCCTCTTGCTTGTGAGCCCATGCCACATCTTCCAGGTACATGTTGAGAGTGGTGGTCGAGTACGGGACGTGCTCGTCGGTGTGATCGTCAGGAATATGAAGAGCCAGCGCTAGTTTGCGATTCCTCTCCAACCTGGCGCACTCATCGTCACACTTGAGCGACGTTTGTCGACCAGGAGGCTCAGGCACATTCGCCCGCGAATTGCACCTGACCTCCTCCTTCTTGCGTTGGCAGTCGCACGTAATCATGACTTTGAATGGACATGGCTTGTCCTCTTTGCACGTCGCAGGAGCGTGACAGGGCTGCTCACATGGATGTCCACAGGTCTTCTTCGTCTTGCCACACTCTTGCTGGCATTGTTGATGGGCATCTTCACATTCGCCTGGCTTGTGGCAGGTCTTTCGGCAGGCATGGGAGCCGCACTTGAGCGGCTTTCCGCAGACCAGCCCGCACAATACATCGGCTCTCCAGCAGGGTTGATTTTTCAGAGTCTTCTTCCCGCAGAGACATTGCTTTTCGGTGAGAAATGGACACTTGGGGCATTCCTCCTCGTCCAAGTGGCAATTGTGCACAACCGGAGGGTGGCCACAATCTTTCACCCGGTTACACGGGAAATTACACGGCGGTGGACGAGTGCCGCATGGCAACGGCGCCTGGAGGATTGTCCTACCACAGCTGCATGAGATATCGTCAAAGATGGCTTCCCTGCAGCTGCCGCACGGCCCACGATGACAAAGATCTTGACAAACATGGTTTCCACACTTTAGATTGCGTCCGCATGGTCGAGTGCAAATGTGCTCTGCTTCGACATTCTCATCCAAAGCCCGCGTGACACTCCCCAACGGCTTGAGTTTTCGTTTGGTGGCTTGACGTTCAGATGCTTTGCGCTCTCCAGTGCAACATCTTTCACCACACTCGTGACGGCCACAGTTCAGAGTAGCCTTGCACAATCGCGAGCACTTGGGTGGTTCCTCGTTCGCTTCGTGGCAGATGACATCAAACGAATTACGACCGCATCGACATGGTTGGGAGATTTTGAGCGTGCAAGGACTGCATACTCCAGAATGACAAATCTGCTTGCATTTGTGACCGCATGATAACGATCTCCCGCATTCCTTTTCGCAGCTAGGGATTGGATCGGTACAGAGTCTTCGAAGGCCGTTCTCGAGGTCTGCCAGAGGAGTTTTACCACAGGGGCAGTGAGTAACGACGTCGACTGACTTCGGGCAATGTGGTATTGGCGCATCTTGGGGATGACATGACTTTTCGCAGTGATGAAGTCCGCAGTCCATGAGTCTGTCACATTGTTGACGACAGTCGAAGAAACCAATCCAGTCGCTGCTTGGCTTCTCCTCACCACGGTCTTTGCATAATATATTCTTTTCCACCTTTCCACAGTAGCATCTCGCGGGAATCTCAACCGTACAAGCGCCACAGAGACCTTCGTGACAGGGTCTTTGGCAAGTGTGCTCGCCACATGGCATGATGTCGCCACACACGCCACCGCAGCTCCAGCCTGTCTCGTAATTTGTCTCGACACATCGTCTCGCTGTTTCCTGCTTCCCACAGTAGCAGCTCTGCTTGGGGCCCATGGCAGTGCATGGTGGACATGGTCCTGCATGACAGAGGAGATCGCAAGGATGTGGACATGCTTTGGGGAATGTCCTCTCCCGGCCACACGTCTGCCCGCAAGAGTGAGGAGGGAGACCAGAGATATTCTTCGGATCTATTTCCTTCTCGCACCAGCAAGTGTATGCGGACGGGAAGGTGTCCTTTGGTAGATTGCAACCGGGACATCTCCACTGTTTTCCCGACTGCGTCTCCTCGTCGCTTTGTCCCGCAGAGCGAGGAACGGCCGAGCCCTCGTTTTTCGACCATCTCTTGATGCAGCCGATATGGAACACGGTCCAACATGTCCGGCACGACCAGACTTTTGAAGACCGACCGATCTCGTTGGTGCAGATTGCACACTCGTAGAGATTGTGGGAAATGTCCTCATGAATTCTGGTGGCGATGTCCGGAGCCGTCGATCGCGCGACCGACCCTTTCCGTCCCTGTGGCCGCTGCGGTGTTCGTGTGGATGTGCCCTTGTTACTAGGGTGAGGAGGACGAGCTTTTGAGTCGTTCGACTGCGTGCTCGATTGAGGAGGCGGTGGTAGAGAGGATGGGACGAAAGGCGGTGCTTCTGCGTGGAGTCGTGTGAGGCGTCCCCCGAAAGGTCTGCCCGCACTCTGTCTGACGGGGACTGTGGTTTCTGGTTGCGAGGGTGATGGCCTTCTGGGGCCACCGCCGTCTCTCCGTCTATGTCGTTGCCCTCTATTAGTACGGCTGTTGTTGTTCGGCGGGGTCTGTGTCTGCTGCACAGCTGGACCATCCATGGTGGTGGCACTGGACTGAGAGTGTTGGAGACGCCGTAATGTAGACAGGCTTCAGGCTGGAGCGCGGAAGCGAATGCGAGTATTTGGCGAGAGGTAGGGATAGGAGTTGGAAACAGAGAAGATCCACGCAAACAGGAATTGTACAATTACAAGCAGGTACGCGAATAAATCACCTCTGTATGTACCTGGTAGTTATGTGCGCAGCGTGCGGCTGGCAGCATCAACGCCTCTTCAACTTTTTCTGGCAAGTCGAACTTCACTTCTCCAAATTTCTGGCATCGGCACGTCACCAGCACCGCAAACTCCGCCTTTGACTCACCAGCGCCAAGAGAGTGCAAGGCTGACCAATCATAGTCATCTCGTCTCGTGTTCCAGACCTTCGTGTTTGCCTCGTTGTGGCTCCCATAGGCCACCATCAGCGATGTTGGACACTTCTACGCTCTTGTCAAGGGAAAAGATGACTCTTGTGTCCAGGTCCGTGTCCGTAAGAGGGATTTTATTTCTCTTGGGAATATTCATGGCCCACCGTGTGTAATTGCCCTGCATTGGAGTGCTCCGTCCTAAACTGAACGCCGTGCACCGGTCATGCTTGTATGCATTACCTCCCCCTAATTGACTTGCGTACCATATCCTCGAATCTGATCGGCAAACGCCCAGCTTTGATTCTCTAGCTTCTCATCCTCCTTGAGCTCGACTCCCTCTTTGGTCACCACTGCAATGCTGTACTTGTCCAAGCTCCTGGCGTCGCGGTAGAACAGTACTTTCATGCACTCCTTGACCGCGTCAATGGCCATCTCCTTGGTCACATCCTTGACACTCTCTTCATCGTGTGGCATTAGTTTTCGTAACAAAGGCAGTGCCAGATGTGCGCCAAACCCGGTCGCCAGCGTTGGAGCCGAGAAAGTTGTACCCAGCAAATCCGCACTGGCCAAGAACGGCTTCTCATCTTCATCCAACCCCGCAACAAGCATCATGTTCCATAACGGATCAAACTCGCTTCTCCTCTTGTACATGACCTTGGAAAGGTAAATGTGAAGATTTCGTGCGTTCAGCGTGTGCCCGGTGGCCGACAGGTAGTTTTCTCGAATGTCCAGCGACTGCAATAGCCGGTCGAGATACTGCATGTCTGAGACGTCGCCACCGAAGCCAACCACAGTATTCGGAGGGAACGTTCGCAGACGTTTAACATCTGTGAACCTCGCGAGGGAGCCGTAGGACGCTGACAAGAATGTGTTAGCCCTATCAACGGTGAATGCGCTGCAGCTGTGGTAAACATACCGAGATTATCAGCTGCCACCACAACGCCGTCCTTGAATTTGACTCCCAGTACCGACGTTCCTGTTACTGCGGGAGATTGCGTATGCGTCTGAGGCATCGAGGTCTGGAGGTGTGAGGAATCGTAGGGACCGTATACATCATCTCGGGGCTGTTGAAGGTTAGCATTGTTGCGGTTGCCTGCAAAAGGGTAATACGAACTCGACCCCATGCCTGAGGATAGTGATTCATCGCGGCAGATAACAGGTGAGGAAGTGCGAAGAGCTGAAGAAAGAATTCAAGAGCAGGAAAAGGTGGAGGATATGAGAGCCGTGACTACCAAGTATGGTCATTGAGGGAGCCGCGTCAAGATGTGCAGCCTTGCGGTGTTGAAGCTCGGCAGAGCTGCCGAAAGTGGAAACGCATCTCATAGCAGCCGTAGTATGCCAGCAGGCCAGATACCGAAGAATTGGCCAACACCTCCCTGCTCAATGAAGAAAATTTGTATCTCAGTTACATCAAACTTGATACCAACTAATAAGGCAAAGTCAAGCCATGGTACCGCTTATCATGGGGTATCGTATTCTATGCCCAAAGCAATAATGCTGGGCTTCAATTATATCCAGGCAGCCTGGCTATCTCGCTGGGCCACCCCCCTGTTATGTATACATGCCCATCTCTTGCCTATGCATCTCATCTTCATCCTGCAAAAGATGTTCGGGGGTCGTACTACCACGGGAAGGTAACGGGGGCCGTATCTGTTCCTGCACATCCTCGGTTTCACTCTCTAGCTCAGAGGGGGCCAGGTTAAGGGATTCTGTGATTGATGGTGCAGCTGGCTCGTCGTTCTCGCTGCCGTTGTCTGGTAGGGAGGGTTGAGATGACTCATTGGCCGGTGCTGCGGGCTCCTCATGACCAAAAAAGTCGTCATGATGTTCATCATGAGCTGTGCTCGTGGGTGATTCCATCGGAGCTTCAACCACAAACACTTCATCCTCTGCACCATCCTCAGGCTGCGCAGAGCTCGTTCTCTTGCGCCTTTCCGGAAGAGGTGGTTTTGGTGACGACTTGGCCGATATCGACTCGTGCGATCCATCTGTCTCGGGGCGCTTCGGTAACAATGGAGGTGGCACCGCTTTCCGCTTCGGTGCCAGGAATGAGTTTGGCCGGATTTTCTCAGGGGGAGGCAGTGGAACTCCAGGAGGTGGAAGTGGCCTTCCACGCCCCATTGGCTCTCGCGGAGTAGGAGGACTTCCCGATCCGCCACCTGAAGTTCCCTGCATTGCCGCTTGTTGGGCGTCTCGTTGTCGATTTCTTGCGAGCACGCCCCAGCCCCATTTCTGCGCCGCGGCAGCAGCAGCATTAACAGATGCCAATGCTTGTTTCCTATCCGCAGCAGTCAAAGATCTCGCACCGAGTGCGAAGCTTTTCAGGGGCTTGTTTTTCTCCTGCGCTGAGGCAGGCCTGCTGTCCTTTTGATCGACAGAATCGATTGTTTGGGTTGAGGACCGGCTTGCATTGGTCAGGGGCCTGGGCAGGGAGGAGGGTCTTGGACCGTTGTGGTCATCCTCCTCCGACACGCCTGAAGCGTTGCTTGACGACCGCCCCTTCAACGCTGCCGCCATCGCAGACTCTACAGAAGGGGATGCCGCTGGAGAACCCAGTTCTGACCCGTTTCCGGAAACTGACCTGGAAGATAGATCTTTCAGAATTGTGGCAACGCTTTCTCTGTGCATCGGCTGATCTACGCCACGAGTGGGTGTGTTCGCATCGGCATGGTTCGTAGTGATGGTGGGATCTGCAGCGCTGGCAAACGATGTTGATCGCATCAATCTGGGTGTCGTTGAGTCGGCCTTTTCCGTTGTTTCCGACTTTTTCTTACCAAACAGGTCGTTCAAGGAAGCCATGGATTTCTTCGCGGAATTGTTCTTGCCCACGCCGTTGGTCTCAACCAAAACCGGCATACTCATGACCCTATCGTCCTTCGATAGCTCTGCCGGTGTGTCCGTTCCAGAGCCACCAGTTTCAATCACATCCTCAGGTTCCTCGTCTGGGATCTCGGTGGTAGTCGTAGATGTGGGCTCCGTCTTCCAGATGCCACCGCGATATTTCTGATGTCTCGTGTCGAAGAACGGTACGTCGTCCCAGAATGGATGTACAATACTCTCCGCTACCACCTCTCGGATCCTGCTTTCGATCGCCCTCAGAATGAAAGTGTATGTGATTTGCCGGGTACTGACAATGGGTTCGATATCGAGTTCCAGATGGGGCATCTTCTCGAATGTGAACCAGAATCGGTTACTGGGAGGCGGCTTACACCTGACCAAGAGATGGCCCTGCAGTGTTTTGCACGTCACTGCCAGCACCATGTCGACTTCTCGGGCTTTGAAGCGTGTACCCAGATCAATGCGCGCGGTAGCTGCGATTTCGATCCTAAGCCTTCCTGTATAATCGACGTCGGCCTCGACAGTGCAATCACCATCCACCGTCAAGTCTTTCAGTCTCGGATTTTTGAAGAAGGGTGCGCCGGTGCCCAGGTCAATTTTCCGCAAACCCAGCTTGGTGATGAAAGTGGGCTTTCTCACCCTCGAAATCTTCTTGGTGAGCTTCTCGCGGATGAACCCTTCCAGCTCTGGGGTCTTGTACATGGCCAGGAACACGCGGCCGATCATGGCATTGAGCCATCTTGTCTGCAAATGCTCCTCTGACGAGTGTAATTTCTGTACCAGTAACACAATGTGCTCGACATCGAACAGTTGCGGGCCTGGTGGTTCTTCGGTGCTGCTTTTCTCTTGGTTCTTGAGAATGGCATCGTAGAAATCTTCTTTGTCCGACTGGCTCTGCCCAAAGAGAAAGAATGGTAGCGAAGTTGCTTTGTCTCCCACTTGGGTCTTTTTCCTCCTCAATCTGATGGCATTTCGCTTGATCCACAGTTCCCCCTCTGGGATTTCTTCCCCGCCCGCATAGACATCGACGTCGTGGTAATCGAGGGAGATGACATAGCGGACCTCCAACTGCTGTATATCATCGTAAAGCATCAGATGTCCGTGCCTAGCTTGATCAGTCAGGCTCCATCCTCCAGACAGGTGGCTCCTGCATTTGTAACCCACCTCAAGACCACATAGAAGACATTATTTGTTTTTCTGACGTTCTTCCCCGCCCCGTCTTTGTTGGGTTCTATGGTTGGTTTCTGCGACCGGTCGAATATGCTGCGGTACATGCTCTGGTAGACGCTGGGCGACTCCTGGACGGCCAAGTCGCCCGCAGGTGTCAGCTTGTCCGGCGGTTTGCCAGGGACACCACCCGGCACATATTCTCTGCAGACGGCGAAGTAGCCGGCGGCGACGTCAGAGTCGTGTTTGCGGTGGAACTGCTCGGCCAGGTCGTCGGTCCCGGTCTTGAATGCAATCTTGTCATCTTCGGGGCGGAGTAGTTGTGCAGGATCGTCGCTGGACTTGGGCTTCTCCGTCTTCACTTCCGGCGGAGGGAGCGTGTAGTAGGCATAGAGGAGGACGAGGGCAATCAGAAGCGGCACGAAGGTGAGACCACCAAGGATGTAGACGAAGAGGAACCATTTGAATGGACCCATTTGCTAGGCAGCGCATCGAAGACACGCTGCTCCTGGGGGGGCGCACAATCAAGCGGGAGCCATGAGGGAAAATGCGATACAAGGAGATCAAGCTGCCACAGCGTGACCAAGCTGTTGCACAGTAACTCCTCAGGGAGTGCAGTTGGGACGAATGAAATGTCGGTGCAGGGAGTTTTGGAATCCGGGTTGCATGTTGAGTGTTGCCGCCTCCTCACTATTTACCGCGCACCCACGACGCCCAGCGAATCGAGTGACGTATTCGCACCATGCAGTTTGAGTTGCCGCCGAGGCTCCGCAAACCTTCCAACGGCGCAGTCTATGTGTTGACAAACCACCCTACATATATCATTTGCAACATAACCACTCCGGCATAGACATGAATCCTATCGACTTGAGAACCGCGATCAATCTTTCGAAATCAATAGAGCAGGTGGTACTGCGTGATGCCAACATTATGGAAGAGAACAGACCAATCGCAGCTGGTCTTATGACGAGGCTGAACAAGGCTGCCGCACAGATTGGGGGGAGGACTTCAGGATCCAGAATCTCAACGTGCCTGGTAGAGGTTGTGCTCCCTATGAATGTGCGCATATATCAGAAGCTAAACGTGTCTCATATGGGTCACAGCAATTAATATGCGCTTCTATATTGCTCCTACTCCACTGAACATGGACATATCGTATGGCGACGAGTTCCCCAGCTCGAGCAGGGTCCAGTTTTCAAGAATTGAACCCCCAGAGAGCCAGTCCAGATTCTCGGCTTCGGCAACTGAAGTCTCCCTGCATTGGTTGCTCAGTAGAGTACCACTGTCATCGTCAATTCTAGCGGGTGCATTGTTCTCGGGTAGAGGGTTATGTTGTCTGCTGATCTGCGATGATGCATTTTGCCTCGAGTACTCGCCTGACATAGTCGAATTACGTTGTCGCGACGATAAATGCTCATCTGCTGATCTGTCAAGCATCCTCTTGACCTGAAATGCTAGGTTTTGGTAGGGATGTGTCTCCAACAGGCCAATGACGGACCTGACCCGTCTCTCTGTCCGAGATTTTTCCAAATACGTCGGCCACCGCTGCGCGAGTTGAAGGGCTAGAACTACTGCTGGGCCATCAGAACTCTCCAAAGCAAGAGAAGGAAAGGACTTTCGGCCAATACTGACCTACGAATGTGAGCATCAAGGCGGAATACGTAGGTGCCCATCGGAAATGCCATCTGTAGGATTTCGAGTGTTCGATGAGACAGAGCTGATCAGATACGGTCTCAGCAGTTCGACGGACAATTTCATCCATGGTCGGCAGCATGTATGTGTCTATATTCTTGTGTAATCTACCAAGGATAGTACAGCAGATTGTGATGGCTGAATAGTTCTTCTGGGTCCGTAGGCTGATTCGATTAAGCGAGTCCTCGTTCACATTGTATGCTAAACCATGTCAGTGCATCAAAACGAGGCTTCCACGCAGTACCAAGGGCGGCATAGCCAAAGAGTTCGTCTAATCCCGTAGAGTGGAGTGGGAATACCTTTGAACCGGCCGTCCCAGTATTGGAACCATTCTTGAGCCTTCCGCTCAAATTCTCGTGGCGCGCTCTCAGAAATGGCAGATAGTGAAGTGGTATTTTCGATTTGGCGCTGAATATCACCTAGAGAAGTGTGTTAGATGGCTCATTGTGGGAATAAACGCTATCACTTACTGCGAAGTTGCACAATCTCGACAGTAGCTACGAATCTCATGTCACTGGGATAGGAGACAGGAAGATCCAAATAATGCCTCAGTAACGCCGTGTCAAGTTGACGAATGCGTGGTTTCCTTGCAGTCCCGACTGCAAGCTCGCGCTCAATGTGATATAAGATGAGCCACGTACGGGCTCTGCGACTGCCACTGTGGAAGTGTGCTCGATCAGTTGTCAAGGAGTCTGCACTGAGCAGCTCATCAAGTGCATAGTCCAAGCCCAATTCCAGGGCCATTTCGTGAGCATGTCCAATTGCGAACCAACTCTTCTCCGCGTTTGCTGCCAGTAGTGTCATCGCCTGCACACTCTCGAGCGTGGGGCTCTCGAAGATACTGTCGCATACCTGGCGACGAGCCTCTTGTAGACAAGCTTCTCGTACTGTTTTCTGCAGGTCCGTGGTGACTTTGTGCACGATCCCTGATTTCTGTTTCAGCGCGATGAACAGAATTGCAATCAGGCAAAAAGGCGAACGGGCTCGGATAGAGTCGAAGGTATCCACGACGGGATCGAACATGGGAAGATACGGATTACCCCCTTCAAAATAGCTAACTCAGGAACAGGTCAACGGCGGCATCTTCCCGAATGAACACGGAATGCTTACGATGCGAAGAGAAGTCGTGCCTGGGACTCATCCTTGAAGATGTCCAACACGACGTCTGATGTTTCAACAGATGAAGGTGCCGATACTTCTGTCAATGCTGGCTCGGTTTGACCATAATGGATGCTACCGTCGTCGAGGCCCGCTGAATGAAGAGCCTTTTCTGAGGCAGGAGACATGGAGCCCATGGACTGAACAGCGGTAACCGGAGCATTCAAGTGCTGATAATGCATGTAGTCAATCTCGGGCTCTGCTTCAGAACTCTCTCGCTCTTGCACGGTTCGGCCATTGTCCGGGACAACAGGAGGGACACTGAACGCTGAAGCTGATGGGGTAGGTTGCTCGGTGTTGAGCAATCGGCCAGATCTAGAAATGTCCGTTGTGTGATCTTGCTTTTCCCTCTGTGTAGGGGTGAAAGACTGCAAGATGAGAGTCTGGGTGTCTTCATTTGGAAGCGAGTCGCTGTCATTAACGGGAGGCCTGGACAATTCTGGGCTCCGTAGAGAACTCGAATCATCAGCCGGGATCCCTTTTGCAGCCTGTGAAACAGACTTGAGCTCTTGTCTCAACTTCTGGATCTCATCTTCCAATTCTACCAGTCTAGCAGTAAAGACAGAGTCAGCGTGGTACGGATACAGTTGGTTGGGACCATTGGACATACTTTCTCTTCTGTGCCCCTCCCACGATACCGGTCGCCGTTGCCTTTCTGTCTTCAAAAACACAAGGGAGGCCTGCATTGATACAACGTGGGCAAGGTGACTCCGGGCTTCCTGTGCATCTCATTTTTTGTCGCCGGCAAGTCCGGCACGCTTTGAGCCTGCGCCGAGGGCCTGGTTCCATTGTTGATCGTAGTACTGCTTGTGCTGACTACCCAGTCCGAAGGGACCGGCGTTATTGTTTCAGGACAATGTGGGAGACTCAAGGTTGGGGAACAAAGTTGTCCCTCGTCCAGACAACGTGATATCGCCCCAAGTTCGAGTTTCCCCCAGTAAGCTTGGCCCGGTAAATCAACATGTCCGGACCATCGATTTCCACCCGGCCCCGGCATTGGTATTTTCCGGTTTTAATGCTATCAGATCATGGTTATCCAACCTCTGTTACCTCCTGGTCTACAACGCGATTCGAACTGGCTGGCCCGAAACAGGCCCAGCATGGCAGCCCTTGGCAGGAAATTCGGTGTTCTGTTTATCGGGGCAGTATGTAGCCTCATATGTTGTTGGGAGACGAGACTGAGAGCCTTGCATATAGGGAAACATCACTTTCGGCAATGACAACGTTCTTTGGAATCACTCGTTACGGATCGAAGCATACCTGGGTGCGAGACTCGATGTCGTTGGAATCATCGATCCTTCTGCAGAACGTGTCAAACAAGTTCTCTCCCAGAAGTCAACGTCGGCAGCAGCGACATGCTATGCACATACAAAGCATTTTCTCACTCTACAAGAGGCCCAGGAGAAGTTGGCGCAAATGAAGATTCATCCGGATCTCATGCTGCTGGCGACACCGCCTCATTTTCGGGGAACCATGCAGCATGGTCGTGATCTTGAGGTACAAGTCGTTTCTGCGTTTGGTTCTGCCCTGGCACTGTTTGTTGAGAAGCCTGTATCAACTGCCCGACCTCTCGAAGTCTGGTCAGTTGCCAAAATACTTCAACAATCAGGAAATAAGGTCGCAGTCGGCTATATGCTTCGGTATCTCAAGGTTGTGCAGAAAGCCATGTCTATTCTCCACGACAACAACGTCAAGGTAATGGCTGTAAATGCTCGATATAGCATGGCTTATTCGAAAGTGAGAAAGACGGACTGGTGGAACAAGGCGAAGCAGTGTGGCCCAATTGTCGAGCAAGCAACACATTTTTGCGACCTCTGCCGATATCTTGGTGGAGAGGTTGACCTCGCCACCGTCAGAGCTTGCGCACTGGAGCACTATGAGCCTGCTGGACAGCTCTCTAGCATGCTTGTGGACGAGTCGCAAATACCAACTGATGAACGAATTCCTCGCGTGACTGCGGCATTCTGGTATGTGCTCTAGTAGAAGAACCTCAACTCTCATGCGGCACCCGGCTGATAGAAAGCAGGAAATATCAGGGCGGAGCGGTTGGATCGCTTATGCACATCGTCGCACTGCATGGTATTCGGTACTCGAACGAGATCGTCGTTGCTGGGGATGGCTTCCAGCTTCGTCTAGTTGACCTATACAGCGCTCCCACTCTTTACGTGAGGTAAGTTGCCGTATACGAGATTTGACGAAATGATTTACAAGGCATGATCCGTACAGGATCCGGAGCTCTGATGAGGCATGAGGAGTTGTACAACATCTGACATTGAATTCTTATAGAACCCCGATTTCGGAACAAGAAGAATCATTCACCTTCATCAATGACGACCCATTCTATTCGGAATTTGCAGGCTTGCTAGGCTCCCTCGGTGCTGTTCCTTGCCCGGAAGCTGTAAAAAATGCCAGAAGCGAAGAACAGGGCTTTTTCGCTCCCTCGGACGGAATCCTGTCATCGTACGAGGATGCTTGCAAGACCTACGAGTTCACGTGGAGAATTCGAGATGAGAGCGAGAAGTCAAGCCAACTGTTTCGCGAAATGTGACCGAGTCACTATTGTAGTCACACCAAAAGCTCTATACACCGTATGATATGCTCTAGTTCTGTTCCACTGTGTATTTCTGACCGCCATTTCGACCTTGGCATAATGTCTCGATCTCCAGTGCAACGAGCCTAGTATTGGAAGGTTTTCCTCAAGTGTGTTGCCACAGCGTTGACACGGCCAGATTCGACTGTCAGGAAGTCGAATCACCACACAAAGTAGAGCGTTGGCAGCGTACCCTTCACCCTCTAAGGGTGCGTCACGAGCTGTAGAAAATTCGAAGGGGAAATTGACTAGCTGTGGCGACAATAGCCATAGGCGGCGGACTGCTGTCAATCCGTGACCAGGAACTCGCGTCAAGGTGCCGCCAGGCACATAGGGCAGTTGGGGCCGCCTCTCCTTGAATTAGAGACACACATCCAGCACCGACGGTAACCGAAAAATGGCATGATCTTTCCATCCATGAACAAACCTATTCGATGACTTGGCTCATAAGTAAATGAGCTAATGTTGGCGGCGGCTTTTACGTCCATGCCGCCGCCGACACTTCAAAAATACACTCTGCCGTCTTTGGAAGAGAAACAAATGGCAGGCGAGGTTGCGGAGTTTTCGTTTCGTCGTGCGGTATGGAAAGGGCTGGGATGCAAAGAAATAATTAGTAAACCCCACTTGACCCCGGAGGTTTTGTAAAGCGGCACCGGCGGACCGCCTGTGGGGAAATCCAGACCGCCGCTAAGCCAAACAGAGGAGTATGCATATTGCCTTGTTCGTCAAGCCCCGCAAGGCTGATAAACTGGGGCTGTATCGCCTGTGGGTACCCTAGCCCCTAACAGCTCTAGTTATATAGTACTCATGCTCGTGGACGCTCGCCAAGGAGAACCACTCCATGACAAGATGTTAGGCGCTATTCACTTCAGCTATCGTGAGTGTGGCACTAAGGTGACGAATTCTCTTTCACCAAGACCCGTGTCTGGTACTCAATACGGAGTTCTTCCGACATGGCCAAAAATCTCACGCAACCCCCGGCCGTCCTACCCCGTGGGGTCTGGACTATCCGACCGGCTGGAAATTGACAGGGCCGGTTTGGAAAAGGCATGTATGCTTGGTTTGGATCAGCCACCCAACATGACCAACGCACATAAGTGCGCTCTCTGTCCCGTCCAGGCCCATGACCGTTCTTCTACCAAACGACATTCTTCTGGCAAAAGAGCTCGTTGGACTTATTCATCTTTTAGATAGTTGCACTTCAACATGGCCGAAAAGCTTCCGTCCGAGAAGGTCGAGCAGGCCTCCCACGACGAGAAAGGGCGTACCCCATCTGCAGGACATATTGCGCTCGAAACGATCAGGGACAATAGCACGGCAAGGTATGGCGACGCCATGACACTGGAAGTTGCTTGGTGACCAGTCGCTGACCCTATATACACAGGCTGGTCAATCCTCTGGCCGGAATTTCAAAAGACGATCTGATGCACCAAGTCGAGCGCTTTGCCATGGACAAGGATCTCCTCGACATACTTCCTGTCCTGAAGAAAGGTGCCTACGTCGCCCAGGAAGCGGTGCCGTTGGAAGAAATCGAAGAACTCGACGTCGACGAGCTCGAGGCTCTCCAACATGAAGTCAAGCACAGGTGGACGCATCCATTCGCTCTCTACGCCACCGTGTTTGTCTGCTCCATCGGGGCGGCAGTACAGTAGGTTCTACAGTAAAAGTCCAGCACTGGGCAACACAAGGCTGACGCACCAAAAGGGGCTGGGACCAGACGGGGTCGAATGGCGCCAATCTGACGTTTCCGGTCGAGTTTGGCATCGCCTCTGGCTCCAATAGGGACTATTGGCTGGTCGGCCTGGTAAACGCTGCGCCTTATATCTCCTCTGCTTTCCTGTGAGTTGTAGGACGCTCCATGACCGAGCAGGATGTACTGACATGGTGAAGTGGATGCTGGCTGTCTGACCCGTTCAACAACCTTCTTGGCCGCCGTGGTGCGACTTTCCTCGCGGCCATCTTCTGCATTTTGACGCCAATTGGGGGTGCGCTGTCGCAGAACTGGCATCAACTACTTGTCACCAGGCTCCTGATGGGTTTCGGAATGGGTCTCAAAGGTGATTTTGCCGCCCGGTTTTCCTCATGTCGGTGCCAGTCTGGCTGACTTTCCTCTCTCCGAGCAGCTGCGACGATCCCCATGTACGCTGCCGAGAACTCCCCAGCTGTTATTCGAGGTGCCCTGGTCATGGGGTGGCAGATGTGGACGGCTTTCGGGATATTTCTCGGCTTTGCAGCCAACCTCGCCGTCTACCGAGTTGGGAAAATCGCGTGGAGACTCCAGATTGGATCTGCCTTCATCCCTGCAGTGCCACTCGCCCTTCTTGTCTACTTCTGTCCAGGTACAGTTATCCGTACATCGCTCTTCTGGCCCGCCGCTAATAGAGACCGTTAGAGTCTCCTCGTTGGTTGATGAAAAAGAACCGGTACAGGAAAGCATTCGAGTCGCTCTGCCGTCTGAGGCGTCACAGAATACAAGCTGCACGCGACCTCTACTACGTCCACGCTCAGCTGGTGATCGAATACGAGATGGCAGCTGCGTCGACCTACCTCATCCGACTGCGTGAGCTCGCCACGGTCCCTCGTATTCGAAGAAGTGGCATAGCAGCCCTGGTCGTGTTCATGGGTCAGCAATTCTGCGGTGAGTTCTAGCCTCTCTCCTAATTGAGAACGCTGTCCATGTTTTTTGAGACGAAACGAGGTCTCCGCTCTTTCAGGGGGGGTGCCTATTCTAAATTTTGGTCCATTGAAACAAACAGTCCCCGTTTCTGAAGCTGATCATCTTTGCTACAGGAATGAACATCATTGCCTTCTACTCGTCCACTGTCTTTGTTCAAGCTGGCGCCTCCGAGCACACAGCACTGCTGACGTCGTTGGGGTACGGGATCGTCAACTTTGTCTTTGCCATACCGGCAATCTTTCTCATTGATAGGTTTGGTCGAAGGTACGAATGACCCGCTCATCGCGAATTCGGGATTCAAAGGATTGACCTCTGGGATTCTAGATCTCTCCTTCTCTCGACCTTCCCACACATGGCCTGGACACTCCTTGCCGCCGGCTTCTGCTTCTATATCCCCGAATCCAGCAAGGCACATGTCGGCATGATCGCCCTCTTCATCTACGCATTCACCGCTCTCTACTCCGTCGGTCAAGGTATATATATATATTTATATCCAACCCTGCCTTCTCTCCTCTCCTCCTTTCGGCATTTTTGAAATCGTATGGCTGCAATCACTCTTCTGACACTTTTTCTGACCAGGACCTGTCGCTTTCGTGTATTCTGCTGAAGCCTTCCCACTGTCGCACAGGGAGATCGGCAACAGCTGGGCGGTTTCGGCGACATTTGCGCTGTCCTCGGCTCTATCGTTGACGTTTCCCCTGATGTTGAGCACCTTCACCGCAACAGGTGCATTTGGTTTCTATGCGTAAGGCTCCCACCTAACATCCTCGCACACACTCTGACCCAAAAGAATTAATTTGCTGACGATGTCCTTGCAGTGGCATGAACGTGTTTGTTTTCATCTTGATGTTCCTCTTCGTGCCCGACACGAGTGGCTACACGCTCGAAGAGCTCGACTACGTCTTTGCGGTGCCGACGAGACGCTTCATCAGCTATCAAATCCGAAAGGTGCGTGACGGCCTCTCCATGAATAGTATCAAAAACTTGTTCTTTCTGACTTCTGCTCTGTTAGGTGCTTCCATGGGCGTTGCGAAGGTACCTTCTCTTCAGGCGCGGAGAGCACTTGGAGCCGCTCTACCAGTTTCAACGCAGTGGCCGACAAGTTCATCGAGATACCACGGTTGAATGAGGTGTCAATTTGCAGTCAGGAATGCGTGTTGCCGCCTGAGCGCAGTCAACAAGATTCCTCATCGCATGACGAGGGCCTAAGCTCCGGACATGGCTACAAGGCGCGAGAAGTGTGTTTCAAGGTTATTTTTGAGGACGAGAGCACATCTTACTACAACAGGTTCAAAGGACTGTGGCCCATGAAACAGGAGACAGCATAGTTGGGCTCAAGGTCACTTGAAGAGATTTACAGCAACCACGTATTTGTTTGGGAGGCGAGGAACACAAGATCGCGCAGAGTTCGAGAAAGATTTGTCTGCATACCTCTGTATCTGGAATCCATTACTCCGCAGACCATGACCAGTCTCGTTGGAGATATGGGAGAACTGTTTCTTTGTACGCACTCTGCAGGACCAAGGGCCAGATGTCTACTTGAAGTGGACATTCTCAATGTATTGGGCTATGGCTTCTTCCTGCATTGACAGAAAGATTCGTGTGATCGCTTTCCAACAGATCAACACTCTTTTTCTTTTTTCTTTTCTTTCCTTTTACTCTTTGCTGTGTTCTCTTTGTCCCCTTTTCTTGTTTTCCCTGTTGTTGTGGTTGTTTTCTCTTGACTTTTTCCCCTTTTCTTTTTCGTTTTCGACGTTTCTCTTGGTTTTTTTGGGGGATGATCCATCGCTCGTCAAGACCAGGCAGGGTTATGAATGACTCGAAACAGTGCTTTCGTTCTTGGCTGGCTCCTCTTCCTCCCGTCACAACTTCAGAGTATCACCGACCTCAATTTTCGTGTCGAATATCGCGCCGTAGGAGGCATTTCACCGGTATGATCCGACCGCCTTCACAGGGTGAGAGAAGTAAGCTGTCGGTCGATCCGGTTCTCGTCGAAATGGGGCTTTTGGAGTTCTGCGATACCGGCAGCGGTAAATCCGAGAACACTGTTGTATTTGAGATTGTTGCTGGATTCTCCTTGAACTACACAACGGTCAGTTGCTTACATTTCGCAGGGAATGACAGCTCAGATACGGGCATAGACTCACATATTCCAACGACACGAGCTCCCCAAACACCAGAGTTCTTCTCGATTCTGCACACCATCCCTCCACTGCATCCCCAGAAGCCAGGAATATCGCAATCCCAATTCTCGGTGAGCTTGCCATCTTTGTACCAAAGTGCAGGAGAACTCCCGTTCTGTTTCGCAATGACCCTACCAACCGCTATGCTTCGAGTTTCCGATATGAAGGTATAATCATAATTCTAGAGGGCAAGTCAGTATAGAGCGACCTTAAGGGCTGTGGCAAATACTTGCAGGTGGCGGGCCCAGGAGTGTCTGGGGGACGTGGGCATTTCTGACTTCGTGCCCCATAAATTCGCAAGCATCGTTGATGTTTAGTGCTTTTGACTTGCGTTTGAGCTGGTCAGGCAATGACGCGTCACGTGTCTCCACTCTCTTCCTCGGATAATATGCGGCGAAGTGGTCCATGGATAACATGTTATTCCCGAAAGATAGTGGTTGTAACAGGCCAGGGTCGATGGAGTGTTTGGGAGGAAAAGGTATGTGCTTGTTTTCAGCGGCTTGAGGGTTCAAGACAAAGACGGCAAGGTCTGAGGCTCTGCAGAAGGTCGACAAGCGAACAGGGTACGCAGGCCCAACTTGAGAAAGTTAGTAATGTATGTCACATTTATCCGCTCATCTGTTGCTCACAATCGTCATCAATCTCCCGTGAAAGGTTTGCTGTCGAAACACGTGCTTGCGCCAGACATGGATCGCACAAACGCTTCACCGTCTCGTCCACGTGCGTGTTGGGAAGTATTTGTAGAAGGTGTGCACAAGTCACGAATTTTCCCCCATGCAGCCATAATCCTGACATTTCGACTTCCTTGGGGGTCAGTGGACGGGATTTACCGGAAATGCAGAACACGTCGCAGTACAGCTTTCCAGCAGCGAGCGCGAATTGGCCGATGAGTTTTAGAGCCTAGAGAGGTTAGCATAAATTCATAATGTTTTGCGTTGCGGAAGCGCAGGGCACAGACCGCATCAAGTTCTTGCGGGTCGTCTGCGAGATGCTCCAACTGTCGGGAATAGCCTTTATCTCTCACTCTCACTTCTCCATTGTCGAGAACTTCAAAGGTTCGGCGCCATCGCTGCCGGCTTTCATCCCAGGAAGGTCCCCCCATTGAGTCGCTTGCAGGAGGAGGGGGTTCTGCAGGTCCACCCCAGCTGGGAAAAAGAAGAGGTCTTCGTTCCTCGAGGATGAGATCCAATTCGGTCTGCGAGAGCCCTTCTATTGCGACAAGTCAGTGGTAGATGAGCAAGAAGTATGTAGGGCTGAACAAAATACCTGAACCAAAGGATGAATGTTCATTTTCACAACGTGCGGTTTGCGCAAGACCGCTCCGCAGCGGTTGCGCACCAACCATGGTGAACGCTCAGCAGGAGGAACGCGACTCTCACAAGTGGTTCTTCTCCTCTGTCCGCGACTCTTGTGAGTATGGACGCTCAGATCAGGTCTATTTGTCTTCTCGTAGTACCAGAGATGGCAAGAATAAGAAGAACCAGAAAGTGCAACTGTGAACCGCTCAGTGCATTTTCACTTTCGTCTTTGTGAAAGAGGTGGATAAAGGCGCGACAAGGTTAGCTGAATCTGGGCGTGGAGTGGGCGCCGCTTTTATGATCTACTCGCGCCAAGGACCCGCCAAGCGCAAAGATCAAGTCGCCAACGTGACCAGGAAATCTACCCTATCAAGTGTTTGTAGCTCCTTTGGTATGGTGACACAAGGAATATTCTCTTTGCAGGCACCTGTCCAACTTCAAGTGACACGTTACCTAGTTTGAAGCAGTTTCGCCGTAACACAGACAGCGGACTTGTCCATTACTGGGTACTTGTCTTCTACAATGGCTTACCGCCATGACCCTGACGCGGTGACTATATGCGACGCACACGAAAAGATAGTGTGGAGCCCAGATGTTTGACTAAGCTAGCGTAGCTTGCACGTAAGCCCTCCCCTAAGGTTCTCCAAGCAAAGATGAGCCTCAAAAACCGGTGGTTGTACCCCTTCGGCACCAGGTATGGCGTATGCTTTGAATGATCACAGTGCTACCTTGAGGCTAGCGTGGTCGGTTGGTATAATTGTGGAAATGGTGAGGACTTGGATCTTTCAGCCATTGATCGGCGAGCTCGAGGGCTTTGATGTTGAACTGGTCCACGTCGAATGCCTCTGCCAAACCTGCTTTTGCATGACTTCGATGGCCGCTAGAACCCAAGTGACGCAATTCTGCACAGGCGTGGAATTCTTGATAGGAAGCGGCACTTTTCTGAGAATGTCGTCAATCCCTTCAATTGTGGTGTGCGGGGGCACCTTTCCGATCATTATTCTTCCCAGGAGGCGACCGCTGTGCATCGGATTGACGCTCATCTTGGGACGAAAACGCCAGTCGTGGTTCGGGTGGAGATCCACTCGGGTTAGGGATCAGGGTCTGTCGCATCGATTGCGTCGTAGACATTTGAGTCAAAGCCTTTAGGATTCTTAGGCTGGATGAGGATTCCCCAACGGTAGGCCGCTTGACCCAACTGTTTCCTGCTGTCTCCAAGCGAGAACTCATCACGGTGGTGGATTACTACCATGACTCGCGCCTTGCCGCTCATATTGCTGTACTTCACGTATTTGTGGCGTAGTAGCAATATGTGTAGAGGTAAGGCTGGAAGTAAACCCTACCAAGCAGGCGCCTGTATGTCCGTAGATGTCTTGGTGCTTTTTGCTAGCTCATTCACCTGTGCGGGCTCTAAGCCATATATGGAATAGTGACAAAGTGTGGGTCCCAGTCTCCAATCTTTAATCCCAGTCACTCACCAGCGCAAGGTGACCTTAATCGCCAAGGAATCATGTGATCTGATTGCCTCTAACTTGTTTGTCACGCGTTTCCGAGAATCTGTTGTCTTCACCCCAACCTCTTCCAACGCGTCCTGGCAACGATAGGTGTTGGAGGGTTGCATATGACATTTCCACCTCTTGTCTCGTCTCGTCCCTTGTTCCGTTGTGTGTACCTATCTATCTATCTATCCATCTATATGCATATGAATGTATTCCCTCGTCCATTTCCCCCTACAAGGCTGTTCCAAGCGTATACTCGGCTCGGTCTTCTTCTCGTCAATCGCGATTCTCTATCCATTCCTTGCATTGTTTTCACCATGCCCATTCGACAGAGACTGATATCGCTGAAAGTCCGTGCTCGACTCTGGCTGGGCAAAAAGCGCTTTGGCTTCCTTGGACCGAGCGTAATCAGAGTGAGCAAGAACCGAATTATCAAAGGCCCATGTGAAGTGGGAGAGCTTGAAAGCCTAGAATACGTTGCGCAACACACCTCAATCCCCGTGCCAAAGGTCTACCAAACCTATCGAATTGATGAAAAATTATACATCGAGATGGAATATGTCCACGGTGACACTCTTCAAGCGGTATGGAATGGCAACGCCTTTTCGGCCGACGAGAAGCAGGCCTTGGTTATCCAGGTATCCAACTACATCAGGCAACTACGAGGGCTTGAACCGCCTCAAAACGGCATAGTTGCCTCGTCAAAACTCGGACAATGCTTCGACGCCCGTCTGGGGTACCGGCCCTTTGGCCCCTTTAGTAGCACTGAAGAATTTCATTCGTTTCTGCGAGGTAATATTCCGCTAGAGACTTGCTCGGAAGTCTTTGGCGAAGCTGTTACGCGCTGTCATAGCCGTCAATATCGCACCTGTTTTTCCCACGCCGACATTTGCCCACGCAACCTCATCGTGCACAACCGCAAGCTTGTTGTCGCCATTAACTGGCAATTTGCCGGATGGTATCCAGAATATTGGGAATATACAAAGGCGCATTATACATATGCCAACGTCGACTGGTGGGCTAGGTTTGAGCAAGCTGTTACTCGATATGACGACGAACTGGCTGCAGAACGTGCTCTATGGCGACAATTAGAAGAGCCTGGAATGTCCTGGAATGTTGTACAACTAGGGCCTGCTTGACATTCGCTACCATTAGCGGATAACCAACCGACAAGGACCGCCTTCTGATAGGACTCGTTCCAGCGAGGAAATCTCAAACCGACCTCGATCAGGTCGCCGATCGTTCTCAACGGTCTCCGAGATTCGACACTATAAGCACAAAGATACAAAAGCTTTCAGGAGCATATCACTTGAGGTGGTCTAAACCTGATGGCATTTAACCAGTGAAGAAATTCGGTGTCCCTGAAAAGCCGGCTTCTCTCGGGATCGACCCTGTTCAAGCGAACTTTGAACTTCTTCGTACTCGACCAGGGCCAGTAATCCAAACCAGGGATCGTATCGGCTCAAGCAGGGCAGACATCGCCGCAGGCTGTTGTACGACGTTGACTTTGGGACGCCTCGCGAGCTTCATGCACGATACGCAAAAGACGTGGAACGACCTGTTTGCTCTGAAATACCTCTTTCATGCGGCCCAACCACAGATAACTCGCTACTTGCTTCACTCTCAGACCAGACAGCAGGTGACGACCGTCCATATGTCGCCACTTCGCACAGATCCCGTGCCTCTCAAGGGATGATCGCATGGGGTGGTGAGGAAATGGGATAAAGATAACATTGATACAGTTAGCTGCGCTTCAAAAGGTCTCCACCACCTCAGTTGTTTCTACAAATTTCTTGCTGGAGGCTCCCGCTTAAAGCGTGTACCAAGGCGGCCCGAAGCTCAACGTGCAGGTGCGGACAGCACATAGGATCGCACCTCGCGGCCTCCTGGCTGACTCGGGAGGTATGCAAAGACTGGTGGTCTTCGAGTTAACTGGTTTGACAACTACAAGATCTCTCAAACACCGCTGGTCGAGGTGGCAACCAGTTAAGGCAACAATCTCAAGCCTGAGAGCATGGGGAGTGACGTAAGCCATGTCCGCACGAGGTTTTTGTAGCATGAATCGTCATCGACCGACGCGAAGAAAAGCAAAGGCGCACCTTCTACTGCACGAATTCGCACCCAGCGACGGCCAACGCTACATCGGTCTTGATCAGAGCAAAGAAATGCTCGACTTCCTGCACAAGAAGGTTTTCCGTCCCTCGCCCTTGCACGATGTGCCTGGTTGCAAGGCCAGATTATCGGTTGACGCGTTCAACAATGACAGACTCAGGGTACCTCATGCGCGAGCATCCTCTTGCGTTCTGGAGCTGTCCGATCTGCGAACTCGGGATCCTGATACCCTTGCAACATCCAATTCCAATGTCAGAGCGACGTCTTACCTTCTTCGGCCTGAACCCAGTCGCCGCGCATGCTGACCGATAGAATGTGCCCCAAGTGGTGTTGGTAGTATTGCCAATGCGTTCGCCATACTGTGGTGGCCGAAAGACAGGGAGCAGGACGGCAGAGCACAGGCACAATCACAGTTAACAGTGACATTGTGAATCCCTGAGAATCCGTTCTCGCCGCAACACGGATATTGAGATCACTACCTTCCCCTGAACTCACGTACAACCGATATCTTCCACCAGGGAAAAAGTTTAGAGAACATTAGCTTTCCTTCAGATACATGACAGAAAGGCTAGGCAAGATATATTCGAAAAAGCATCAGTCTGCAAGCCAATGGCTGCTACCCGAATCATTTCCCAAGTACCACAGATGGAATATATCTATTTGTAGATATATTTATCTCTCCTCAAGAAACCTCAATTCGCAGCTCATGATTGACTAGCCGTTCAATCTCTACAAGTCCTCTCTTCTTCCCCAAAGAGCACCGGCTACATCAGTCCTTACCACCGCGTATACCCTCCATCGACCAACAAATCCGACCCCGTCACATACGAGCTGGCGTCCGAGAGCAGGAAGACGATCGGCCCGATGTAATCGTCCGGCACGGACAGGCGCTTCAGCATGGTTTCTTCGGTCCACATGTGCTCAAAGTGGCTGTTCGAGAGGACGCCCGCGGTCATCGGAGTGCGGATGACGCCCGGGCTGACCGAGTTGACTCGGATCGAGGGCGAAGGCGAGGCCCCGTCTGTGTCGTTCGGGGAACCCCATTCCGACGCCAGGTTGCGCGTGAGCTGGTGCACGCCGGCTTTGGAGGCCGCGTAGGCGGCGTTGGGTGTGCCCTGCCCAGATAATACAAAGGATGGTCAGCCAGAGCGCGTTCTCGTCTCTTTTTTGAATGTCTTCGCCCTTTCTTCTTCTTCATGTTTATCTTCATCGCATACGATACGATACGAACGAGATCGGCTGATTTTGACCTTCATGACTCTGTGTTGCGCAGAGGGCATAGTCATTAGAGATATTGCTCACCTTATTGACCACGTATCCACTCATGCTCGCGATAAAGACAAAACTGGCCGCAAAGCCGTGTTTCTTGACCAACCGCGCCGCGGCCTGCGCACACACCAGCGTCCCGACCAGGTTGACCTCGATGATACGCTTGGCGTCCGCGACGGGGAAGCTGATCGAGGGGCCGACCCAGCCGATTGCCGCGCAGTTGACCAGGCCGCGCAGGGGGTATCGGGCGGACGAGACCGCGTGTTCGAAGACGGCGTACGTGGATTCGAGGTCGGAGATGTCACATTGGTAGTAGGACGCGATCGTTCCGCTTTTTTCTGCGGTGCTTTGTAGGTCTTCTAACGAAGGTTCGAAAAGGTTAGTAACACACGCGTTTGGCACGGGCAGGTTACAGGCATGTCTACCTCCGCTGAAAGACTTGGGCTCCGCCTCGCGGTCAACGGCAATCACATCGGCCCCGGATTCCAATATCGCCTTGACCACCACGATGCCCATACCGCCCGTCGCACCCGTCACTGTCATGTAGAAAGTTCAGTTTCGCAGCCCCAATCTAGAGAACAGAAAGAAGAAGAGTACATAGGACATAAATGAAACAGGAAGGCTGCGGCGTTGGGTAGCAGCATTGTTTTGTTGCTGTAGATTTCTTGCCCACTGCCAATGTTGTCACATACCGATGATAGTTCTGTGGTCGAGGGAGAAGAGGTCTCTAGCAGACCCGGCTTTTTGACTCGAGTGCCCATTCGTGACTGGCTCGACGATGGGTTCCGAGGAAATCATGGTGCTTCGGCTTGGTGAATGGTTTGTTTCAGAAAGAACGAATGATGCCTTGGGTATAACGAGAAGACGATGCTGTTCCTTCTTTTCCTGCTCTCTTGATCACTACGAAGTGGCGCAGTCAGACCTGTAGATGATTGCGCATTCAAGTGACAAAAACAAACACACAGTCGAACAAACTACATTGCTCAGATTGTCGATTTTCGGCCTCTCACACGCATCTGCCGTCATGGATTCTGCGGATCATCGGTCTATGCTGTGACACAACAGACAGAAGCACGTTGTATGGTAGCCACGCCGTCTGCTCGATTTCCTCGGTGAAGAGTCGGCGGGAATGGGCCCTCATTCCAAGTCTCATGCAGTGCTGGATCTGGCGTCTGATTGCATCCGGTTAGCGGCGGTCCGCCTTCCGCCGCTAAATAGACCTGGACCCGCCGCCCCGCCAAACGATCTGGTGGGTCTGTAATAGCGGCGGGAACGGCTCCTTTCCTCATCAAGATGTGCGTAGAGGAAGTACCGAGTAAAAGCGCGGACAGTCGGCGACACCGGAATCAGCAGAACGAGAAGTCCGGAGAGTGAGTCGTGGAGAACTCCAAAGAGAGTAGTCGTGCTAGAACAAAAGAGAGCAGGTTCCAGGGCGTGTTTCCTGCGCCCTAACTAGTAGAAGCACACGACGGGGAACATTGAACACCAAAACCGTCTCTCTTCGCCCAGAAGGATTGCCTCTATCGTCCAATTGTCCAGGCCATTGGCAGAGCAGGATACCTCTCAACGGCAAACTCATCATGGCGCCGCGGTCGCTCCTCGAGAGACTCGAAGAACTTTGCAACGTCGACGTCGACGATGTCGATACTGCACTCATCAAGAGCTTGCCGTTCACCCCTCACAACCGTACGGTGAACTTGAAACCCTTGAAAGGCTCATTTGATTGCTGACGTACCTACCAGAGACCTCGAATCAAGCCGTCATCACGAAGGAGCTGTTGAATCCTGAGAACCAGACGCTCCTGGAGGACCTTGTTGACAAGCATGGTAAAGAAGGATGGGAGAAAGTGTATAATATGGCGGTACGTCCTTCTCAATCACTGAACAAATATCTGGACATCTCAAGTTCTGATGAGGGGGTTATATTATTAGGCCATTGCCCTTTGTGCCAGGAACGTTCCATTTCTGTCAGGCCGTGTGCTTGTTCAGACCTCCCTTCGCTACGTGAACGACCGGACCGCCATAATCAAACAATGTCACGAGTATGCCGAAGCATTCGAGAAGTCCGGCGTGTCAAGAGATCGTTTCGCCATCAAAGTGCCATTTTCTGGAGCAGCGGCATCGGCGGCCTTGGAGCTCAATGCTGAAGGTATTCGCACGCTGGCAACAGCTGTGTTCTCTCTGGAACAAGCTATTGCAGCAAGCCAGTCAAATTGTCTGTTCATCAGTCCATACTACAATGGTCAGTAAATTGCATTGAACCATGGATCTTGTACAAGAAAGTCTCACCGTCATGTAGAAATCGCAGCACATTTTGATCCGGCGCTACGTCCACAGGTCAAAGATCCAGCTCTCGAGGTACGCCTCTGTCCCGGGTGCAGTTGAAACGATCATAGAAATTGACAAACCTTGCAGCATCCCATGTCCGCCCGCGTTATCCATATTCTGAAGACATTTGCGCAGGCTTATGTGCAGACGGGAAAGGAACAACCGATTATGGTCATCGCGAGGTAAGTCGTACATTAGTAGCCACTACTTTGGTTGCTGTAGAGCTGCTGCTGACGCCCCTTGATATCACAGTCATTTCAACATTGATGAGGTTCTTGCGATGGCTGAATTGGGTTGCCAACACGTCACTATTCAAGGTCCCAACCTGAACAAGCTTATGGAGACACCTGACACCCTTCCTCCGGTAGCCAAGAAGAAGCCTAAGCATCCATACGCTGAATTCGCTGTGGTAGAGCGATTGAAGGCATTGGAGACGCTAGATCCGCTTTCCGGACCCGAATGGAATCAAGTGCTAGCGACAATGGACACAGACTATGTGGTGAACGGTGGAGAAAAGCTTGACCAGTTCATTGCAGAGAATTCGGTGCTGAATAAGAGGTTCGGAGATGCTTGCAATTTCTTTCTCGAGGCCGAAGAAAAAGCGAAGGTGGCTATTGAAAAAGTCATGGCGGAGAAAGGCTTATAAGACTCGAAATTGAAGTCGACCGCCGCCTGGAGATAGCAGCCCCCTAAATGGCGTTCTATTAGTAGCACACCAGAGTCCGTCAGTAGTATCAATTCTCCATGCGACTGCTTATGTTGACTCGGATCTGTTGCTCTTATGTGCCTCAATAATGCAGACACCCATGCTTCGTGTGCAGCTGAACGACATCTCGCCATAAGGAGTTCCAATGACATTAAATCGAGTAAGGTAGTGGTAAACAGACTTCGGAGCCTTTCTGGAGGATACGCTCTGATTGAAATTGCAGCTTAACGCGCCCGAAGGTTAAGGTTACGTAGTCGCTGCTTTCTGTGTATAGAACTCACAATTTCAAGGCCACATTCAATGCTCGATCCAGGGAGTGCCCATGGTTTCACAAGCCCAACTGCTGTCTCCAATAGCTCTGAAACATCTTCTACTGAGTCAGCGAGAGCAGTGGTTTGCGCAGCGAGCGCAATGATCAGTGCGTAGCCTACACAGCTGTGAAATCACCAATTAGCTAGCTATTATGGAGAGGTGAGCGCAAAAGAGTCTTACCACTGTGCTGTGCTAAAAGTGTATGGACTTCTGCTCGACAGAACATGGCCAGCAGTTAGCAAGAATATTCGACTCGCAGAGAGGCATAGCCGGCAACGCTCAAGAGCCGCCACCGGTATGCTTCCCTCATGTTCCGTGGCCCGTGACGCCGCATAGACCACAAAAGGTCGATAGATGTTGTGTTTGGCGGACCAATACCTCAGGCGCAGAACACAAGCTTGGTCACTGCCCCTGGGTCTGCCCCAAAGATCTGGTTTGACGGCCTCTGGTAACGATTCATACCATGTTTCAAGCTGGCGATCGAGTTCTTCGCAGACTCTTAATAGTGAAGCATCGGGATCAGACGAGAGGATGCCGCCTGAGTTTTGTGACCGACCTGCATATAGGGAGAGACTGTCCGTGAAGTACATCGTATGGTGAATTCGATTGAGCAAGGACCTGGCCGATATGTCGGCCAATGAGTACAAGCTTTCTGGTGCTGTGACGTTACTGTATGCAGGAAAGGGCATCCTATCAACCAGCGGTTCGATACCACTTCTGGGTTGGTGGAATTCGGCAAGGATATCGCTATTAGAACTCTTTCATCAACGCCTTATTTCTATCCTTAGGTTTGGGGGATAGACGTACCATTCGATTAAGAAGCACGCCCAACTGACTCTGATGACACCTTCATTGGTGTTTTTGGACAAATGTTCTCTGCGCCTAGAGGATGTCATGGTCAAACTTGTACACCACGTCAGCTAACCAGGACGAATGCCAAGCTTACATTTGCTGCACACTTGTGGATGCCATATGTGTAAGCCTCCAGGCCATCAGTGGGTCGACCACATAGCAGAAGTAGAGCGCGCAAAGAATGAGCGCCTGAGACAGAACGAGATCTCCACTAAATGTCGTGGCCCATGTCGGAACTAGTATGCGAAGAGCTCTTCTGACCATCGCATCACCGCTGTGTTTGGTTGTGGCGGCTTCGATAGGGTCCAGGGCAGTTGCTCCCAATGCAAGGAGAGACAGAACGAGGGCAGAGCGTGGATCCTCCTGGATCCCTTCGCTCAAGGTCCTCTCATATTGTGATTGAAGGTCTTCCAGGTCAAACAAGGGCCGGTACGGATGCACTAGTGTCCAGAAGCGCTCAAAACAGGTGTTTGCGAATGAATTCTCAAGCTGGAGAATGTCTTGTCCTACCTCATCGGACGCTAATTCGACGCGTTTTAACCACGGAGGCTGTGGACGATTCTCCTCTACCAGGAATAGAAACTCCTCTGGGAAGTCACCTACTAGAGAGCGCATCGAAGAGAGTGTAAGGAGGCTGCTTGTGCTAGTCTGATGACCGAGGGGGATCGTCAGTGGAGGAACTTGCTCGTCCGATTGTCTGGCGAAGTCGTCCGGCGCATCATTCACTATGCTTGTAGAGCGATCAGGCCCTACATCATCCTGCTGAGTTTGAGTCGTATTTACGCATGATATGTCCTCATAGGCATACGTTGGTGTGGAGGACGACGTGTCGAATGTCTGTGGTGGGTTTGGGCGCAAGGAGTTGATAATCATTGAGTGTTGCCGTAGAACATCCTCGATTGCATTTAATCGACCCAGGTGAGCATCAGTCGGTTCATGTCTGTCAATTCTGTGCCAGCTCAGCATTATGTAGCGTTGAAAGGACAGTCAAGGATCCACCGACATACCTCGGAGACGCGGCGTCTTGGTATACGCACTCCAGGCCTCTATCTGAGCACATTTTGCATGTGGGGGTATTGCCATCACAGCGTCGTTTTCTGCCGGCCAGTTAGAGCCTGCGAACCTTCGAAGTACCTTGGACCAAGCCCACCTGTAACGGCAGTAGTTGCAGGCCAGATTTGTCCGCCTTGGAGGGGAAGTCATACTGCCGATCGTAGCAAAGATTGAAATGCTGGAGGCGCGAGAAGCATTCCCAGCAGCTGGTGAGGCTCGTTAAGCAGTATCTCCTGGTCTTATGCCAGTCTGATGATGGTCGCAAATCGTTGTGAAGGTGGTGAAGAACGAAGTCGAGGAAGGCAAGAGAAGAGTGTCAAACATGCCAAGGCGCTAGTACGTATTCGGTGCGATACTGAGACACTTGGGCACATGTTGATACTTCGAAAGGACCGAAACAGCACCTGACTGATCATATATAATATACATATCCATTATTTCCATGTCATATTCCGTGGCCTCAACAAACCGATGGGGTATCTCATGCACCTGTCCCTGTCCCTGTCCCTGTCCCTGCCCCTCGTTATCCATCAATCCTGTGCCCATGCTATGCTACCCAACACCAACCAATGCCTCGCCTCATCAATGAATGCAATACATCACCAATCCATTCGTCCATCCGTGCCCTTCTCCAGGGTTTCCAAAACAGGCAGAATCTGGGCTTCCTCGTTCGCAAGAGCAGTCTTCTGTCTCGTCCTTGAATAGAAGACAGGACAGTCCTTGCTATCACACCGGATTTCTTCACTCCAGCCAAATCCCGAGCAAGAACGGCATACCTTGGCGAGTTGTGTCGCTTTTCTCTCAACTTTCATCAGTCTCGACCGGAGTGCTAGCATAGTCTGCGGAGACTGCTGAGAGCACTTGTCACACAGCGGAGCCGGAGTGTCCAGTCGATCGCGACAAACAAGACATGTTGACGATCTCATGTATGACTCCATAGTCTTTTGAGCCCTCGCACCGTATTTACCTTCTGTACCAAGCCCAGCGTCTACTCTCCTGATACGCTGGTATTTTGGCATTTCGTCGTACCATTGGCGGACATTTGCCCCCACCAGATTGAAGATGCGTTCAAGGGGTGGGATGATGTTCTTGGAAATGTAATACTCCGCGTCGAGCTCCGAGTGCGCGTCATTGAGTAAGACTTCTGGCGCCACACAACGATCGATCAACCTGGCGCCTGGTCCGCCTGTGACAACCACATAGGGTACTCGCTCGCCATATTGCGGTTCCAGCCTCGGATCCTCTACCATTTTTCGAGCGCTGATGAGTGCACCAGGAGGTGGAGGTTGTTTATCACTGTAAGTCCCAAGCTTGACTTCTCGAGCGAAACAAAAGTCCTGGATGGAAATCCGGCCTTGCATGATTTTGGCGCATTGAGACTGGAAAAAGGCTTTGACCTGACTCAGGTCAGAGGTGCGGAACAGCAGCTTTAATGCCGTCTCCTCGATCTTCTGCTCGGCTGGAGTGCCGTCTCGACGCACAGTTTCAATTCCTTTGGCATCAAAGTCTGGTACAGTCTGGTTGCGACTTTCGTACTTGAACCCCACGTATCTTTTCTTCGCAAGTAGAACGCACGGATGATAGACTTTTTCGAACTTCAACTTGACCGGTCGAGGATTCATCTTCGTGATTGTGTCAGCAATTTCTTCACCAATGTCAAAGGCTTGCTCTCGTGTTCGACCTTTGAGGTAGACGAAGAGACTGTCGGTATCGCCGTAGACCACTTCCGCTCCCCAACGCTCGACCGAGTGGATTAGAGCAATTGCCTTCTCGAGCGTTTCACGGCCAGTCTGTACAATGCTGTCCGCGATCTCTGAGCACGGCATCCTTCCGGAAAACGATGCGGAGGTATAGCCGTAGGTGACGTTGGCGATAAGCTTGAGGGCAAGTTGCCTGTTATTCAACAACCTCTGCAAAGTCTTGTCATCCTTGTCGACTTTCATTCCACTCTTGACCATGACGCGGGTCTCGAGGATTTCACTCAACATCTTTGCCAGCAGGGACTTTCGAATTTCGGGTTTCGCATACATGATCCCGTTCGGTGCGATATTGATATAATCCTTAAGTAGCTCCAGTAATCTGGGTTCCCGGCGATAATTTGTGAATCCCATTTTGTTCGCACCTCGCCAGCCGACGACTCGGCCAAGGTAAGTCGAGTAGCAATAGTTGTAGGCTATCATGACGCTGGGGTAAAGGGACTGGAAGTCGAGAACTAGCAGTGGGCTGGTATAGAAGTCGCTTTGGGGCTCCATTACCAGCGGTAAGCACTCCAATGCATTCTGACCCCCGACTTGCCTGCGACTGGGTGAGACCAAGATGAAGTTCTCTGGTTTCGCTATGCGAAACATCAGAGACTCTACCTTGAATTGTGAACCACGGGAGATGACTGAAAACCAGTCGACTCCCAGCAGTCGGGCCTGTTCGCTTGTTCTCGGGATCAGCTCATTGGCTTCGAGGAGTGCAATGTCGAGCTTTGTCCTCGAAATGAAGTAATCAATGACTTTTGCCTGGTCGCGAGGATTCTTGCTGTTGTACCACCTCGTCAAATCAGCAAAACTGTAGTGAGGTATTCGTTGATGTAGCAAATGGTACACAACGTTCTCCATAGTGTAGCCAAGCAAGTTCAATTCGCCGCGCATGGCCCGCCAGATATTGATTGTATGTCGCCCCGTGACACGAACTGTCGAGGTGTGGTTGAAACCCCAGCGGTCGTCCTCCTTGCCAAACCTTCCGTGAGATTGGGATTTCATCCTGGACAGCTCATCGCAATAGTTCAGATCGTACTTGACACGTGCTCGCTCAATAAGATAACCCCAGGAGCTATTGTGCACCTCGTAGCCTGTGAGAACATCGGGATCATAGTGCCTCACAATGTCAACAAATCTCGTAAGAAGATCCAATTCAGTAGGCTCTTCCTCAACGTGGTAGGGGACGTTACGGGCAATTCTTTTGGCAGCCTGCTTATCACCAGCAACAGCAAGAATTCCGACGTGGAGCCCATCCGTTCTTGCATCCTTGTCAATACCATCATCGTCGTCATCAGTCTGCGCACACCAGAATACACAGGCAATGGCATCTTCATCAGGATTTGGAGCCAGAGCACCTCGAGTGTTGACGTGGACCTCCACGCTCATCACATTCATATACTGTGTCTCATGCTGAACGCTCGTACTGGGCTGCTTCTGAGAATATTTGAAGCCATGATCATTCTTCTGCGTTGGACCATCGATCTGCGACAGAGCGGCACCACGCGTCCGAAGTTTACCAGCCCCGTTGTTGTCAATACGTGCCTGGGTTTCTTCTTGCAGCCAGGAGAGAACGTCGACTTTTCGAGGCGGAGTCGCTGCAATAACCCACTCAGAAATAGTGCATCTTTTGCGTCTCTGGTTGTCGCGAATTCTCTCAGCAGCAAAATCTAGTAACGAGGGAGGCTTCCGGCCGAATGTTGCGGCGGACTTTCCGGAAGCATCAAAGTCTGGTAGATAGGGCACCGTTGCACTCTCGAGCTTGAATTCGCGACCAGCATATTCCCTCGATTGGCCAGGGACGTCTTCCTCCTGACTGTAGTATGCTTCCTGATAAATTACATCAGGCAGACCATTCTCCCACATAGTTGACGCTATCTGTTTGAAACTTGGCGGACGAATTTTGAACAACTGCACACTGTTCCCTGCCTGCCATTTGGAAAAGCCTTGAAGTTTGACATTGAGTAACCCAGATGACCCGATACCTGCACCTACGGTGGGCGGCAAGGGGGTCTGTTCTGAGTCGGTGAACATGGACTTTGCAGGCGTCTTCAGCGTCGCAGGGGAGATTGAAGGCTCACACGTAGACGCCTTTGAGGAGTTTTGCGAAGCAGCGCTTTTCTGGCTAAGCCGAAGTATAGTACCAGGATCCGTGGGATCTTTCACCGTGGGAAAAGACAGTATCGAGCGCCGCGGGAGGCTTCCAGAGATTGGCCCATCCACAGCCGCGTTCTTTGATGTGCGGTGCGGGCCTGCGAGTGACACACGGTCGATGGTAGCTTGAGGCAAGGGGATATTTCGCATCTCTTCCTCTGTCGGTTCCGCACCTGGTTCAGTATCACTGATCTCGTTCGAGAAGTCTGGGTCTTCGTCCGACTCCCAGAATCCCACATCGGGCAAAATATTCTCACCATCAACCAAGTGTTTGTGTTTCTTCCTCGGTTTGAATTTTGGTACTTCTCCGAAGCGTGCTCTCTTGGTGCCATTTGTAACTCCAGCCCGATCGATCAGATATTCTTGTGGTACTTCAAATGCGTCTTCGTCAAAGTGTTGCGCATCACCCGCAGGACGAATGCCGTACCTTTCGTATTCGGACGAGCTGATCGGACTTGAGACTTGCTTGTCGGCAGCCCTGGGTTTGATGTCGCTGTGGGCATTTGTTTGTGGTGACCGGACAGAAGAATCTCCTTCTGAGTTGTTTCCATCCACGTCAGAGCCTGTTGAGTCCCCAAACTTTTCCGATGGAGCTTGAACAAAGATAGGTCGAGAGTTATCCTCTTGCATGGGGTTATTACCATTCGAATCGTCATTCAGACTTCTCAGGTGGAGCAAATGGATTCTGTGAGGGTACAAATCGTCGACGCTTTCTAATGCTGTGCGAACAGTGTCTTCAAGGGATGTGGGTTTCACAAAGGTGTCAAAAGACACGTTTTGCCCGTCACTCTTTTCAAACTCTTCAGCTGCAAGCTCGGCCGCTTTTTGACGGAATTCGTGTTCGTGAATCCAACCTCCGTCAGCCGTGTTCCTCGGATCCGCTGACATTGACACCAGAACCTCTGGAGGGAAGGGGCTGCTGTTCGGGTCCTTAAGTCCCATCCTCAACTTCCTGCGCCGAGTCTCATCCTTCCACAATCCGGCCATGCTTTGCACCAGCTTGGCATCTGCCGGAATGGGATGGACGCGCTCAACGAAGTCATGATGAAGTGTGCGAGCGTGGACGTCATTGCGATTCAGAATGCCCTCGACGTGCACATCCACCTCGAGCGCACAGTGGCTCTGCTTGGTCAGTTGCCCATCGTCGAAGATCGCGTCGGAGGGAATAGAAAGATCGTGCCATTGGTGCAATGGGTTGGTCAAATCGGCGTATCTGGGAACCGGGGCGCGAAACCTGACTCTCTGGCAGTCGATATAGCCACAACCGTATAGGTTATAGTCGCACATCCATTGTGCTATGTATTGCATGTGACTCTCGTATGGCTGTAGCACTCTCTTCATAATGGCTCCTTCCCGCAACAGGTCGGCTAGCCTCGTCATATGCAGCGGGTTCAACAGGTATATCTTGAGGTAGAACTTGTAACCGACATGGAAGCCATAGAATGGAACCCCCTTCACAAGGGAGATGTGTGCGACATATCGATGCTTCCTTTCATAGATATTCTTGCGGTAGCTCACGGCTAGAGCATGATCAATGGAGAGCTGGAGGGTACGAATAGCCACGTCAACATCGTCGGGGACCAGACTGCCGCTGTACTCGATGTAGGTATATTGCAGAGCCCCGTGGATGTGCAACAACACCTTCTGCCCGGTTGGGGTGGCGCCAAAGACGCGAATGACCGAAATTCGAGGTTTGTCATTGTGACCCGCGCTGCCGACACCGAGAGGTACTGGAGGATCTAGGCCATCAATCGGGACAGCTTGGTAGTGGTCCACGCAGTTGAGGCGGACTCGGAAGGTATCCATGAGAGTAATGAGGTAATCGACGCGTCTTTCTCATGTTGGCGCTGCTTTGTCGCGTATTATGTGGTAGGTGATATGATTCCAGAGCATTATAACGATGGGCTTCCGTATCCAAAAGAAGCCTCACTGAGACATGTGGTGAGGGTGGAAGGAATGCAATGTTTACAGAGTGGGGGACTATTGACATGTGGCGGCGCGGAGAGGCCGAGGCTGCGATGCAGCCTTGTCATTCTGACTTTTCGCCTCTTGTCCCCCCTCAATCTTCGCAACTTTCCTCTTACTCCGAATACTTCGCAACGTCAATGTCAACATCGACTTCACCTCGCGTCTACTACGAACCCTAAAAATCTGACTTCCTGTTCCGCGAGAATGGCACAGCAGAACAAAAAAGCCTCTGGCCCAGACCAGACCCGCAACGAATACATTCCCTCTTTCATCTCAAAGCGGCCGTTCTGGGCCGAGACCACCCATTCAGACGCCGACTACCTCGAACATCAGCGATTACAATCTGCCCCCAAAGATACCCTCGACAAGGCAAAATGGTACGACCGAGGCAAGAAGCAAGGCCCGGCGGCCACGAAGTTCCGCAAAGGCGCCTGCGAGAATTGCGGCGCCATGACGCACAAGACAAAAGAGTGTCTAAGCCGGCCAAGGAAACAAGGCGCGAGGTGGACGGGCAAGGATATCCAAGCTGACGAGGTCGTCGAGGACGTACAATTAGGATGGGATGCCAAAAGAGACCGTTGGAACGGGTACGACAGTCGAGAGTACAACGCCGTGGTCAGGGAATATGAGGAGCTGGAAGCTATCAAGCGTGCAGCTGCAGGTCAAAAAGAAGACGGCAACGACTCGGTAACCCCCGATCTCTCCGACACTCGGTATGGCGAAGAAACAGACATGGGTCGCTCTCAACCGACCTCAACCCGCCAGCTCCGCCTGCGCGAAGACACAGCAAACTACTTGAAAAACCTCGACCTCGACTCCGCGCGCTACGATCCAAAGACGCGCTCTATGGACAAATCCGCTGCGCAGGTAACAGACGATGCCGATGCAGACGAAGGGTTCATCCGCCCAGCAGCCACGAACGACGACGCCTCGGAATTCGAGCGGGCGCAACGGTACGCATGGGAGACACAAGAACACAACACGACCTCATCGCAGACGAAGAAACTCCACTTACAAGCCAACCCGACAGAGGGCGAATTCTTGCGCAAGAAACAAACGCAGGAAGCGGCAGAAAAGAGAGCAGCGGCCCGGAAGGCTCTGCTCGAGAAATACGGGGGTGATGAATATCTCCTGACTGAGAGCGGCGAGCAACAACAACAACAACACCCATCGAAACGAATCAAACATCTCAATGTCGTCGCCAACGAACGATACGTCGAGTACGACGAATCGGGACACATTAAGGGCTCGGAACGCACGGTCGCGCGCTCAAAATACCCGGAGGACATCTTCCAGAACAACCACACGTCGGTATGGGGATCGTGGTGGAAGGACTTCAAGTGGGGCTACGCGTGCTGTCACTCGACGGTGAAAAACAGCTATTGCACGGGCGAAGAGGGCCTGCGAGCGTGGGAAGCGAGTGAGGGAATGAGGACGGGCCAGTCGCTCTTACAGATTGAAAATGGCGATGGCACTGACAAGGACGGCAACGCGAGCGCCGAGCAGAGAGCAGGCACAACCACCACCACCAGAACAGAGCCGATCCAGGGCGACAAGAACCAATCACCCCACCCTGCGCAAACCGGGGAAGAAGACACCACGCGAGAGCGCAACGATGCTGATCCGCCAGCATCAGCGCCGGAGCACACCACCACCTCGGGCCCCAAAAAGCGCACCCTGCAAGAACTCCAGTCCGGCATCTCCGAGGAGGAACTGGAGTCGTACAAACGCAACCGCATGGCCGCCGACGATCCCATGGCGAAACTCCTGGGCACGGACGAGTTGATTGAGATGAGATGAGATGAGATAACTCATACCAAAGAGATGTGCCGAGGGCAACAACTATACGAATAATTTGACCCGTCTTTTCTTTTTCTCTCTTAGCGTTCAAGCGATCCTTTGTTGAGCGGCGATGTAAAAGGGGATGGTGGATGCATATGCATTCACATGTCCTCGGAACTGGCTTACAGGCAAACAAAAGCAAGCAAGGCAGTGAGGAACAGATAAACCTATCGAATGGATATATCATATGAATGCTCCTCCTATTCTCTTCTACGCTCATAGATAGACATCCGTTCCACCTCTGCCATAACCCCCTACTAAAGAACCAGCCAGCTGAGCTACCTAAAGGATGCAACATCACTTTACAGAGAGAGCCCGCCAAAAGCGTGTCCAGCAGTGTTTCATCATATGCCACATGTGTCTCAACGCTTGCACGCACTTTTGCTTCTTCCCACTTGTCCAATTCCTCTCGTGGACTGCGATAACACTCGCATTCGGCGGGACACCAGACGCACTGTCGATGCTGAGAAGAGAAAGCATCGGACGTTCTAGGTGCACGGGATCATGAGCGATTCCTGAATGATACGTCGAGTTACCTCTCAGGTTTGGAGAGGTAAATGGAGGGCCAAAGTCTGTTTCACTCGTCGGATGAAGTTGCATAGGCGGAATCTGCGATTCATCGCTGGCCCATCTCTCTCCTGGCACAGTATGAGATAGTCCGGATCCGCTCTGAAGCATGGCGTTTTCAAGATTGGTCCTTTCACACGCTTTGTCGATCTCCCTCATCGCCTGTTGAATCGCGCTTGATTCTCTCAATCGACCCAGGGGGTGCGAATCAAGATTGCGAGAACCGACGCCATGCCCGCTGGCACGGGGTCCGAACCTCCCTCTCACCAATGTACCATCATCAGCTCGAGCAAGTGGTCCAGGGATATTGGCCTTGTAAACTCCCCGAGGCAGGGAAGTCCGAGAATAGGAAGCCCCTGTGCGCGAAGGGTCCACAATGGTCGCCATCCCTATTGCAGCCAGAGTTCGCTCAAAGAGTTCGACCGAATTTGAAGGACCACTAGACGGGTTCTGTGCCGACGTCCTTGGGGAACCTTCAGAGTTGAGGCTTGCCACGGTTTGCTCATCGCTGTCGTCCAAACTGCGTCTCCAGATGCGATTCCAAAATGAAAGTCTGCTTGACGGCTGCTGCTGTACCAAGCGAAGGAATGTCGCCTGCTCGGTGCCGAATGAAGGTAGACCCGGAGGTGTTGAAACTCTGGGTGGTGGTGACGCTGGAGGTTTTATAGGGAACAAAGAACACCATCCACCTGTATGTATACTTTCTTCGGAGCTCGTAGAATTGCTAGATTTGCATAGTATGGCATCCCGTCTCCGGACGCAGTCAAGGTCGTTCACAGAAAAAGAGCGTTGATGGTATAACTCGATAGAAGGCTGCTTGCTCTTCCTATCCGCTCGAGACATGGCAGGATTCACCGAATTGAGCGACGCTCTGTGTTCAATGATAGGGTTGAGCTGTGGCGTGGGCCAATTGCTATGTGATGTAGAATGCCTGCTGAGAGGGAGCCGAGACGCAAAGGGCAAGCTCAAAGATGCTGGTAGGTCCAGCCCGCCAGCCGGGTCTATTGCTGGTATCCAGGATAGATTTTCACGCGACTGGACGGGGTCGGCATTATATATCGAATCGTCTGGGATCGACTCTTCCGAGGAAGGTAGTTCATGTCGCAGTGATGGCACTGATTGTATCCTCCGAACAGCTTTCGGAACGGTGTCTTGCGGACAATTCAGGGAGGGTGCCTCCAACATGACTTCGTTCTGCGATCCAACTCAATATCACAGCCGACACAGAAGACCGTTGATCGAGCTAGTCCCCATTGGCATGAGTACGGAGTATGGTGTATGTTCTGAAGTGTAGTTCCGGGATTGGCAGTGTGTACAAAAAGAATGTGTACCATAAGCGATTGATGACTTTGGCTGTCTGAACAGATCGAGACGAAAGAGAGATAATTGCCAAGTCGTGTCAGTGTCAATGCTCAAGCGCTTCGAATATATTGGAAGGCAAGATGGTGAAGCAGGCAGCCGCGATCGACAGGGTGTTGCTCGAGAGAGAATCGAAGCAGCAGTTGCTGGGATAATAGACCATCCATTACGATTTGTACTTTTCCTGAAGACCTATTGCTTGGGATACCGCAGATAGGGGTTGTCCAATTCCAAAATATCGCCGGATAAATGCATCACAGCCGTCTCTTCCCAATGCCCGTTGCTTCTAATGATACAAATTCCCCATGAGCAGTGTGCGTAGTACAAGTGGAAGTCCCGAAGCCAACAGGAAATCGCCCAGGTTTTGTAAGAGTGCTGGCCATCAATAGCTGCATATGTTGGTCGTTGATAGATCATTACGGTCATGAGAAACATCAGCGAGAATCCGTCGCTTCCACCGGTGTTGAGGGCGCTTCCTTCTGAGAGTGCCGTTGCTGAAGATCTTTCTTGAAGCCTTTGATGATGCCTTCTAAGCGACGTCTTTCCTCTTGCTCGGCCTACAGATACTGTTAGCCTCTATCTTCATATGACACTCCACCGATCGGTCAGTCTTACCTTGAGGATCTTGAGATTCTCTGCTCGTGTTTCGCGCATCATCTTCTTGAATTCGTTCTTCAAGACCATTGTGGACGTCGTTTCCGTAGGCGACGAGACCTTGGCCCCCAGCCCTTTCACTTTCTCTTCATTGAGTTGTGACTCGAGTGCCTCACATTGCTGTTGCAACGCGTCGACTCTCTCCTCAAGCCTCTCCCGCTCTTTTTCGTCCTCAATGCTCTGTCTTGTCATGACTTCGTACTCTTCGATGGTCTCTTTCAGTTCCTTCTGCAGAGCGGCGACCTTGTTCTGCAGCTCGACGCTTTCCGTGTCCCTAGCCTCGTGCTCCCTCTTCAGGTTGTTCACATGACCTTCGAGCTCGTTGTTTCGCATATTCAAGTGGTCAAGTTCCTTCTGAATGGCGGGGTTCATTGACACATCGGCTGCTCGCTGAGCACGTGTTCCATAAGCACCATCTAACTCAGCCTTGACCACGGTCAACTCTGTCTGTGCTCGCACCACTTCGGACTCCAGGTCTTGCATCTCCGCACGGAGTTTCGAGAGCTCGGTCTCTACCTCAGCTTTAGCACTACTCAGCGCCTCCACTTGCCTCCGCAGGTCATTGACCACTTCGTCGTGCGCCGCCTGAGTCTGGGCGTGGCCCGCCGCCAGGCTTGCTACTTCCATGGACTTGGTTTCCAGGTCCCTTCGTGTCTGTTGTATTTCCGACTGCAGCTGGCTATGTTCCTCTTGCTTGACCTTCAGCTCAGCGAGGAACTTTTCCTCCACCTCTTTACGGGCAGTGCGATCGAGTTCAAGAGCTTTGCTCTCATCCGCACCTCGTTCATGTTCCATGAGGACGCTCCGTTGCTTCGAAAGATCCAATTCCTCCATGAGCAAGTTGATCTGGTCGCGGGAATGCTGTGCTTCTTGCTCGCTATTTGATTGAGTGCGCTTCGATTCCTCCAGCTCGGCCACCAATTCGTGAATTTTGGCGTCACGCTGAGCATCGGACTTGCTGTTGAGTTCGCGCTGCTGTTGGATTTGGCGGGTCAAGATATCCTTCTGTTCGACAAGGGTTTCGATGCGCTTGTTTAGCCGTTCGATGACATTGGAAGAGAAGGCCAACTGCGACTGTAGGTCCTTGCCGCGGGGTTCATCTTGCAGTAACACAGGGCTATGGCCGACAGAGTTTGTTCTTGCTAGCATATCATGTAGTCGAAGATTGACGTCTTCGAGCTGCTCTTCGGTGTCAAAGATGGATTGCTGGACGGCTGCGTGGGATCGGGCTTGGGCAGCTTCCATGGCGTCCAGTCCCTGAGACATATACCCAAGATATGCTTGGATTTGCGCATCAACGCTTCCAGCCATGTGCTGGTCGGAAGGCTGAGGAGGCGGGTCAAAGTGTTCTTGCAAACTCGCTTGGGTGATCATCAGATGTAGCCGTTGATTTAGCTCCTGTAGGCGGGTTACAAACCCGTCGACGGCTCTAGATCCAGGTCTGCCCTTGTTCATGGATTGAGGTACCTGTCCAAACTCTGTGACATAATCCGGGACCTGGTAGAGACTCCGTTCATCAAAATCGTCCCTGGCATCAAGCATGGAACCTCGTCCATTCGGTTGACTAGTCATGCTTTCCGGACTTCGGGGGAGTTCATTCCTGCGGATATTCTTCTTCAGACCCCTGTGTGTCATCTGTAGAATACCGGCCGTGTGTTGGAGGATGCGCCTGTCTATCTCTTGAAGTCGTTTCTCCAGATGGAATAACTCGCGCGAGAGATCCTCCACCTTTTTCGTGCTTGTGGCATATTCATCGTCTACACGATGCACTACCTCGTTTCCACTATGTCTGCTCCCCAGGAGGCTGCGCCGCGACTTTTTGGGTGATGCCGCATCCCCAGACTCACGAGTCGAATATAGACGATTCAGTGACTGGGCGGCATCTCGCAGTTTGCTCTCTAGCGCCAGCTTCCGTCTCGTAGCTTCAATCTTGCCTTTCAGGAAACTCCTTTCTTTCTTCAGCTGCTCCACCTCCTCAAACGACAGCACCTCAAAGTCTCGGCTGTCGCTTATTGCCGTCTCGGTCAATAGATGCATCGCCACAGGGTCGTTGATGTTTAGAAGTGTAGAGTTTCGTGGAGCGTTTTGGGGTGGCTGTTCAAGTCTCAGCACCTCTCGAAGTCCGCTTAACAAGCGACTTCACATACCTGCGTGAACCGGGCTGGGGGTGTCTCTTGTTCTTCAAAAGGACCCCGTAGTGCTCCCGACATGAAGCTGTGGCCCTGGGGCATCGCCGGCGAGTCCTCGACAGGACCCGCACCACTGTAGACCGAGCTGGGAACATAGCGGCTGCGGCCATCATTGACGCTGTCGACCGAGGGTTCCCTCATACCGTACTTAATGGCGGCCTGCATTGTCCCGTATTCGGCTGCGCCTCTTCGCAGCCTCCCTCTTTGTAATTATCCAAATGCCTTCCAAACGGCCAATGCTAAGGAAGGGAAGTGGTCGATATTTCTGTGAGAGGCTGCTTATAGCTGAGCATGTTGTTGTGCTATATTAGGCTGGCAACGGATCATCGGTGCGGGAGCCGGAAGACGAGCAAGGAGGAGAACGGAGGGCAAGAGCTTGTAGCAGCTTTGAGGCAGGCGGTGGGTATGAAGGAACGTGGGAAAAAGGCTTCTGGCACAGCCGGGAGACTGTACCACGCGCTCAGAACTTTCGTTCCTTCTTCTCAGGGAGAGGCTGAAGTTAAGTCAGGGGAGCAGGGATGTCTGTGCTGGCCTGGCTGCCTCGCTGGGCGTGCGCTGAATTGGGTTAAACAGGGCGCATAAAGTCCAAGCATTCGTCAGGGCCTCGAGTCTTTATTAGGTCTGGCGAGGCGGATAGCGACCCAGTCACCAAGGCAGGGTGCCCCGGTATATGGACACCCAGTAAGGGTTCGAGTGCTTGAGAAGACCGCCAACGAGTAATAGAAGCCAATCGCCAGGGGGCTGGGCAGGGTTGGCTGGTATTGGGGGGGGACCACTGGGCTGCCTGGGACCACTTGTACCAGGGCTGTTAGGCCCGCTTGTTGTTGATCTCGGCGAGTGCTTTGGAATGTTTGCTTCGGGCTCTAGGGGCTCCTGGGGCTCCCCTTCCGTGCCAATGCGAGCACGTTAGGGTAAGAGATGGAGGCCGCCACAAGCAGCTAGTGAAGCCAATTATTATTGCAAACAACTACAATTAATTACGAGTAGTACGGTCTTCCGACGCAGCCTCTTCATACTTGTAGAGGAAGCACGAATAGGGGTGTCTATACCTACATTTCCCAGTCCCTTGTCCCCGTCACGCTGCAAGAATGATGTTCTTCTCCTGGTCGTTCTGTTTGCTCGTAGTTGGTTACATTTCAAGCAAACACAATGTCTGAGATCTCTTCCCATCCCCTATCCCGGAGCCTGCGGGCTGCAGCCTGCATTTGAAGCAGGGTACAGGATATCTGCGCTGCACCTAGACCCCAACCTTGACAGGCCATTGTAGTATTAGACATCGTTTTTGCAACAATATCCATCTCTAGCAGGACATGAGACTCCACTCGCAAGACAATGGCAATGCAATCCGCACTCAAGATTGTACTCGGCTCGGATACATTCAGCCTCGTCAACTCAGCCTTGTTAAGATGTTGCGTTCCTTATTCGAGTGCGGCCCGGCAAATACCCGACACTACCCCGACGCTAGTCTTGTTATAGTAAAGGCCTTTCCAAATTGCACTGGGATGTCCGATCTGTGGTAAGCAACGGCCGTTACCCACCGTGGTTGCACCGTCTTCCGTCCTGTCCTGATAACACAGTCACTGCACATTCCACATCCGCAGATATGTGTCGTCGGCGCTCGAAACATGTCGAGACCTGAAGACAGGGAGAGTTAATGAGTGCACACTCCTCACCTTTGACTCCCACACAACTGCTCTGTGGACAAACTCCAGGGGGTTTTGCCCTTTGTGAGGTTGGGCGCGTGACCTTTGGCCAGCGGCTATCTCATTGCGACATCCCCAATTCGCCAACATGGGCAAAGTCGAGCAGTCACACATTTCTCAGCGAGAGACAACCAGCGGCGAAAGCAGCTCATCGCCTGACTCTCCAGGTGCGTCACTCGAAGACCGGGCTCGAGGCCTTCTCTCGTCGACCCGGACACTATCACGGATCTCGACAACCTCGACCGTCGAATATAAAGTATATAAACGACGCTTCTTCGGCCTGGCGCAGTTAGTGCTGTTGAACATTGTGGTTTCGTGGGACTGGATCGCATTTGCGCCCGTTTCCAAAACCTCGGCGACGTACTTTGGCACGACCGAGGCCAACATCAACTGGGTTTCGACGGCGTTTCTCTTCGCCTTCTGCGTAACCACCCCGCCTACCTTTTATGTTCTGCACAAGTACGGCACAAAGACTGCCATCATCATTGCCGCCTCGTTGGTGCTGGTGGGGAACTGGGTCAAATATGGCGCGACCAGGGCAAACAACTTCGGCGGCGTCATGTTCGGCCAGTTGATCATCGGCTTTGCGCAGCCGTTCGTCCTTTCGTCGCCCACGACCTATTCAAACCTCTGGTTCAGCCCTGCGGGACGTACCACCGCGACGGCGTTAGCATCGTTGTCGAACCCCTTTGGCGCAGCGCTGGGCCAGCTCATCTCACCTTTCTGGGCAGATGAACCAAATGAGATCCCCAATATGATCTTGTACATCTCCATCATCTCCTCGGTGGCGAGCGTGCCGGCCTTTTTCATCCCATCGCGACCACCATCTCCACCATCGGCGGGTTCGGTAGCGGACCACATGGACCGCACATCGTTGCGCCATGATTTCCGCGTTCTGTCCCGCTCAACCGAGTTCTACCTCCTTTTCCTCCCCTTCATCTTTTACGTGGGCTTCTTCAACGCCTTTTCATCCCTGCTCAATCAAATCTTCGAGCCGTACGGCTTCAGCGAGACCAACGCCGGTATCGCCGGAGCCGTCTTGATCGTGGTCGGCCTCGTCTGCGCGGCCATTTCGAGCCCCATCATCGACAAGTACAAGTGCTACCTGGCCTACGTCAAGGTGGCCATCCCTGTGCTGGCGATCTGCTATATAGTGGTCATCTGGGCGCCGCAATCCCGCTCGTTAGCGTACGTCTTTGTCATCTGCGCTATCCTCGGGGCGGCGAGTTTCGGCCTCGTCCCTGTGGCGCTGGAGTTCCTTGTCGAAATCCACTATCCTCTGGGACCCGAGTTGGGAAGCTCCCTCTGCTGGTGCGGCGGCCAGATTCTGGGCGGCATCTTCATCGTCGTCATGAACGCGCTGAAGGCCGGCCCCGACGCCGACCCACCACAGAACATGAAACAGGCACTGATCTTTCAAGCTGTGCTGGCCGCGCTGGTTATGCCGGCTCCTCTATGCCTGGGCTTATTTGGCCGACAGGCCCGTGTGAGAAGGAAGCGGTGGGAAGCTGATCGCGCCACCGCAGACGAGGTCGTGCAAGGCTACGTCGACAGAATTGAGGACGATGATGATGAGCAGAGATTGCGTGCGCAGGGGCAGGATCCCGGGTCTGCGTGAGAATACGTACGCTGATATATGGCGAGCGAGGAAATCTTTGTGTGGTACATGCAAGTTATGTCGAAGTATGCCCAAGGGATATTTGAATATTTGAAGGTTTAAATGATTTGAAAGCAGATAATATCCAAGAGGAGGAACGACAATGTTCAAAGCTGGACGGAAGTGATTGTATATTGGACACACATACTCAGTACAGGTACGAGCACGAATATCTTATTAAGGAAAGGACATCGAGATGTCGATTATGGAAGGGGAGGCGCAGCCAATTCCTTAAGAACATTTCCTCAAGTCAAGTCGTCACTTGAGCGTACGCAGTGGGTAATCTTGGCGGACCTGGTCCTTGAGCCTTGAAGAGTAACCAATGTCTACCTACTATGTGCTCGGTACCCGTATCAACACTCCAGAAAGGGCATGACATGGCATGGCTGGCTGGGCCGTACTGTCAAAAAACGAAAGTCCTTCCAAAAAGGGAAAGTGTTCAAGTTAGCATGGAGGCCGCCTGCGCAGCTCGCAGGTCGGATTGGTCAGTAGTGGGCCGGAGGGTATGAGGGCCTGGAAACAGAGACTTGAGGCAATCAGTCGTTCAGCCAGCCATCATTTACCTTATCCTAGGCAGTACCTCGTACCTCGTGCAGTACGGGTACATGCGAGAAGGCTAGAAGTGCGGCTTGACCGGAGCAAGGCAAGTTGGCAACAGTCCAGAATCGACTATATCAAGACCAGTCGGGCCAGCTTAAGAGCGGTGGGTGGGTGGGAGTCAGTGCCTGGTGCAAACTGGCTGTTTGGTACCGCCTCGGGAGCGTGAAGGACAAGATACGAGGTAGATAGGAACGAACAGGGCAGTGCCGCCGGGACTGAGAAAAGGAGAACCGTTCCGTCTTTGATGCGATACTAGGTATGTATATACAAGGCGCGATGACTATGTATGAGGAGCACAGGTGGATGGATGCATTGGGCAACCCGAACACTTCACACCAAACCCTCTCAGAAGCTGCATCCATGTGAGCAGAGGAATCTGAATCTATCCCGTCTCTTCAGGAGCAGCTTAAGTTATTGGTCCACGTCAGGCCGTTCATTTGGGGGAGTACATATGGCTTGTTGTGAGATCTTCTCTTTTGCTTGCAAGTCTCTTTGTTCAATGCAAATTTTTATCGATCTCGATGAGCTGTCGGCGTGAAGGTGATCTATTTCAGCTGCTTGAAGAGTTTGGGCGCGGCGCACTGTGTTGCGCAGTGTTGGAGGTGGAAAACTGTTTTTCGCAGTGGTCAGCTTTGGTGTCCTCTTGCCACGCCGCAGGTAGGTGCTCTGGTAGAGACGGTTGCGATACGTACACTCTTCGACACAGTTTTCCTTGGGACCCTTGTGGTCGGGATCCTCCTCCTGTTGAGTGACACGCTCGACGCATTCGTCAAAGTGGTGCTTGTAGCCCTGGCACTGGGCGGATCGGGCGCATTCTGCTTGTTGTTAGTCTTCTGGGAAGTCCTCGCACAGTTTATCGCAGGGTAATAACAGCTCTGCTCTGAACAATTGTGATGGTAAGAAGAGACATACCTTCTTCCAGTCTTGGCTTTGGATCTACAGGCTCCTCCTCCTCTTCCTCTTCCTCTTCCTCCTCCTCTTCTTCGCCCTCTTCCTCTCCGTCTGCACCCCCCTCCTCTTCGCCTTCTTGTTTATCCTCACCACCCTCTTCGTCGTTACCCTCCTCGCTGCTGTCACTTGACTCTTCGTTGTCGTCGGCGGGAGCTTCGGCTTGGACCTCCTGTACGAAGGAGACGGAGCTCAGAAGGTCGGAGAAGAAATCGGTGATCCCCATTGTGAAGTTCGGGGAGAAGGCTGAGGATGAGATAGAATGGGTCAAGTGACTACTTAGAGGAAGTCCGAGATGGGCGCAACCACTCTAGAGACTCGAGAGGATCGTTGGTGTCTCGTTGAGTTGGACTTACAACGTTGTGTGGAAGGAGTTGCAAGTTCAAAGAGTGCAAGCTAGCTTGAGCTTCGGAGGAAGGAAAATTACAAGGCGCATGATTGGCCAGCGAGCTGTTGAGACGCCAAGCCGTTCGGTTCGCTGGACTCTTTCACGATCGAGTCCAAGGACGATGCCACCGCGAAATAACATCTCTAATGTTAGAATGGCATATCATCATACTGAGGGTAAGCTAATCAATGGAACTAAAATCTTAATGAGGCTGGCCACGGATCTCTGAGAGAGGAACCTGCTTGCTTCTATGGAGAACGCCATGCACAACCGCAGAAAGGAGGCCGTTTACCCGTGATGCCGCCTCCATATTTTACTGTCAGCCACGAGTCTCTGACAATCTTCGGTCCAACTCAGCCTGAATGCTCTGCTGTTGTGTCTCTTCGTACCCTGGAGGCGCGTCGCTTGGTGTCTGCGATTCACCTTGAGGTGTTCCAGCTCGCCTCAATTCCGGAGCCGTATGAGGACTCCTCAAGATAGGGGAGTTCACGTCCTCGCTGGTAGCGCTGGATTGGTTCAGAGCTATGGGATCATGCCCAGACTCGTTATATGAAGGCAGCTGGTCAAGATGGACGTTGTCCAGATTCACATTGCCCAAGTAGGCATCCTGCCGCGAGCCTGTCAAGTTATTCTCCCTCGCTGTGGACACTACTTGCTGAAGTCGCTCCTTGATCTGCTCAAAGGTTGAATGGAAATCGGGAGCTCCACCTTCTTTGAAAGTCAACTTGAGTTCAATGGCAGCTTGTGTTGCGGGAATGTTCCCGCCAGGAACCGGCTGTAAGAGGGCCTGCCAGGCATTCGGTCCGAACCAGGGCACGGTAAGATGTGTGTCGTGCAAATTGAGAAGGGGCGCAGAGAAGGATTGGAACTCCGAGGTGGACTTCTCTGAAAGATACACGATCTGTGCATGGTGTCAGAAACGACTTTGTTGTTTATTCCCCTGTGATTCTTACTCTCTGATTGGTCAAATAGACGATGCCAGAGTTGCAGTGGATTGACACTGGATTGTTCCCTGGATATGTCGACGGGGTGGTGATGGCGAGACCAATTCTCGGCGATGACTTGTGGATGATCCTTTCTCCTGGTAACGGGACAAAGGCTCCTTTGCCATCGAGCATAACCCAACTGGATATGACATCATGAGCGCTGGGACACTAAGGGCGGGATTGTATGGGTACATACTTGATGGACATGGTTGAAAGTGCGCAATTGAGCTGGGTCCTATGGCAAGGAGTGGCTCAAGGGATTTGTTCACCAGGTGAGTCTCAGCGTTGTTTCTCTAGCGGAGGACTTTTTACCCGCTCTCGGTCCAACACGGAGCAACGGACGACCGGTATGGCCGGAGGAGATCAGGTTGCGCTCATCTTCGACAGTGAAAGGCTGAGACAGTCATGTGCCAGCTATTGAAATAATGCAAGGGATCGGTTGACCGCGAAACTGGAGCGTGAGTGTGTAAAGAGCGGCAGGCAGCTTTGCCTGTGAAATGCGGGATGATGGCACTTGAATGCGCCAAGGTGCGGTTGAACCGTGGCGGGATGTGCGAATGAGGAAATTCTGTGACGCCGCCCTACAAATTTAAAGCGGCGTGGCTAACGAGGTTTTTGATTTCCCCCTCAACGACTTCCCTCTGTCTGTGTCTCTCCATCGACTACTATTCGCAGTATATATTGACTTACACAGAACTAAGAGCCACAGTTCCGAACCATCTGATAAATACCAAACCTATTTCCCTCGGGATCTGTCACGTTGATGTAGACGCCGCTTTCACCCTCTGCCGTCTTTGGCAGCACCGTCTTCCCGCCCAGTTCATGGATGCGGGCTTCAGTCTGGTTTGAATTCCCCGTCAGACGCTGTTATCTCTCAACGCACCCAGGCACTTCATTTTAGGAGACTCACCTTTTCCAGCGACTCGACCATGTGGTAGATCGTGACGCCCGATCCCAGCTCCTGCGTGTTTGGGTCACAGCCATCGGGCATTTTGACAAGGCCGCCTCCAAGACCTGGAACCACCAGTGGTGTTGTAAGCAAACAATCGAACACATCACCCTGTCTGTGGAGGAGGACCTTGAAAGGACTCACCTTCGGGGTCTTTGAATCGGAACATAGCGACCTCGTGTCCTGGGTCGGAAATGTTTGGCTTCCAGGTCCAATTGGGGAAGACGTTACTATAGAAGGTCTTTCAACGACGATGTCAGCAAGATTTATAGAGAGGTCCGAAGACGAAGAGGCAGAGGGATGGATTGAATGTCCTTCATTGTCCCTTTCGTTGTCCTCTGTGACCTTCATACCTTGAGCTTCTCGACGTCACGAGCAGGAATTTCAATCCAACATGGTGACCCTTCAGGAGGGGGGACCCACGCGGCAGCTGCAGCTTCAGCTTCAGAAGACATAGTATCACGTTATTTCCTCGATGGCAGACAATGGATACCTCTTTGGAGTGTATGTGTTTCGAGAGAAGGGCTGAGAGAAGAGGAAGATGAAGACGATCTTTTCGGAGGGTCCTGTCGACTATTTTCTCTGTTTAAATACCTCTTTCTCACCACCTCCTCTACGACACCTCCCTTCCGAGCAATCGCGGAAGAATCGGCGATTCTTTACCCCTTTGACTTTGAAGAACCTCGCTCTTTCTGTAAGTGCCCGAACAAAACCTGGCAAGCGAGTCCTCGTGTTCTGGACGCGTCCAATCCTCTTCGCCAGTATCACTAGTTCTATCGCCCTCGGCACGCGAAAGCACATGACATGATATCAGGAAATGAAAACCCCGCCTTTCACCTCCTCCCTAGGCCGTTCACAGGAAATTCTGATTGGGCAACAAGGAGACGTACTCGCTTATATCCCGCGTTGGTGCGTGGGAGCAGGGCTGGGCACCCCAGGCATGGTCGTTGTTGCCTAAAGTTTAAGATGCCTAGAGCCAGGGCCTGAGGATTATTAGTATGGGCATTCAAACGACAAAGTAGGATCCCCCCTGCGAGTCCAAGGGTAAGAAGGAGTAGGTAGGGACATGCTAGACCCATATGCTTTCTTGCTGGGCGGTGAACTTCGGTTATAGGTGGTACTCGTGGGAGAGAGGACTTGAGGTTTCTTGTTCCAAATACCGATGGGAAAAGTCTGGCGTTGAGTCCTTGATCTGGCCTGCCGTGACCAAACCGGACCAGCTACTCCCAGACAGACAGACACACACACACACACAATCCGTCTCTGTGCCGTCGAAGCGTATTCAACTCCACAAACGCTCATGCCTTGATATGCCTGGAACTCGCAGACACCAGCGACTAGCAACAACTAACAAGTTACAGGTATTTATTAGGACGTTGTCAATCCTCTTTCCTCACATGACGATGCCACATCCTCAAATGAGAATCGCATCCTCACCCTCGGTCCTCTTCTCCGCGCCGTTATAAATCCTGAATCTCTGATAGATGTCACTGCCATCCTGGTTGCCCGCCTTGTTGAGCGCACCACCCCTGACAAACTCGCCGTTCTCCTTCCACCGCAGCGCGCCGTAGTGCGTGTTCAAGCACCACCCGTTCTCGGGCCACCCAACCTGGACGAATTGGAAATTGCTCTTGTGGCGTGATATTTTATCTTCATATCATGTTGACCAGCTGCTATCTCCAATGTGATAATCTCTACCCAGGCCCGGAGCTTGTCAGTCCCTTATAGGTACTTTGACAAGGTTCGGGAAATAAAGACAACAATGTTGTGTTTGGATACTCGTACATTACTTCTGGACCGGTCCGACCATCCTAGGCAAGTGGACTGGCAATACATATCATGAGGGTTCCAGAATACTTTGGACAAACTGGTGGACGTGATATAGACGTGATGATAATCCAGAGGTCTAAACACCTCCCTTCCTTTCCTCTTTTTTTACATCGTCGTACAGGGCACCTTTTATGGTACTATGCTCTTCGTCACGCGACACCCGACCCAAAGACCTCGGAGTGGATGCGCTCCTTGGGCACGCCCAACGCCTCCAGTTCCCGTTGCTGGAGCTGCATGAACGGGATCGGCCCGCAGAGATAGTACTGGGCGTCGGGGAGCAGGGCGAGATCCTTGACCTTGTCGAACTCGATGCGCCCCTCAAAGTCATAGTCGCGGCCCTTTTTGTCGCCGTCCTCGACGTGCTCGTAAAACACGGCCTTTTTCACCTGCGGGTTCTTCTCCACCACCCGCGCGAGGTAGTCCTTCATGGCGTGGACGTGGGCCGAGCGGACCGCGTGGATGAAGCTGACGGGTCGAGTGTTGTTCTGCCCGATCACGGTGCCCAACATGGACAGCATGGGCGTGATCCCGACCCCGGCGCTGATCAATACCACGGGCGTGTCGGCGTCGACGTCGAGGAAAAAGTCTCCCCGCGGCATGCTGACGTCGATCTGTGCTCCTTCGGGGATATCCTCGTGCAGCACGTTCGAGATCCTCCCGGCGGGGATTTGTCCCCTGGCAGACTCCTTCTTCACCGATATCCGAAAGTGCTTGCCGTCTGGGATGTCCGACAGGCTGTACTGTCGTGGCTGGTAGACGCCGAGTTCCGGGAGGAAGACCCTGACCGACACATACTGGCCCGACTGGAATCCTGGGAGGGCTCCCTTGTCTGCAGGTTCGAGGTAGAAAGAGACGATCTCGTCGCTCTCATGCACCTTCTTCGCCACGGTGAATGTGCGCCACCCGTTCCATCCCCCTGTAGTCTTCTCGGCCTGCTTGTAGAGGTCCCGTTCAAAATTGATAAAGATATCTGCGAGCTGGGCATAGGCAGCTTTCCACGCGTCGAGTATGTCGTCAGTCACAGCCTCGCCGAGCACCTCTTTGATCGCAGCGAGTAACTCTTCGCCCACGATCGGGTATTGATCTGGCTGGATGTCGAGGCTGGCGTGCTTGTGCCCGATTCTCGACACCGCCGTGGTCAGCGCGCCCAGGTTGTCAATATTGTTGGCATAAGCCCAAACAGCGTGCGCCAGAGCAGCCGGCTGAGCACCGGTCTCTTGGTGTGCCGTGTTGAATATGTTGCGCAGAGTGGGATGGTTGTTTAGTAGTCGTTTGTAGAAAAGGCTCGTGATAGTGACGCCATGTTCCTGAAGAACGGGTGCTGTTGACTTGACGATCGCCTTTTGCTGCTCGGTCAGAGCCTCGGCTTGTCGCTTCGACGAGGTGTTGAAATGTTTGCGGTCGATACTAGGGGTTGTTGCTATAACCCTCGAGACTCTGATGGGGGTGGATCTCTGTACCAGGCGGGTTGGATTGCAGCCCGTCAATGCTCGACTTCCGACCACCTTGCTCGCCATTGTCCTTGTGAGATGATGTGTAATTGGAGTTCCTATTGAATGTGAGAAGACATACGCAAGAGCCAGTTATATATTCACCACCGCGACAGTCCAGTGGAACCTGTTATGTAAGTCGAATAACCGCAGAAGTTCTTTAGCTCTGCCCCCGTGTCACGTACTTCGATCGGCATTCGCCTACATAAGCCGGCGTGTTCATGGACTTGCAGATCCAGGGGTGGAAGAAGCTTTTCCAGTGTTGCGCCTCAGGTGATACCAAGATTTCATAGGGAAGCAACCTCATGGCAGTGAATCTGGGTAGCGGGATATTGTCGCGGGCGAAAACAAGCATTTCCCCGGCAAACAAGTATGTGAGAGTGTGTATTGGGGCTTACCATACACTCACTCAGTTCACTACCTACCCATAAGTCTCAACAGTTGAGGCGAGTATGCCTCAATAACCCGGCAGTGGTCAAGTGGTGTGACAAGGCAACTCGAAGATCCAGAACGACAAAGACAAAATGGGCAAATCCTCCACGATGACGACGTCAAGGAGCATTTTGTCCCTTGGGCTGAAGCCCAGAAAAACCGGAAAACCACAAAATTCTTAACCATGTGGAACTTTCCCCAGCAATCCCAGCGAAGCGAGGCCCAGGCGACGAATGAGACACCCGGGCTTAATAATTGGCCAAAGCTAGGGGCTTAGGGAGATTCGTGGCAGCAATGGGAAAAGGGTCTGTTCCGAGGAGATGGTACATACTCGTAAATATCGCGGTCAGCCGGTTTCACCCAGATTTGCTTCTGTACTTGTATTTACGGGTAGGCGGAGGGGGAAAACGTGGCAACGGCAACCCGGATTGGAAACCTGAAACCCTGAGCTAATATTATTTTACGTGTGCAAATACGATTGATTTCCGCGGCGTTAAGGCGTTGGTGGTTCTTTCGCGAGCGGATCCGGATCCCCTTGTACCTACCTATAAAGTACAAGTACCTCGTACATTTCAGTTAATTAAAATCCTACAAGTTCCGGGCACAGGCACAAAGGCTCGTAGGGCTCCCGGCAGCATCCTGAGCTGTTCTGGCCGCTGCGGGCGGCTTTGGATCTCCCGTCCCACCCCTGCCTGGGCAGCCTTGTATCCACTAGCGGAGAGACATCAAATATCAGACGTATGCAGGTATTTTCAAAAATGGGTGGAGGTATTGTCTCTAACGCCTCGTGTCCGTCCACAGAGATACAAATATCCCGTCTTCCTTTCTCTTTGCGGCCTCCTCCTCTGCCTTTTTGATACACAACATTGGTCAATCGACCTTTGCATGCCCATTCTGGCACAGTATGGCGCATAGGATCGAGAATATCGATGCGATGAACAAGAGAATAACCATAGTCCACAGCACATCCTGTCTCGGTATTGTGTTTCTACTCCTCCCATCCCCTCACATCGAATGCACGCTGCTGTTCTTGGTCCATCGTCGGAACGTCTTCCCGTAGAAGTAGAAGATAATAGCACACAGGCAGAACAGGAGAATCAACGACGCATTGGTCATAATTGGCGGAATGTAACCGTCGTCAACGATCCAGTTCTAACTTCAAGTTAGGGCATCGCTAGAAATACCAGAGCGGAGTGCAGGCTTACCGTGATGAACTTGCTGAAACCATATCCCCAGACATTCTTGTTGACCGTGATGGCCACGAACAAACTGCCAGCAACGGGCTTGTAGCTGTCGACGGCATAGGTCGAGGCGATGCCGGGGATAGCTGCGACCTGGATACCCGCACAAGTGTATCCGATAATGACAATGGCTTGCCACGGCCATTTGTTCTCATACCCGACGCTGACAATAATGTTGCCAAAGTACATGATAATGACGTACGGAATCAACGCAAGCAGACGCATCTCAGGTTCACGGACACCTCTGTTCCGTGCTGTCGCTCGAGCGGCCACAAAGTCGGAAAATGGTCCTGCTGTAAACAGGCCAATCATGGCGCCCACCAGAATGGCGAAGTTGGTGAATCCGATTTGCTCGGTGGTAAAGTTGTAGGGCGGCGCCGCGAAGGCTTGAGTCTGGGTCAAATTGAGTGTCAAAAACGAAGAACAGCTCCAGCTGACAATAAAAGCAGCCAATTCGACAATGGGGAAGGCGAACAGTTTCCATGGGATCCAAAGATCGAGGATGATGGCCCTGAGCGGATCTGGATTGGGAGTGTAAAGACCCCATTGGGCTTTGTTTGGTTTGCCACGGCCGAGCCAGGGGTCGCGTTCGGCGGTTTCGACTGGACCAAGTTCGTTGTTCTCGGGTGCCTGTTCAAGCACAGCGTCTGAACGTTTCTTATCAGCGCCCTCGACACCCTCAGACTTTTCTTCTTGGGTTGCAATGGCATGCTTGACCACCTCCTTTGGATGTTGTCGGTGCCACTTCGTCTCGGGGAACATAAAGACCACCATTGCCAGGGAGAGGGCGAGCAGGGCAGTGTAGAACCACCAGAAGCTTCTCCACCCAACGTTTTCAGCCATGGCACCAGAGATGATGGGCGCAACCATGAGAGATCCCATGTAGACGACCCAGTAGAGCGTATTCCACTTGCCACGATCATGGAGGAAGAAAATGTCCGCAATGACTGCTGGCTGGATGGTTTCAGCCGGACCAGCACCAATGCCGTTAAGACTAGCGACCGTGTCAGTATGTTTTCGCGTATTTGACCGGGGACAGCCACGCACACACAAGCCCCCATAAAAGAGCCATAAGTCTGAGCTCTCGCACGCCAGATGGATGAGCCCAGGCAGATTAGCTGGGAGAAGATGTAAACCGGGCGACGACCGAACGTCGAGCTGAGAGGAACCCTGAGTCGCGGTAAGTAAGTACGTGGTGTCTTCCCCATAAAAGTCATGAGAGCATACCAGATGAAGTTGCTGAAGCCAAGCACAAGGATAGCAACGCCAGTAAACTGCACTGCATCTGCCAGAGAGCAGTCGAATGCCTCGATGTAGTCGCCAAACATGGGTGCGAGAGATAGTGGACCAAAGCCCTGCGTGAAGCTGACCATGCTCGAGGCTACAATCGCCGAAAGCTTCCAGTACGTCGACCAGTTGAGGGGATCATGGGGATCCTCCGATGGCTGTGGAACCAAGACACGATGGCTCCTGCCGGTACTCTTGACGAAATGATGCGTTCCAACATCCGCCATCAGCTCCGTGCCAGGGAGAAGCTCGACGTTGAGCTCTCGCTCAATGGCGGAGAGCTCCTGTTGCACCCCGAGTCAGTTCATCATTGAAAGAGGTGTCTTCTAAGGGTAGAAGCGCATACCTGTTCATCATAGTTCATCTCCATGGTGTAGAGTAAGTTATCGAGGCCCGGTTGTGGGTAGGAAAGCTTAGTTAGGGCTTAAGAGGAGAAGTTGACGAAGGATTGGGGCTAATATAAATACACACGTCAACATGATGCTCGGATCGGGGAGCGCGTGGCGTGAAGGGCGGTGCTCCCACCTGGATTGAACCCATGGAAGCGACCCTGGAAGTGACCCTGGAAGCAATTCCGACCTGTGGGCAGGGTCTGGAGATAGGATTTTGACGCGGGGGATCCCCGTTGGGTGGTGGAGAAGCAGCCGTCATTGGCGAGGCTGGCATTTCTCCTGAAGCCTCATGGGCCTTTTGCGGAGAGTTCACGATGCAGCGGGTGGACACTTGGCGGGGGGCTTTAGCCGGGGGAGGCTGTACCATCACCGGCAAGTGGTCTCGGCAGTTCCATTTAGAGCTTTCATTGGGCACTAAAACGAAGTCTTGCTGCACTAGCCCAGGGAAGAAAGTGAAACGATCACGGGAATGAGTTTGTCACGTTTGCCGCCACCCTTATCCGCCTTGGGCAACACACAACTGCGGAACCTTTGGTCTACCAACGTCCGTCTGCTTACATAAATTAACTTGTATCAATAATGCGCCAGCAACGTATCGACTTGATATTGCAAACTCATCTACCGCTCGAGTAGTCTCACCTCGTCGGATGAAACACCGCTGCAGGCCACGTAGGCATCGATAACGCGGCCTCTGACGTAGAGCTCTCGGCGCCATTGGTAATAGCAGCTGTCAAGCTCCAAAACGCGGAAAGAGTCGTGCTCAATGGAGAGCCAAGAACTGACTCCGCGGGTATTCTGCTATTTCTGCATAGAAAACTGAAGGCATGCTCGTTGCGGCGTGAGGTTGATCAACGCCAAGAGCCTGAAGGTCCTCGTAGAGATTGGGCATGATGCAGCGATCGAGTGCAATGTTGATGATTCGAGCACGCGGCCGATGAGACCTGGCGCTGGGGGACGGTCCGAGTCATCCGAGCCTCATACTCGTCACTCTCGAGGACATTACAGTACAGGCACAACAACTATGGTTACAAGACGATGGACTGCGCCGTACCATAGGCTGTACCACCTCAAGCTGCCTGAATCTCTTCTTCTGATCCATCCTCCCACTGTGTGGTAAGTCGGCTCGAAACCCATCAGGAACATGTGTATTTGCCCTACGGAAGAGTGAGTGCTCAGCTACGGCTAGCAACAAGCTCTTGATACCATTGTTACAGTGAGTACAACGATTTGTCAACAAGGATGCAATCGGCTTATTCTAAGATTCAGCATCTCAATTCTTGGCACTTTTAGTGGTGATTTAGCTATACTAGTCAGGCTTGGCGACCTATGAGGTCAGAATCTGATCAATAGCCTATTCTAGTAATGGAATAGTGGCTAAAGTGGGCCAGAACCTATACCTATCTAATCCATAGGAACGGAATAACATGGGCCCGGATATCTCATTACTCAGATTCGACTCCCAGAGCCGGAGTTGCAAGGAGTCGAATCCTTGCAATGCTGTGCTCGGGCAGAACGAGTATCGGGTTATGCCTTGAAGTCATGTTCTGCCTCTGCTGCCACTGGTATTCCCTTCTCTTGACCGACCGATGCTGTACGTCCCACGAGATCATTGGGGTGTTCGGCCCCGGTGATTCCAAGTCGCTCGTTGATACGTTGCATTCGTTCTCGATCCGCCTGGGCGACGCTCTCGATGGAGCCGCCGAAGAAAACATCGAGCTCCTCGAGGGTCTTGTTCTTGGTTTCTACCGAGTACTTGTCAGCGATGAGTCCTTCATCAGCAGGCAACTGGAAACTTTCTCACCTGGGCAAAGGAACCAGACGAAGATACCGCCTGCGCCAGAGAAGAAGGCAAAGAAGATGTAAGTGCCAAACTTCATCGAGTTGATCATGTCGCGGGTCGTCAGGCCGATGATGAAGTTGAACATCCAGTTCGTCGACGCCACAATAGAAACACCTCGCGACCGCATGCTGTTGGGGAACAGCTCTTGAGTGAGCACCCACGCGACCGGACCCCATGAATAGGCAAAGTTGACGGCAAAAAGCCAGATGAAGGCGATGGAAACCCATCCGGGGGTTTTGGCCAGACCTTGTCCCAGAGCCCACTTGTCCTCGTACACTCCATCCACCGATGCGACGACGATGTGGCAGATGCACATACCAATCGCCCCGACGATCAAGAATGTCTTCCGGCCAAAGTTGTCGAGGAAAAACACGGATGGCAGCGTGAAGATAATTTGCAGGATCCCGGTTACACCAGTGGCCAGCAGGTTGGTGGTGACTGAGCTGAAGCCGAAGCTTGCGAAGATCTGTGGTGCATAGTACCTGGCACAAATTAGACAAACGCTCAAGGACTCTATGGAATATACTCACAAGACGGCATTGATACCTGTGAACTGTTGGAAGCTGACGCTAAGAGTTAGCATGGGTGCGGAAACCTGAGCGAGAGGAGGGACGTACATCATAATCCAACATCCAATGCTCAACCGCTTGAACATATTTGGTGCGAATAGTGCTTTCCACGGAGCTAGTACGCCACCGCTTCCCTTCATTTCAGCCTCGGTCTCTTCATCGAACAGAACGGTCGCCTTGATCTCGAGGAATTCGGCCACCAGGAGAGGGTCGGAGGGATCAAGCCTTCTCAACCGGGACAGGGCGGCCACGCAGTCATCTTCGCGATGCTTCATCATCAGCCAGCGCGGGGAAAACGGCAGAAAGAACATCCCAAAGAAGAGGATCCATGCCGGGATCAGCTGAAGAGCCAACGGCACCCGCCACGAAACCGTCTTCTCTCCCAGACAAGTGTGGCCATGAGCAATGTAAGGTAGGAATGCGTTGGAGGACGAATAGGGGTTTGCAACTCCTTCAGGGTCACAGTGAGTGCCACCGACAAAGTGCATGCCATAGTCGAGCCAGAAACTGATGCATGTTCCGATGGTGATAGATAGTTGTTGGAGTGAAACAAGAGACCCTCTCAATTCAGGAGGTGCTATCTCAGCTTGATAGAGTGGAATCAGCATGGAGAAAGATCCTATACCCAGACCGCCTATTACTCTCCCAGCGAAGAGCATGGCTGGATTCTGTGCGCCAACCTGGAATCCCGTGCCGAGAGTGAAGATGATGACGGCGACCATCATGCTGTACTTTCGAGAGATCCGGTCGGACAGGTAGCCGCTGACTAACGCTCCAGCCCATGCGCCGAGTTCCAAGGCAGAGACGAGCCAGCCTTGAATGGTCGAGCCGGTCAAGGAAGGGAAGTGAGCCTGGAAATTCTCCATGACCAGAATTGGACCCATGACACCTTGATCGTACCCGTACATCATGCAGCCCAGTGAAGCAAAGGCACAGGTCATGAAGACATAGGGATTCTTGATCATGCCCACGATTCCATGAGGTTTGTTCGCATTGTTGCGGCCGACGATGGACTGGCTGACTTTGACTTCATTGACTCTGGCGCCGGCGAGGCTGCCGAAGCGAGGCATTGTGGGTGGCAAGCTTTTCAGGAACTGGGCGAGAAATTTTGAGAGGAGCTTGAGAGCTGTCCAGCTGCAGGTTGCTAATTAAGAGAAGGGAAGAGAAAGACAAAGCGCCGTGCTCGGACCACTGCTCAGATCTTGAACTCCCCTGGGGTAGGAAGCAAGCTTTATCGATCTTCAAAACACGAACAACCAAAGTAATGCGATGGCAAGAACTGACTCCATGCAACCGCAACTCAACAGGCGCCCCCAGACCCCACAGATTCGGACCAGCTTTTCTCCTGATCATACCCTGAATCGCAACCACACCGAGCTGGTAGAAATCTGGGGGCTCCGGGATGCCTTTTGTGGTGCGGCTCTTTGCCATTCGCATCGAAAGAAGCATGCCAATTTGCCCATGTGCCCGGGAATCCGCGAGATCAATACCCTTCTGGGTCAGGAAATGGGTTGCTGTCTGGGGCTTGAAAGCGACAGAATAGTCATGATTGGCGAGTACATGACTCTTTCGACAGCAACAAGCCGTGCAGAGTAGCATCCACGCGACAACGCGCGGCCCTGAACCTAGCCTCGTCGAAATCCTGCATCGAAACCCGGCTATACGGCAAACTTGGATGTGAGGATCGCAGTCCATGGTGGCCAATCACTCCAGGAAATCAACTCTGAACAGCGAATAACTTGTGCGGGCCCGTTTGATTGAGAAGTCCATTGCACCTCCCTCCATGGAGTAAAGCTGGAAAACATCAGTGTCTTCCACCTGGTTCGAATGGATGTCTGGAGCTGGCGTGGAGCCTCTCTGCAATCTTGTGCATCATGGGGAGGGGTAGCTACCTACTTCGCTAACAGCAGATCGAAAGCATTAACTATGCAATTATGCACACATATGCACAAGTCTCCTGAAGACCCCCGACACAGCCAGCTCTGCCACATGTCATGTTCGAACACTGAGGTTCTGTTTAGGTTGCTACCAAGCCAAGATAGCACCAGGAGTGCGATATCATCATTTCCCCCGCATACCCAAAGCCATGGGTTCTCCAGGCTGTGAATACGAGGCCAAGAAGTCTTGGTTTGAGGAGATGCACACAGACGAGATCTCGGAACGTTTCCTGACAAACGGCACGTTCGGAATTGCGGCACAGGGGTGGAGATTAGCAGGCGGCAGCACATTCAAGGGCAAGGATAATCTGGCAATAACCAGCAAGGCACATCCCCCCGCTAGACTGCTGCTACCTTGGGGACCTATCCTTACCTCTTTGAATATCCGGGGGCATTTACTGGCTTGTAAATCGAAGCAGAAACGAAGCAGCATACAACATCTAGGTGGGTATCATCCCAGCACAGCACCGTGACTAGTCTCCAACGCCCTCTCCCTGTCTCTTAAATGTGGAAAAGTAAAGTACCCGTGGATTATGTTACGTTGATGAGGTAGTGACTACAAGGTTGTTACTAAGTCTCTTCCCCCCCTTTTCGTCTCTCTCCCAAACTCCGCGAAAGGCTTTGGTGGGCTGTTTAGCGCCTTTCTACGCTGCAACTTCAACTAACCTCGTACTCGTACTTGGGAGTAGATGAGGCCTTCTAGGCCTTCTCGGGTGGTCTGCTACCCTATCCACCAGTTCCCACTCGTTCGGGGCCGAGGCAAACCTGCATGGGAGCTGACCGGGATAATTGACTTTTGTCCCCGTCCGAATCGTTCCGCTACTCAGCTTGTCACAATGTGGGTTTCAGGTCTGGATCTCACCCATGTTTTATCCAGGCTATCAGCCTATAGTGCACCCCATGGGGCAATTTCAATCCAGCGATATGGCCGTACTCGACGTTGACAGGACATTTACAAAGGGCTCGAATCTAGAGTAGGTTTGTGGCTGGCTGGCTGCCGGTGCACGCCAACGTCGACCGAACGAGCCTCCGAGGATGGAAGGCTACAAGGAGATAACGTCGGCAATCGAGGGCCGACTCTTCCTCTCGACGCAAAAAGCGCACGAAGCGCAGGAGGGCAACGAGGCGTATTTCCAGACACGCCCCGTGTCCTTGCCAACGGCGGACTCTTGGTTGTCGCCGCTTGCCAACCCGATCAATTTCTCGGCCAAGGGCAAGACCGACGACACCAAGACCGTGCGGAAGGGAGTTGGTGGTACCGGGGGGAGCTCTCGACGTCCTCCGTACCTAAAGACATCGGGTCAAAATCTGCCCAAGCATACCGACCCGAGTTTGGAACCCGTCGAGATCACCCGGAACGATGCATTCAGCGTGGCCTTCGATCTTGCCGAGCCGGTATTGTTTTTGGAAGGATTTGACTTCCCACACAACCTAGAGCACACATCCGCGGTGCTGAGAGGGGTGATGCGGTTGAGGGTCGTGCAGGAGACGACACTGGGTAAACTCTCGCTCGACTTTCAGGGAGTCAGTCGGACCATATGGCCGGAGTCGTGGAGAGTGAGACGGCTGAAAAAGGTATTGGACGAAAGTGTCGTCGACCACACGTGGGACTTTCTCGACAAGGAGAGAGACCCCGCAAAGGCGGCGCGCGTATTCAGTCCCGGCGTGTACAACTACAACTTCGAGCTTCCGCTGGCATCTTCGTTCCCGGAGACAATTGACCTGCCCATGGGCAAGGTGTTTTACCACCTCACGGCCACTGCGGTAGAGTCTGGCCGCCCATCCGTCTCGGCGACCTTCAAGCAGCCTGTCACGCTGGTGCGCATTCCATGTGTATGTTCACTCGAAATGACCGAACCGTACCAAGTCCACGGCCTCCTCCACGGCCTCGGGTACGGCTTCTCCCTCGCGGCCAAATCCTGTCCGGTGGGCGGACAACTACCCATGAAGATGAAGATCTCGACCCAGCCAGACCGTTTCTGGCAGCAAATCACCGTAGCCATGGTCGAGGAAGTGCAGTATCAGACCCGCACGGGGATGGCGCACCGAGAACAGTCGCGGTCCAAGGCCGTCCTGTACACGAAGCGGGTCAAGCGCGATCCTCTGCACCAGCGCGCATTCCGCCGCATCAGCGCCGTGGGTGAGAATATGGCGGTTTCTCACGCCAACGGCACGGTCATCGAGAAAGACACGCCGCGGCGAAGTCGATCCATGTCGGTCCACGAAGACAGCGAGGGCAATTTCCTCTATGAGACGGCCATGCTGCAAATGCCGTCATGCTCACGCATCCACGCGGACACGGCGTACAGGTGTCTCTACGTCCGCCATTCGCTGCTGGTAAGCAACCATCTATCAAAATCTGCCGATTCCTTAGTCCCTGAGTATCGACTAACGCAGTGCATTCATTTATAGATCACCATCTCGGCCTTTGTAGAAGTGAGCGAGAGCAGCCGCAAACACTTCGAGATTCGGGTCCGGATACCCATCCAGATCCTGACCTGCAGGTGGCTCGACGGGAGCGCCACGCTGCCCAAGTACTCGGAAGACCCTGAGGAGCTTTCGCTCGAAGGGTCGCCGAGTCTGTGTCGCTGTATCAGCGGGTCGCCAGGGCCGATCCTGGGAAGAAGGAGTAACCTCGACGAGAGGACGACGGCTGATCGAGAGGACTAGACTATCGATAGAGATACATGGAGTTCTTGTCGGTGTGGCTGCCAAAATGGCACGGTACGTTTTGGGTATATATGTATGTATGTATGATGTATATATGATGTACTTTGTATTTGAGCAGTGATTTCTATTGCGAAGGAACAGTATAGAGTATTCCGAGCATGGACGTTCTAAACGTTAGTGGCCGTGGCTGTAGAAAGCCAGTGATCAGGATCAAAAAGGACTCGAGTGAAATCTATATATAGACCATTTGCTTTCTCGATACATTCAGCGTACGTGATTGGCTGACTACGGGTACAGTCATGTGACCGTAACAGTAAAATCCACGTGACTGCAACAAGATAAGAGTCATGTGACTGTAACATGAATTGGTCTCCCCTCTTCCCCCTCGTCCTCTACGTCCTCCAGGCCATCTATTTCTAGGTACTGTACTCGGGAGTTGTTGAGCTCACTAACACGACAAGTCGCCCGCCTGAAGAAGGCAAGAGAGGCAAGTGGCGAGAGGTAAAGGGGTATTTCTACCCTACATAGGCACGACTGACTAAAGTCTTCGAATGATACGCCAATTACGACGAGATGAAGATGATCACGACGACGATACTTATGACAGGGAGAGATGAATCGAACCCTATAAGATTAAAATAAACTATCCAACTTTCTCAGAAACACACCCTCTCTCTGTCCTTATCTCCCTCTCTCTGTGTGAGTGTGATGTGTGTGACCTAATAATCATAAAACACCAGCGTCCTGACCTCGATGCTCTCCCTCGGCGGCGCATTCTCGTACTCCGGGTCGACAAACGCCGTGTGTGGGATCCGCCGCGCCCGCCCGTCGTCCAGCGAGTCGTAGCACTTGATCAGCAGCGGCTCGTTGGGCTGTTGGGCGTACTTGAAGAACCACTGATGCTTAGGGTTCGGGCGGACCGCGTACGTCTCGCCTTCGCGGTCCGGGTAGATGAGTTTCGCGGGGATGAGGTCGGACTCGGGCACGGAGTGGGCGGCGGCCAGGGTGAGCGGGTCGCGGAGGATGGGTTTGATGGGGCGCCAGACCTGTTTTTCACCAAGGGGGATTAGATACCTAGGTCACGAGAAGAGGGGCCGTGGTAAGTTGTGTTGTGGTACTGACATTGATGATCTGGAACCGCTTCTTGAGCAGCTCCTCCGCCTCATCAGGGAGATGGTACCGCACCCGGTTCTCCGACGCCGTGTATGACTGGTCGATATGCACGCGGCGCGCAGGCCCGCGACGCTGGCCGCCAACGTCACGGACGTCCGACGTCGCGCGACGGATCGTGTGGTCGAAGATCAAGACGCGAGAAGCTCCCGTGCTGTTCGAACATGGTTAGTATATATTTTGCCCTCCTCCTTCTGGCCGATCAAGACACACAACACACGAAGAAGGGGAACGTAAAGCAACTTACGCATCTTTCAACAACTGCTCAATTTCCGGGTAATATTCCGCCTTGATCTTGTCGGCGTCGACAAAATCCTTCTCCGCGCTCTCATGCTTCAGGTACTGAAACCCATGGCTATCGAGGGTATATTTGTCCTCGTCGCCAGCGATGTCGTGGATGACAACGTTCTGGGTGACGTGGGGGCGTAGATACGAATCGGGTTTTCTGTTACACCCCCCCAAGGATTTAGAATCAAGGATCTTTTTTTTCTATTTCTGGTCCACTACTCTGATGGGAGGAAACATACCCGACATATGAAGGAGCAGGGAGAGACCCATCGCCGGGGTCCTTGTAGTAGTACACCTCGGCGGCGACATCGCGTTTCGCGGGCTTGTTGGTCTGAACAAGAGGTTCAACGACTTGCCCAACAGTATTGCCAGGGGCGTGTTGGACTGCTGCTGTGGCCATATTCGAGACTCTTTTGTTACTGGAAAATGTCACACAGGGGAAATTCGAGCTTAGGTGTCTAAATAGGCTAGATACCAGACAACGAACGACAAGAGGCAGGACTATCAATGGTATAAGTAATATCTATCTATCCCAGGCCCTTGACATCTGGCTCGGCATTGACCATCCGCATCACAGGCCAATGCCCGTCAATTTGTCATCTGTGTCGCTCCTCAAGCACGCAATACATGCAAAAAGCACGCCAGTCGTTAATGTTCTCCAATGCCGTCTTTTGCAATAATAATTGATCTATTGATTCACATGAGCGTGATGTTGGCCATTCTTGAATGGATACTGGATACTTGCTAGCGTAGAGCCACAGAACTTGGCCTTGTTTGGTAACTAATTACATGTGGGCTATATGGGGGTGAGGGAGTGTCCACAGTGATCGAACAGTCCAGCCATACCTCGTACGACGGTAGAAACGCGTATGGCGATACCGTCACAGGCGTTTGGGACCCGGTCAATGGCTTTGCACTGAATGGTGTAATCAGATATTATCTTCTTTAATACCTAGGTTCCCGCTGAGGAAAAGAGCGTATTACATATATGTGTATTTGTAATGATGTAGGTATCCCTGGGCTCCCTAGCTTGTCTAGCTGTCTGATTGGTTCATTGGTTGATTGATTGGGTATTGCGAGCTTCTGTACCGAGTACAGCTTCGGTAAAAACCTCGCACTTCATCTGCCTCCCTGCAGAGGGTGACCGTACTCACCGCGACAGCAACAAGCACGTAGGTGTCTCAAATTACCATTTGAGCTGCGTCATTCGTGTCTTTCCTCGATCCATTCTTCAGCGTGGTCCTGCGTAGACTGTATCAGTTAAAATTTCTCGTTGAACGGCCGCAAGTCAATCTCCTGCGTCCACGCCGATTTGTGCTGCGTATGCAGACTCCAGTAGCTCTCGGCGATCTTGAACACAGATTAGCATCCAGTTTTGACAGCACATGTTAAGGAGACTTGCAGCATAGGGACTCAATTTGCCATCTGGCGCAGCATCGTTGCGATCAGCATGCTCTGCGTCGGGGACGTCAATGCCGCCGTCGATGATGGCGTGTGCGACGTGAACTCCCGCAGGACCAAACTCCCTGGCGAGGGATTGTGTCAAGATGCGCGCCCCGGATTTCCCTGCCGCGATCACAGACCACAGCTTGGAGCCTCTAATAGATGCGGTCGCTCCGGTGACGATCAGGGTCGGCGGCAATGGGGAACGATCCACAGACTGGAGAAGCAGCGGCACTACGCCCTGAGCAAAGTTGAAGAGACCACCGCTAGAGCGCACCGAGCCGTTAGATACAGTCCTAGCTTGACATCATGGGGAGACACATAATTACATGTTACCGGTGAGACTAGTGTCCAGATCCGCCCGTGTCAGCTCGAGGAACGGTTTACGGCTTTGTCGCAGGTTGGGGCGGACGTTATAAATCGCGGCGACAAGGTGCAAATCCGCAAAGTCCTTCTTGATGGTTTCGAGTGCCGAAGCAAAGGAAGCCGGGTCCGTCACATCGGCGGAGATGCCGATTGCTTTTCCGCCATTCTTGTTGATCTGCGCAACGACATCCTTGTAGCTGTCTGGCTGACGCGACAGCAGGACCACTGGATACGCCTCGGCGAAGCGCAGAGCGACTGACCTCCCAGTCGCTGGGCCAATGCCTGCTACAATAGCATAGAACTTGTCGGATACCATTTTTGTAGATGTGATTTCTTTCTCTTCTTTGAATTCCTGTTTCCCGATCAGAGCGAAGGATGCAGCGAAGGACGCCAGACAATCAATGCTAACAAACGAGGTGTTTTAGATGATGAGAAAGTATATGCTTTTGCAGTGTCGTCGAATTACTAATGTATCTCGATGGTTTGTTACTGTCCCGAAATTGCGTGACCGGTATTCAGGATTGTGCGGAGGCCGAGGGGCAGCGAGGGGTACATGACTGGCCTAGACAGGTGCTCCTTGTCGCGAGAGTTTGTTAGGATTAGTGAACAAGCGTCGTGAATAGCATAGGCGCGACTGTTGGTTTCAAGTGGGAGCCAGGCTCGAAGCAGAGGATTACATGTTGGGAATCCATCGGTGTTGATGGCTGATACTTCCAATGATGAATGGACGTGTACGAGTACCAAGAGGTACATATTGCGGAGTAGAGACAAGATGAATGTCGAATAGAAGCACCAATGATATTCCGCCATGTCACATTTGCAAACAAGGGGTAATATTCGAGGAGGGGAATGCGTCTCGTTTATCACGAACACCATAGTTGCTGTGGTTTTGACAAAGGTCCTTAGTGGCTGGGTGGATTGTCGTAGGTGCCGAATTATTTCAAATGACTGAGTGATTTAAGTTCCACCCCAGCCCAAAACTCCGCGCTTGTTAAGCTTATTTAGTACGCGTTCTTATAGTCAAATTGCACGTCACAAACACGTGAAGCACGTCATTTGAAACCGGCGTCAACACAAGCTCCCTATTTGTTTCTCTCTTTCCTTTGTCCTGCTTACCCGTCAACAGAGGACATCTCCCTCAGTGGCAGAGCCTCATTATGCGATGCACTTCGGACCTGAGCAAGACACGCCGACACTCGAGATTCCGTACGATGGACTTCGATTTCTTTCAGCCTGCCTGTCAAGCGTCGTGTATGTGATTGACACGGAGAGGGTTCTCAAAACCTACCACGACACCGACAACAACGAGGACATCGTTGAGCGTCGAGCGTACGCCCGTCTCGGCGAACACCCGAACATCGCACGATTCCTAGGCTCTACTTCAACAGGGGATATTGTTCTTGAACGGGGACGTGTTCTCCGAGAAGTGCTTCGTCAGCCAAACGGAGATGTTTCGATCCGGAGAAAGGTCCAGTGGCTGAAGGACTACGCGCACGGACTACAACACTGCCACTCCAAAGGGATTGTGCATGCCGATGTTGGCTGTCACAATGCCATCCTGAACCCCCATGGTCGGGTACAGCTGATCGACTTTGCCGGCTGCAGCATTGACGGCGCAGAAGCCAGTTACTGCTACGAGTGGTTCTCATACCGCCGATCCGGCCCCGTATCTATCGCTAGCGTTCAAACCGACATCTTCGCCCTTGGATGTATGATTTTTGAAGTGGTGACGGGCAGGCCTCCCTTCCAAGACGAGCTTGAAACGTCTCCGACTCGAACGCACATCGTCGAAGAGCGGTACATGAACGATCAGTTTCCTGATCTCCAGAACCTTCCCGCTCCGCTACGTGAGGTGACAAGGGCATGCTGGCATGATACGGTTCATTCAATGGAAGATGTAGCGAGAATGCTCGAAGCGCTTGACGGACAGGGCTGCTGTGCAAAGTTGAGAGCTTGGATCAGTAGGTGGAAAGCTAGAATCATGTCACCATGTGGATCAAAACCTTGACCCGATAGACACGCAAGAAAGCTACGGAATGCTGGCTTCTATGCGCGACTGGGAAAACAACAACTGAGGTTCCCTCTGATAGACTGGGCGTGGCTGATGAAATGTGGCTCGGCGAAATGTGACACTGGTTTCAGCCTCACAACAACGTTAAAACCGGCGGTGGGATCTTCAATCTTCCAAAAGAATGTGCGCCTTTGTCGACTTTCTTATCGCAGAGTTGAGTCCACGAGATGTGACGACATGAGAATGCTCGAACAGCAGAAACGCAGCGCAATGAAACCGCATATGCCCGACAAAGCCTCGCTTGAGGCTGACAAGATGGAATTACTGGCAGTAGGGACCAGCGCAGCGGTCTACGCGCTCAATGACACCCGCGTGCTCAAAAGGTACCCGTCGGCAAACGAAGCATTTCAAAGAGAAACACTCGTTTACGAGCGCCTTGGCCAGCATGACGATATCGCACGACTTTTCGGAACCACCACAACCGGCATCGTGCTCAAGCGAGGAGAATTTCTGCGCAAAGTGCTACAGAGTCGAATACCGGGCGACCACGACGCGGGGAACTTGAGCTGGGCGATCCAAGCGGCCGAAGGCCTCCTTCTCATGCACTCGAGAAACGTGGTTGATGCTGATGTCGGACCGCACAATCTGATCCTGGTGGACTCGACGTGGATCAAGTGGATCGACTTTGAGGGCAGCGGAATCGATGATCAACCAGCGAGAGCTTCTTACGACATCCATTACTGGCGTCCAACGGAAGGAGATGCGTCGTTCACCACAGACGTCTTTGCCTTTGGATGCCTTCTCCTCGAGATTGAGTAGGGAAGTCCTCCGTACGCTGGCACTTTCGACCATCTCCCTCTGCACGAACCGATGGCAAACATTGAGAGTTTATATGCAGAAAGGCAATACCCGGATGTCTCAGGTCTCTTTTTCAAACAAGTCATTCTGGCTTGTCGGAATCTTCGAGTTAGAGACATGGCCGAAGTCTTGGCTGCCTTGCGCGGACTGGCAATACAGCCTTCGCAGTGAAATCTGATGCATTCCGAGAGTCAAGACGCTTAGTCGTGAGTGTAGGGGGGAAGTTCATCACCTTGATTCATCATCGACGACAACGAAATCCTCCCGGGCTCTTTTCCTAGTTTAGAATCCGATGATGCCATTGTCCATTGTCTCTGCTACGACTCTTTCCATGAACCACTCACCATATCAAGGTTTTCCTGCTGGACAGACACCACCTCTAGCTCCATTCGGTCAGACTCATGGGCTACTACTGCTCAATCAATCTCCACGTCCTTCTCAACCCTCTCGAGTCATAGTTATGTGCCACTATGACGCTGTCCAGGCCACGCCTTGTGTCTATCAGAGTGGCCAATCAAGGAGGAGCGTGACCAGAAGAGGAAAGTGACTCCGGCGGACTCCAAATCCAGACGAGGCTGAATCATCGTGGCAATTCTTTCCCGACTTCCCCTCCTCAGACAACAAACGTCCTAAATCAACTGCAGAACCTCGCAGAACAGAGCGTCTGAGTTTGGTCCTAGTTATACGGCGTGGCTGCTCCTCGTATCTCGCTGATGGCTGAGATAGCCATACAACGGACCCCAGACGTTCTCAGTGCGGGGCGTCACAATATCAAAACAGTCGCCAACAAGAAGCGTACCAGAAGTCACACGTTTGGCGGATGTAAAACCTGTCGCAGACGTCACATCAAATGTGACAAGGTGCGGCCTACATGTCTCACCTGTAGGGCTGTTGGCGCGGCCTGCGAAGGGTTCAGCCAGGACCTCAAATGGGTTGACAGTCGGAGCCGAGCCACTAACAACGAGGGCCGCGCGGAGTCGGCAGGCCAGTCAGTGAGACGTCATCTCTATACAGGTATTTTTCTCATGGGTGTGTCTCAGCCGAGCTGACATGGCATCTTCAGAAGCAACTCGAGAGCTGATGACCAAAGCTTTGAGTTCGGACTTTGCTCATAAGCCTGTTGAGGAGTCTCTCTCAGAACTTGACGGCAGGTGTCGAGATGGAGCACCAGGCTGTGCCGATGGCCTCGTTGTGGGCCCTTTTGGAGTCTTCAGCCTCGATACCACGCCACCACAGCCTCCGAGAAGCTTAACTCGGAGTGAATCAGTTCAGACGATGTCCGGACCGCAAGCCACTGACGTTCAGTATCACGAAAATGACTTATCATCTATTGAGTCTGTCGGCAGATTAAGCGATATACACGACTTCTTGGACTGGCCTGATCTTTTTGACCTGGACGTCACAAATGCCGAGATATTCCCACAGTCATTCGACAGTGGTCTTCAGGATTTGTTTGCCACTCCTGATCCTGCCGCGCCGCGGATCGACCATGCCGATACTTTCGCGTTTGAAAGAGATGTCGACTGCGACGGCGCCGTGTCTCCCTCGATGAGGTCAGTATGTGGCGAGATAGGCGTGAAGCCTGACGACATTGACCCTGCAGAAGCACAACTACTTCTCACTCACTTCAAAGATCGGGTCATTCCTCAATTGCGGATCATGCCTGTCGAGAAGAAGTCGCCGTGGGAAGTCAACAACCTGAACGCTGCGGTTCTGACCCTGGCAAGACTGACTTACATGGTTTCGCAGCCGGTATCTCACTCTGCTCTGGCTAATTTACAGGCACTACTGGCTCTCTCCGCCAAGCATATGGTAGCTCATACAGATGAATCTTCTGGGGGATACTGGCAAAGTTTTGCAGCCAACATCATCAATAAGGCAAAGGAGAACCTGCAGTGTGCCTTGGGGAACGAGATCAAGGGCACCAATGCCGCCAAATACAAAGACCTACTCATGGCAATTCTAGCCATGGTGACATATGCCGTAAGTATCGCGACGGAAGTAGTACACAATTGCTAATATCCGCACAGACTCTGTACGATAATCAAGCAGACGCTCGGGCATATATGATCGACGCTGAATGGCTGCTTCGGCTTCGCGGACTCGCGAAACGGACCATTTCGCGGAAGGCAAGGGAATTGCACCATGTCTATACATGGACAAGGATTGTGGAAGAAAGTACTTTCGTGTTGCGGAACTACGAATCATCCAGGGCAAAAGTGGCTATTGGGACCGCAATGTCTGGAGAAGTACCGGCGATACAGCCTCACACAGGGCCCAATCCTCGATTGGATGACTTCCTCCGACTCGACACATCTATCCCGGACAGCGAGATTGAAGCCGGTGCAGAAAAGGACAATGAGACCGGACAGCATGATATCCACCTTGAAGACAGCCGAGAATTTCCGCCGAGCATGTACACCGAGCTCTATGGGATATCTGAGAAGTGGCTCAGTCTTGTGTCACAAACGACGAGACTAGCGAATTTCGTTGACAGTATGGAATTCTACAAGGACCGACCCGATATTGTGTTCACGGAAGCGATCGAAAGACGAAAGCAACGACTAGAAAACATGGTCTGTGCGTTTGCCACGAGGGACCTCCCGGATGCCGACGACCAGGCGCTCTCTACCACGCGGAGACCAAGCGTGGAACTAGCCCGCGAGTCGATGGTGCAGGCGCTGAATTCTGCTCTCGTGATCTTCTTCTACCGAAGAATCAGGAGGGTCAACCCATTGATTCTGCAAGAACATGTCAAGACCGTCATCCAGGCTTTGAAAACCTACGAAGCTACGTGCAGAGAGACTGGCGTCCGGGCAACCGGGTCCCCCTGGCCTGCTTTTATGGCCGGGTGTGAAGCACTGTACCCTTCGCAGAGGGAGTACCTGAAGGGTTGGTTCGAGAGAGCTTTTGCCGTCACAGGGTTTACAAGGCTCACCGTGGCGAAGGCCTGTATGGAGAAGGTATGGAGGCGTCGCGACCAGCCTGTCGGCGCATTTTGCACGGGAAGCCGCGATCAAACCCGAACGTGGGAGCGAATTTCCAAGGAACAGAACTTGCACTTGTTACTGTCATGAGTCATTACCACCGATTGGCCTTTGTCTTTACGATGAAACCCGGAAAGCCTTTTAAGAGGTGCTCATGAATTCACAACCTTCAGCCCGGCAGTTTGCAAAATCCTGGCCAACTCTGCTCGCGGCTCACCGGTGAGCAGTTTGAAGGGCTTCCTCGGTCCTCCAGTCGGATAGCCGAGCAATTCCATGGCTGTCTTGACGGCGGAGGGGTAATTGTACTCCTCGAGAAACTTGCAGACCGGGTAGATCTTGGACCACAACTCTCGACCCGCTTGCAAATCACTCTTCACAGCCAGCGTATCCCACAACTGGGCCGACAGCTCAGGGATGATATTCGACGCACCCCACACTGCACCCTTGCAGCCCGCGGCGAGGCTGTAGAATGTCAAGGTGTCCCACCCGTTGAAGGCGGTGATTTGGTCGCTGAGCGAAAAGACCAACTCGGTGAGAGCGGGAGCGTTGCCCGACGTGTCCTTCAGATATCTCACGCCTACTTTCGACAGACCGGCAATCTGCGTCGGGGTCAAACTGAGCCCGGACGCCGAGGGGATGTTGTAGTAGATAATGTCCAGGTTTGCGGCCTCGTGGATCTCGACCATGAGTTCTTGAAGCTGCTCGTAGTTGACAGGGTCGTAGAATGGCGGTACGACCATCACAGCCGCTGCTCCGGCCTCTTTGGCGTGGTTCGCCAGGTCAATGCAGTCCCTGGTCGTGGTGGCGCCGATGCCCGCCACCACGGGTACTCTACCAGCGGCGTATTCGATACAGAGCTCGAGATTCTGTTTCCTCTCGTCCATGCTCAGCGCCGTGAACTCGCCGGTGGTGCCGCCGGGGACGAGGCCATGGCATCCCGCGTTCACGATATGATCAATGTGCGCCTTGAGACGGGATGTGTCGATGGCGGAGCCGTCGTCTGTAAAGGGAGTGATCAATGCCACGAGAATTCCTGACAGGGAGGGGTTTGCGGAGCCCATTTCAGCGGTAGCTCTGGGTGATATGAGTACACGCAGTTTGCTGGATCAAAGGCTTTGGAAGAGGACTGCTGAGCAAACAGCTGGACCAAAAAAGACATCTTCCGGATATTTGTATTTCAGAACAGTTTCAAGAGGGAACGGTCTCTAGGGTTCTACGCCCGTTTGAATTGATATTTGCCAGACCTGTTTCGCCGCATTCGGCCTCCCCGAAAAAAAGGAAGACGGAAGGACGTTCCCGATATGAGCATCTGACTACTACCCGGACAGACAGACAGACAGACCGAACCTGATATTTTACATAATGCCAAACCGCATGGGCTCTTTCTCCCAGCAAAGATATGTAATTCTCCACTCACTTTCCCATTTCGTCATTTCCCTTTTCGGCTTCATGAATGAATTGGGCAAGAGTTTCCGGTGCGTAGTCGCACTTGAGCCGAATAGATCTCGAATGGAATAACAACGAGGAGAAGGACGTTAGGGGGTTCGGAGAATCCGGCAACAGAAACAATCAGACTGAGTTGTCGGTGCGTCTCTAGCGGAAGTATCTGCCCTCACCTTGGTTTATTTTATCTGTCGAGAGATCCCACCTAGACGTCAAAAATCCACCCCAGTGCAGAATCATTGGAAATACTTCAAAGTGATCTCTTTAAGGGAGGTATTCATAATCTTTTGCAGCACGCACTCCGACAAACAGAAATCTCCGAGGAAATGGCAAATCGACCTCGATCACTTGACGCCCATGTCTTCACCATAGAAGACCTCGAGGCGCTGGGTTCTACAAAGCTCCCGAAAACGTATCGAGGTAAGGTCGACGTCGGTTTTCTCGCTGCCAAAGGTTGACAGCTTCTATCAGAATACTACAACCAAGGCGCCATGGATATGATATCGTAAGTTTTTCGTTGCGCTACATACATGGCGTCTCAAGGCAATAGCTAGCAAGGGCTATCATTGTCTTGCTTGTGCAAAGAAGACCCTCCTGACAAAAAAAAAACATTACTGATCAAGACAGATTACGCGACAACATCGCCGCTTACGACCGGTATCGGATCCTGCCACGCGCGTTGCGGAACGTCCAATATGTTGATACTTCGACAACCCTCTTTGGCTGCAAGGTAAAGAGTCCAGACCACTATTGTCGTTTTTCATGTCCCGTGTTCACTGTTGGAATCTTTATCTCCCCTGCAAGAAATATCTGTGCATCAGTTCATGTTGCCAATCCAGCGGGCTTTACACTAGGTCACCTTCCCACTGGGTATCAGTCCCTCGGCCATGCACAAGCTCGCCCATCCCGAAGGGGAACTGGCAACGTCACGGGCGGCGGCGGACATGAACGTCAGCATGTGTTTGTCGTCGTACGCAACCACGTCGCTGGAGGAAGTGGCGGCCCAGGGGCGCGGCAACCCGTACATGATGCAGATTTGCGTGCTCAAGGACCGGGACAGGACCGCGCAGCTTTTAGAGAGGGCCGAAGGTCGGTATTAGCCATTCGCCATACTTCTCACTTCCTGCCTCAATTTCACCACCTCTTCCTCTCCCACCATGGAGATAGGCAATTACTAACTTGGACTGGAACAAAACCCCTTTCTCGCCCAACAGCGGCTGGCTACAAGGCCATCTTTCTTTCAGTCGACGTTCCCGTCCTGGGCAGGCGTCTCAACGAGTTCCGCAACAACTTCACATTACCCAACGACCTGAGTTTCCCCAATATCCTGTCTTCGGGCCACGACGAGTTTGCCAAGGAGGAAAGCTCGCAGGACTATGGTATGTGTGTGTGTATGTGTGTGTATTGCGCTCGAAATTGCGAGATTTCGCTGTTTTCTGGTTGCTAAAAAGTCGTCACACTTACTTTCTTTCCCGTGTAGATTCGAGTCTGGAATGGGCGGAAATCATCCCCTGGTTGAGAACGAAGACGAACATGCAAATCTGGTTAAAAGGCAGTAAGTCAGAGGACGCCCATAAAGAAATCACCTTTTGAGAGCAGTCGAGATAAACCCGCCAAGGGGGAAATACGAGGACAAGTGAGCTTACCGGTGGTGGTCCCAGTCCTCAACCCAGCCGATGTCTTACTTGCCATCGACCACGGCGTGGACGGTGTGCTGATCTCGAACCATGGTGGGCGCCAGCTCGACGGAGTCCCTGCCACCCTGGATTGCCTGAGGGAGTGTGCACGAGTCAGCCGGGGTCGAATCCAGATGGCTGTCGACGGGGGAATCCGTCGCGGTTCAGACGTGTTCAAAGCCATCGCACTCGGAGCGCAGCACTGTTTCGTCGGCAGGGTACCAATCTGGGGACTTGCTGTAAGATGCTCACTGCTGCTGCTGCTGCTACTGTTCATAACTCCCGTACGAGCTATACATATTAACGCGCGGTTTTTTTGCAGTACAACGGACAGCAGGGCGTCGAGCTGGGCTTGAAGCTTCTCTTGGACGAGTTCCGCACGACAATGGCGCTTGCAGGGTACTTGTTACTATATCCACACTCTCCTGCTACCTGGTCTTGGTCTTGGTGTCGGACCCGAAACAGCACTGACGCTAACTGTGGTCTCAATGCTGGTAGATGTCGCACGGTCGGTGAGATCACACCAGAGCACCTTACCTACCTTGAGCCGGGAGGTCGACTGCATAGGTTGTAGGACTTGGGGATATGTGAAGCAGTCAAAACGACAGATGCGCAATAGGGGTCTGGAGATACGAAGAGGCCAAGAGGACACCGTACAAGTGTCGCAAATGCTCAACCAGTGTTTCAGGTATTTGATATGTTGATCCAACGCGTGGATGAGCTACTTTCATACTGACCTTGTGATGTGAGTGTCAGGACGCTTTTGAGGGCCTACCAACTCCAGGGCTTTCCCATTCCAGTCTCATCCAGCAGAGCTGCCTCTAGGCCGCGAAGCTCCTGCTCTTTCATTTCCCGCCAGAGTTCGGGATCGTTGGGTGGTGGCAAAGAAGACTTCTCGAAATCGATAAATCTCGGCCCCTGGCTGGTGATCAAGATGTTGTACTTGAACACATAGCCACGGTCAATGTATTCCACGTATCGTACCACCCGTCGAGCTTGGATAGCTTGCGAATAAGGGCGTAATTTTCGGTTCTCGAGTCTTCGGGGAGGATGGTGTTGTCAGTTATGAAAACATAAATGACTCTCTTCCCGCTGTTGTCCTCGCGTAGAAGCCGATAGTAGCAGTCATCGGGACTCATATCCAGATCTAGCATTCTGTCGCGTATGCCTTGTTGGGGTGACTCGTTGGATGCCGGGGAGTTGGTTGGATTGAGTGGCGACGGAGCTTGTAACAATATCTGCTGGTGAGGCACGCCAGATTGAGTGATAGCTCTATAGACTTGCTCCCAGATAGTGGAGTCATATGGGTTGCTACTAAGAGCTGTGTTCAAGAGAGGCTTGATGCATTCGAAGTCAAAATCGCCCGAGGAGACTGCGGAAGTGAATTCAAGGAGATCATCTCGCAGGCACCCGCGGCCTGTTGCCGAAGGGAGGTGGCTTGATTTGTGGATGATCATTTAGCGAGGACAAGAATGGGAGTGTAAGACTGCGGAGGTCTAAGTCGACACTATCAGCAGAACATCTTTTAACAGTATCGGGGCTGTCTCACCTTCCTGGCCTAATTGACCAAGTGCATCTGACGAGCAAGACAGTTCTTTTCTTTCACAAGTGGCCTTGAAAGAGGCGTGGAGTTGACCCAGGGGCTCTTCAAGGGGTTTGGTCTGGACGATCGCTTGAGTGAATTCTGACTGCGTTTTGTCTGCCATGGCGACAGGCACTGCGCCGGTAGGGGATGCGACCCTTGTATTCCGCTATGCACCACCACCGCGATTTTAAGCTACTCAGCCACTTCCGCACATCTCGCCAGGCTGCGTCAAGGTCAATTTCTCAGTTGAGAACTTCAAGAGAGGATCTGAAGGGTGACAATTCGTTGACAAGTATTTATGCAGTGATGGTATCTGTTCAACAATGTCACTTGTTAAAGCGGCGGCAGTATATTCCAATATATGGATAAGCGTCATCGCATTTTCTGTTGTGACAACAACGATGCGACTGTCACTTTGTTGCACGAAAGTGTGATATCTTCAAGTTCTAACAAGTGCTGAAGCGTTATCACTGACCTTTCCGTTACTCATATGGGCTGCTCACAGCGTCTCTCTCTTGGACAGAAACGAATTTCCACTAGATCGAGAAATGGAGTGTCCAAACCTACCTTTGATCCAGCACCGTCGCCGTACACCACTGTGGGATCATCCACCCCTGTCCACTGGATACAAACCTACCCTTAATTCTCTCTTCTCTTGACCCGACGCGATCTGAGTCCGCTTCTTGTGCCTTCCCCTCGCTTGGACAAGCCAACGTCATCCCCGGGCTCGCAGGATATTGAGGAGTGGGTAATGATCATTGGACAAACCCCGATAACGAGGGTGAAATTTCGGGTTTCCTGCTGTCTGTTCGGCAGACACACGTATACCTGCCTGTGCACTGCCGTATCTACCTGTGTAGGTTAAGAATACACAAATAGAACAAACAGATAGGGTTCTCCTTTCTTCCTCGGATGTCCTCTCCCTTTTGTTTGTGTGGGTGTCGTCAAAGATATCAGTCCTTAGTCCCGCACCTTTTATCAAAGTCGAACTCCCTTGGGCTAACCGCCGCAGACAATGAAACGCCCATCTCTGTATATCTCACCAGAACTTATACGTCTAGTTATCCGTTTTCCTAACGTCTCGGGTTGTATCCGACGGCAGCCACAGGAAGATTGCGATAGGTACTCGCTTACCATCACCTTCAGACCGACGGATGATCAGGTCTCGCGGCACGGTTGGATCCCGGTTCTTCGCTCAGACAATAATATGTTCTCATCCAAGACTTCCCGTCCAAATGAGGGGACGGTCGATGGGCTCCATAAACACAATGTCGGTTGAATTGCTCCGAAGCACAAACAGGGACAGAGACACTTGGGGAACATTGCTTTCCGCCCCGGCGGTCTCCTACACCGAAGAAACCCGGCCTACTGGAGGAAACACCGCCTGCACATGGCAATTTGACGTATTCATCAAAGCCAGTCTTCGGCAATGCATCTGCCGTGGTACTGGAGGAGAGGCGGCGGCATTCGAGTAGCCTCAAAGCGTCAATTAGCCTAATAGCCATCTCTATACCTTGTACTTGGAGCAACTACAGTCAGTAGCTCTTTGCACTAAGGTTCCTTGTCCTCGAGCTATCCGGTTTACCCCATACTTCGTTCTATACAGAGTAGTCGGGTATAGATAGGGGATAGTGAGAATAGTCATCGGTTGCTGCGTTGTCGATCATCCCGTCTTTCCCCAACGTCATCATCCCACAATATAATATTAATGTTGTGCATATTCCCCTTCAGGTCAAACCCCATATTGTCGATGTCCATTCCTGCTCCCGTCGCCCTCCGCCCTCGAATCCCCCGCATTTGTTCCCCTCACAATTATATTGTTCTCCCCGGTTTTACTGGACTTTTGTCACTCTTGTTATCATCACCGTAGAGTAGCCCGTTCCCACACTGGTCCGATCCACATCGACAAGCTTCCCTGGCAAGCAGACAAGCTAATAGTGCAGATCATCACAACGGCTTTAGGCTCATGTCAAGCGGTTGTTTCTTGCTTGTTCGTTGGAGATGGGGATGGAGATGCGCAGTCGTCCGCCATCGGAGCTTCGCCGAACAAATGGTGAGGATTCGGTAGACCTTGGGTCGATGATGGACCTCGAGAGTGGTGTGTTAAGGGGTGAGCATAAAGAGAAGAGAATGGTACGGTGTGGCAAACTCCCCTCCTGTCTGATTGATCTTTGCTTTCGCTGTTCCGAAAAGAAGAAAACGTGACCCAGCTCTCCATTTCCTTGTGGGAAATCAAACAAACCACCCCTGGAGTGATTGAGTGGGCGAGCGAGCACTGCTCCTCCTCTAACTAAGGAACAACAATGCTGTTGAGACCTCTATTATCCGTGCTCGCCGCGGCCTCCACCGCTGTCGGGTACGTCGTCAACAACGGCACGGCATGCTACGTGTACCCAGAGTCCCTAACCCATTTCGGCGAACCCGTCGACGACACGCCCTCGATCCTGCAGGCCTTTGAGCTGTGCGGGACCAACGGGTCCGTGATCCTGACCGAGAACACGTTCCACATCAACCAGGTCATGAACACGACGGGCCTGGTCAACTGCGACGTCGAGTTGCACGGCGAGATGATCTGGAGCGACAACATCCCGTACTGGCTGGGCCATAGTTACTCGGTCGTGTACGCCAACCTGTCGACGGCGTGGTTTTTCGGTGGGGAGAATGTGACGTTCAAGGGGTTTGGGAAGGGTCGGTTCAACGGGAACGGTGAGTCGTGATGTCTTCCCTACATATCTGTTCGTATCTGCGAATATGTCAACTCCCCCTCCGATGCGCTTTTGCGGGGACAAAAGTCCATTACAAGGTTTCCTTCATTCCTGTGACCTGCACATCTCATAGATAAACGCCCCTAAATTCTAAATACTCACTACCTAAACTCCTACAGGCCAAGCATGGTACAACGAGAACCGCAACAACAGCAACCAACCGGGCCGCCCCATCGCCTTCACCATCCTCAACGCAAAGAACCTCTGGATGGACGGCGTGTCGTGGAGCCAGGCGCAGTTCTGGCACTCGTTCATCTCGCACTCGCAAAACGTCAGCATGTCCAATATCTACATGAACTCGACGAGCAACAACACGTGGTTCACGGTCAACACGGACGGGACCGACACGTGGAATTCCAGGGATGTGTTTTATACGAACTGGACTGTGTTGGGAGGTTTGTCTTTCCCATTCTTTCCCCCCTCCCTCCCTGTCTATCTGACCTCCGCGTCCAGGCGACGACTGCATCGCCATCAAGGGCAACAGCACCAACATCGTCTCCCGCAACATCACCTGCTACCGCACGCACGGCATGCCCATCGGCTCCGTCGGCCAACAGCCCGGCCACCCGGACTTCGTGCAGGACATTGTCTACGAGGACGTGCGCCTGATCAACTCGACCAACGGCGCGTGGATCAAGGCGTGGCAGGGCCGGTCGCAGGCCGTGACGAACAACGGCGGCAGCGGCGGCGGAGGCGGAGGCTTCATCAAGAACGTCACTTTTCGGAACTTTGTGCTCGAGAACGTCGGCCAGCCGATCAGTATCACGCAGTGTGTCTACGGGCATGATCCGAGCGTGTGTGACACGAGCGAGGTGAGTTCTTTACCCTCGTCTTTTTCCCTTCTCCTCAGTCCCTCCCAGGTGGATGAGGACACCTCTTCTTTGCCCCCTATACGGCCTTCCTCCGGTGTAGACTATCCTATCTACATACTGGAGTATCCGCGATCTGACACACTAAAACGAACGTATACGTATAGCTCCAAATCTCCGACGTGACCTGGCAAAACATCACGGGCACGTCGCACTTCGACGTCGCCTCCATCATCCACTGCTCGCCGCTCGTGCCGTGCCCGGGCCTGAAGTTCATCGACGTCAACATCACCACGGTCAACGCGTCCCTCGGCCGGCCCAGCTTGCCGCAGGTCAACCTGTGCGCGAACATGGTGGACCAGAACGTCACGACGGGCGACAACGCCACGGGCATCCCCTGCCACGGGTTCGCGCCCAACGACATGCCCAACGTGCTCTACAGGAACTGGCCCGAGCTGTTGCAGAGGGTCATACTCAGTGTCACCGTGCCCGAGGCGCAGCGGGACAATTGTCTGCATCCGGGGCCGGATCCCGCGGCGGCGGGGTGTGCTCCGCCTCCGTATTGATATCCATACAAAGATGAGATGCGCATGGCTTTGACGCAAAGAGAAGTACATACAAAGAGGAGAGAAGTGGGAACGTAACGATCTGACCAAGAACTGGCCTGATAGATACAAAATAGAAAGTGGCTTATTACAAAATACACATTCAGCTTGTCAACCCGAACCTTGTATGCTCCAAATACATTCCGAGTTATGTGAACGTTTATCTCCCATCACACACATACGATAAGCATATGGTATCCAGCAGAATGGTTATACCTCAATTTTAAAGCAAGCCCCCTGACCTGACCGAGAGGTATCAGACCCAGTGAGTCACAAGGATGCCGCGACCGGCCAGGGTACATTATGCTTCTTCATCAAAAGGGTCGTTGAGAATCGTCGTCACGTACCGAGTTCTGACCAGAAAGTTATTCATCTTGGGCCACGAATCAGAAACAGAACTACAGGAAACCCAGAGAAAACTTTGAACTTGCCTTGTTCTCTCTCACTCTTTTGCCCGAGACATGTGAACCACCAGAAGACCTATAAAGGGTTTGAAAGTTTCCCGTCAGCCATGAAAGACTGACAGGTATTGTCTCAGCTCAATTCTTGATTTCTCTCTCGTTGGGCACTCTGGTCGTACCAAGGTGATTGATTATTGCTTCATCGCCGTGCGAGAGAGAGAAGAGGAAAAGAAGTCAAGCAGAGCAAGTATGGAGTGGGAAGGTGCGATACTTGCAGCCTACATATATATGGATGGCAGGCTTGATCAAGGCGTTGGTATTAGCCCATGGCATCACTTCTCCGAGCAACTCGTCGGGAAGGAGCGCATATCCTTGTATAGCAAGACCGTGGGACAGTTCCAGTGACCACCCACGTTATCGAGCCAGTTTCTCGACAAGCGACGCCACTTTGACCAGCCTGGCTTCCATCTGACGTCGCCCAACCACCTGCAAGCCGATAGGAAAGCCCTCATACCGCTGGCGTTTCTCTTTTGTGTCTGTATCACAGTCAGGAATTGGTAGACAGAAGTCATAGAACCTATAGGAGCGAGAGTAAAGAGTTCTAAACACCCGCACTTACATATAGATTGTACCCTCTCATCCATCGGCCCGCGCGGAGGAGGCAAGTCGACGTCGTCTCTACTCAAGTCCACGGCGCCACACTGCACAATGGCAGCAGGATAGTCGAGGACGTTCCAGATGCGCGAAAAGTGGCTCCGGATCAGCGTGTCGTGCGGCCGCGGCAGACAGCTCTGGGGAGGGGTGAGGATGACATCGACGGGTCGACCGGAGCGGGTTTTTGTCGCCGTCAACGCCCAGTATTCAAGCCAGTCGGTCTGGAGTTGCAGTCTCTCTGCACTCAACGCGAAGAGGTCTGCCAACGTGCCTTCGTCGCAGGGGTAGAGGCCACCTTGTTGGACCGAGTTTGTGTATGGCTCGCCCGTGAGGTTTCGAGCCGCGTCCAGTGCCTTTTCTCTCCTATTAGCATCGCACCCACCTACACTGACGAATTGGGGAAATGTACCTTGCCCCCTTCGAGCTTGAAGTGGCCCACAGCGTTTTTGGCAAGTTCGGCACACTTGTAGAACTCCATGTCCACGACCTCATGGCCAGCTGCCCGCAGCTTGTCGCAGGTCTCCCTAAGAATTCGGAGGAGAGGCGGCAAAGGCGTAGTTTCGTGGTCTTCCCAGATGACACCAAACACGAGAGGTTGCTCCGGCAGCGGTTGCGGGTCCCAGGGCAAATAGCTACATCCGGGATCGTAAAGCCAAGGCTCTGCATCAGATACCGCGCGGAGCAGAAGCTCGCAATCTCTCATCGACACAGCCAGGACGCCGTTGACACATAGAATACCGACCGTTTCTGCCCCTTCGGTCAAATACCCCTGGAGCCTGTGGTATGGGAGGCGGCCGGAAGACGGTTTCACCGCATAGACGCCGTTGCAATAAGCTGGGATTCTGTGACAACGAGGTCAGGAGACCTTTCTCGTAAGAAACAACCGGGACAAATGACCTACCTCACCGAACCCCCAACATCAGTCCCAATGCCCATCAAGGCGCCCCGAATCCCCAGCAACGCACCTAGCCCACCCGAACTCCCCGCAGCCGTGAGATACTTTGACCGAGCATTCCGCGACTGCCCAAAGACAAAGTTCTCCGTGTCGGGCGTCATCATGGACTGCGGGACGTTGGTCTTGACGTACATGACCGCCCCGAGCGACAGAAGCATGTCGACGATGACCGAGTTGCGCGGGACGGGTTTGAATGCAAAGGCGGCCATGCCGATGGTCGAGTCCACGCCCGCCACGTTGATGCTGTCTTTCAGGGCGATCGGGAGGCCGTGGAGTGGGCCCAGGGGTCTTCCTGTGCGGTGGATGTAGTCGTCGAGGAAGGCGGCGCGGTCGAGTGCTTGGTCGAAGAAGATTTCCGTGAGGCAGTTCAGGGCTTGTTGCGCGATGGCGGCTCTCTGGTTTGTCACAAAAAGGCCGAGATGGTCAGCCAGATGGATATATACTCGAAGACTCGATATGCTTCATTCCACCCATGCTGGACCCGACATCGACCTCACTCAGTCACACGGCAAGGGACATCTTTCGAGTCTGACACCACACCTCATCTCACAATACCCACGGTTTCATGAATCGGTCTCTCCCATCCTCGTAGAAATACCTTTGCGATTGACTTACTTTACAAAACGCCCTCGTCACCTCGACACTCGTGTATTCCCTCGCATGGATCTTCTCCAACAAGCCCACGGAGTCGTACTCTTCAGTAATCTCCAGCTCTCGCGGCGACAGGATCGAGCACGACCGGGGGAGATGGAGCAGATTGTCGTCGTCTTCAGGAAGCGAGATTCTCCACTCTGGGGGAATCTTGCTGTCTCGCTCGGCCAGCTTGCGTTGGCTGATGTCGAGGTACGCGGGTTCTGGTGTTGTCGTTGGCATGATCATGGTGAATCTTTGAATATTGGATTGTGCTTGGTAGGCACAGATTGTTCCTCGATGGTAACCCGTGTGTAGAATTCAATCAATCAATCCACCAAAAATGTCTATCTCTTCATGATCGAGTCTATTCTATTTCTTGGCAATGTACATGATCCCATTCTAGAAAAGCCTGTATTAATTATTCGTTCTGCGTAACTCAAAATAGATAGATACAGGTACTCGGTAGTCAGTAGTCAGTATCGTGCATCTCCATGTCGTCCCTATCCAAGCCCAAGCCCAATCCCCAGTGGCCGCTTACCTAATCGTTCAGGGGCCATTGGCATTAGTGGCATTATGCATCACCATCACACATCGGAATTCCCGCCGTATTGTTATCGGCGGGAGCCGTTCTCCGTGACTGACTTTTCGGGACATGTCCACCAACCCCAGTGATCAGATGTGGGTTTGATGGATATGATATCCCGGGCAGACCATGGCAAAGCACAAAGTCAAGAGTTGGACATTGACTGTTGTACGAGGTATATTGCGCGCCAATCTGGGTCAAAGTCCGGGATACGCACTGTCAGCCTATCGACTATAGACGTTCCCAGTACCAACTACCAACGTCCGACTTCCAACTGTCTTGACGGGGTCTTTCTCTTCACACTCTCAGTAACCCTGACATACATCGGTCTACGCGACACGAGCAGCGGTAGTCGGTCGGTACATTCGACACCCTACACGCCTCGCAACACAAGCCTTGCAAGTCAGAATGGTGATCGAGGACAAGAAGTACTCGTTCGACCGCGACCTGGTCGGATATGGCCAACAGGGGCGAAATGCCGAGTGGCCAGGCGGAGCGCGCATCGCAGTCAGCATCTGTGTCAACTACGAGTAAGTAAGTCTGGTTTTTTTCCTTCGATCTTGGAGCGGATTCGTGTTTGGGCGACCGCAAAAAAAAAAAGGGGGGGGGGGGGGGGTTTCCGAGGAAGAGAATGGGCAGGGACCCGACATTTTCTGTCCATGGTGTTACAGTGGTTTTTCAACAGACACACTTGTGGCTTGTGTGTGTGTGTGTGTGGCCTTTTCTATCACAAAATGAAATGCGCCGGTCTCGACAAGAAAAAACTAAGGCATAGTAATTCCAGAGAAGGTGCCGAGTCGACAGTGTTGAATGGAGATGCTCAATCAGAGACCCTGAACTGGGAAAAAGGTATTTAACAACAAACCCCCTTTCCCGAAATCCCCAACTCGCCAGATTCCTGGATCCGATTGGATTGGAAAATATGTTTCTCTTCGGGAAGAGAACAAACTGAGTACAACCTGGAACTGACAAAACCTCGTCTGTCTCTGTCTCCCATCTATATAGCCGGTGGTCCTGCCTTCGTCAACGCGCGCCAACCCAACGTCGAGTCCGAGTACGCGTACGGGGCGCGCGCGGGGATCTGGCGCCTGCTGCGCATCTTCGCCGAGCACTCGCACCCCTTCACGCTGCTGGCCGTGGGCCAGGCGCTGGAGATGAACCCGAGTGTGGCCAAGGCGTGCGTCGGCGCGGGCCACGAGATCGCCGGCCACGGGTACCGCTGGATCGACTGTCGCGACATGTCACCGGAGGAAGAAAAGGACAAGGTAAAGCGCGCCATCAAAGCGATCCAGAGCACCGCCGGCGTGGACCCGGCGGGCTGGTACGTCGGCCGGATCAGCCCGAACAGCGTCGGCGTGGTCTGGGAGGCGTTTGCGGAGATGGGCCTGCAGTTGAAGTGGCAGAGCGACTTTTACGCCGACGACGTGCCCGTCTGGACGGATCTGCCTCCTGAGCTGGCGAAGGTGCAGGAAGAACTCGGCCGACAAGGAGGGGGCGACAAGCCGAAAGAAGGCCTCCTCCACGTCCCCTACTCGTACGACTGCAACGACATGAAATTCCACTTCGCGGCCGACGGGTTCGGCGGCGCCTCCTTCTACCAGTACCTCGTCGACGCGTTCGACATGCTCTACGAAGAGGGCGGCAAGATGATGTCGATCGGCATCCACGCGCGGATCGTCGGCAAGCCCGCCCGCGCCAGGCAGTTCCAGCGGTTTTTGAGCTATATCGCCTCCAAGCCGGACGTGTGGGTGTGTACAAGAGCAGAGATCGCGGAGCACTGGAGACGGCGGTTTCCGTATCAACCCGCGTCTGTGAAGGACTGATGTGTTGCCAAACAGAAAAAGGAAACCACTTGACAGTCATTCTTCTCGGTGGGATATTCTGGTTTGCTCTTATTCTGCTTCGGGCAGCTGGATATAGTTGCATATGAAAAGGACGGGTTATGTACACCTCCCCTTTAACCAAAAAAATCAAAAGTCCCCCCACATGGTCCAGCCGTCCGTGGGAAACGTGTCCATGGCTTGAATGATGCCATCGTACATCCACGTCTCATTGATCTGATAATCCTCCAGCACCGTCTCAAAGCTGTTCCATACACTGTCCTGAACTCTGTTTTCAGCGTATCGGTTGCCGCCGTTGTTGTTATTGTTGTCTCCGTTGTGTCCTAGAAGCGACTCCCCTCCTACAACCGCCGCATGCTGTCCCTGAGTGATTCTCCCAGAGATCCGGCTCGTCCGGCCAGATACCGATGTCGACGCCGAAAAAGGGCCGTGGTTCCCCTCGATCGTGGCCGAGACGAGACTTTCAAAGGCGTTGCGAACTTTACGAGCCGCAGGCCACCGTTCAGAGATGGCGTACAGCATGGTGCTGCAGGCGCGGATGTCGCTGCTAAAGTTTGCATCAAAGAGTGTCGGGTCAAGACAGAAGCAGTACACGAGCGCGAGGCCCGCGACAAAGTTGGCGTGCAGGGCGAGCAGCGAGAACGAGATATACGACTGGTTATTGTGGAGTCTTTTGTACATCTGACAAATTTGCCCAGCCGAGTAGGCGAACAGACGAAAGTCCGGATGTGATGGAGACAGTGACGGAAGTAAAGGCAGGAATAGAAGCACCAATGCCTTGTGGTACTGTATCATGTGGTAGTCGGTGGTGCTGTAAGGGAGCTTCCCTTCCTTTTCAGGATGGGAGACGTACGGGATGGCAGCCTTCCACTCCTCGAGGGCATTACGAAGTTTGGCGATCTTGTGCGGATTAATTTCGGACACCGGCTTATCCACCCGACATACGGTGTGGCAAATTTTGGATTCGAGCTGTTGGATCCTGATAATGTGGATAGCTGGTGTCAAGGAGGTGATGCCATGTGGATGGGCCAACGACTGAGCAATGGCGGCCGTGATCTCTTCCTCCGATTCGTACGAGTCTTCAATGTTTGCTGGCAAGGCGACGTCGATATCCCTGTCCGATACCGAGTATGGACGGCCGACAGTCCTGGCGACAGACCTTTCCAACATGTAGGCGGTCCAGAATATGCGCTTGCGCCGTTGGTCGACCAGGTTGGATAGATTGTTGGTTTTCCGATGCAGACCACAGTCGAGGCAATGTCGCATTGTTGTGCCTATCATCCACCTGCTAGAGTCAGTCACGAGTGGAGAGATAGAACGGGCGGTCTCCATACCATACACCCGGACCAGTGGGCGATCTCAACTGGTATATGGACAATAGAAGCATAGCCTCCAAGTTCTCCAGGCTTCGCACATCTGAGATTATGTCAATCTCTGTCAAGGCAGCGGCGTAGTGGGACTAGTGATGTTAGAATTGCTCGCTCAGGTTCCAGAGCCTCCTCGGGTGTACGAACCTCAGGTGACGGATAGGAATTGTCGTCGGCCAACTGCAGATACCTTGCCCCAATGGCATAAACCAGATGTAAAATTGCATAATCAAGTCGCCTAGACCGGGCCTGCTTTGACTGCGATTGATGAGCAGACATCAGATTTGCGCGATCTCTGTTCAGAGCATGAACCCTCATCTTGGACAAGAACGGGTGCTTGGGGTACACCTTGAGCAGATAAGTGCTGGTGAGTTCCTCTCCCATTTCGTCCGTGGGCATCTCGGCGAAAACAGCATTCTCGGACACCAGGGGCAGCCTCGAATCCTCAGAGGTAGCAAGACGCTCTGGCCGAGGACATAGCTCTCGTGAATTCGATCCCAGATTTGGCACATTCATTGCGGATTTGACGAGCTTAGCCAGCTGAAATCCACTGGATGTGCCCAGGTAAGAGTTTGGTGACAGCGCGACGAAGCCCACTCCCAGTTCCAGGCTCGGTTCCGAGTTCTCCTCTCTGTCATCATGGCCTCGCGGCTCGACAGACACCCTTGAGGATCTGGCAGCTGCTGTCTCGTTCATGTTTGCGAGATGGTCTGCTGCCAATTTGGGATCGACGGTGGTCAGTGATTGCTCGAGGTGAGCAATGTGGTTCTCCAGCGACCTCACATACTCTGACGGGTAGACTTGCTTCACGCCGTAGGAGCAAGGCTCGCCAGCGGAGAGGCAGTTGGAACAAGATGGAAATTCATTGTCGCAGCGTTGTTTGCGTCCTTTGCATCGCTGGCAAGCAACGGCGCTTCGTGCTCGTCGTTTGGCTGGTCGCTCTTGCACGTCATCATCTTGGGGACTGAAATGCTGTACTGCATGCATACTGTTTTCCTCTGTCACGCTCGGCAGGACCACTCCGATTGAAAACTAAGTTTGTTGCCGGTGACACCCCCGTGAGATCAAGGCCGGGTTCTTTGGTCTTCCTGCCAATCTTCTCGTAGCATTTCGCACACGACGAGGTTCACTCCTTACTCGTAGACATGATGTTCCTGGTGATCATACAGGAGTCGAAACACAGTTCTTACCCGCCGGACCAGGGGGTGAGAAGATACCAGGACCATCATGTGTGCCTGGCTTGATCAGTGCTTTCGACCAAGTCAGCCTCGGATGGCTAGAGATGCTCATCCGGCAGGTATCCCGAGATAATCACCCACCCTTATCGTTGGCGTCTTACCTGATTAGGACAGCACTGTCACGTGTCAGCCGTTCTCATCAAACCTTGATAAGAGCTTCATGACCTTTCTCAAGGTGGGAGAAACCAACAGTTATTATCGTTGATTCAACCCAGACCCCGGATATGAGAATCCGGACGGACGCTATGTATCGCTCGGGCAGCTGGTCCAGCACTACAGGAGAAGTCCGCCCTTCTCTAAAGCCAGTCGTAGAATCCCACGACTGACCAGTCGAATATCCGCCACAGCGTGTTCACGGCCATTGGCTCATTTCACACGCCCTTATCGCCTTCACTGTGAGGCTCCGACGACAAGCGTCAAAGTCCCGAGTAATGCTATTTCTAAGGGCTAATCAATATATAGCGGATGTGCCGAACACCCTGGCTTGCCTGGGTTGGTACTTGTGGTCTTACTCTATCAGCCGATATGTCGAGCACCGGGGACCAAGTACTAACCAACAATGACCATCGCGCATTTTTGTCGAAGATAAGAAAGACACTCATCTGTGTATGTTATCTCTGAACAGAACAAAAATGATGGTCTTGGGAGCAGCCCAGCCTTGCTAAACAGCCAATTCTGGGCCCGATGACTGAGCCATCGGATTTCCCGTCCCTGCTATATTCGACCTTGGCTCGTTGATATCAAAGGACCTCAAAGTCGAATAGATGTCGGGCCTTTGAATTCCAGCTATAACTATATCCCACGCGTCGCTCCATGCTGGCTCGTGGCGGCTCTGACAAGAACGTTGTCGATAACTCCCAAAGTGTCTGAGAGAAGACTCATTCTGGATAGCCTCTCCAAATATGACCATCAAATCTTTCCTACGCCGAGTTGATCAGCGGATCCAGACTCAGGACAGTAGGATCCAGAAAGGTGAGGGCGCGAGGAAATGGGGGAATGAAGATCTCGACCCGACGCCGTATGTTGTGCTCCTGACTCTGACGGCTCGTGTTGCTGATATACCATGCAGTGTCCAGCAAAGAACATGGCGACATTGGAATTACTTCATGTTCTTCTGGGCGGTGTCTTTCAACCCCAATCAATGGAACACGGGCTCAAGTCTGGTCAATCAGGGATTGGTGAGTTGTGCAGCCAATGGACCATTGAGTGTGAGTAGCTGACACAGAGACAGAAATGGTGGCAAGCCCTTCTCTCCATCGCGGTGGGAAACCTGATGTGTTCGATCGTCTTGGTCATACAATCTCGTGGACCCGCTGTCTACCACATTGGATATCCAGCCTTTGTGCGCGCCAGTGCCGGCATGTTTGGATCTCTGTGGTTCATCTTCCTCCGAGGCTGCGTCGCCATCATCTACTTTGCGACCCAGACATTCTACGCGGGAAAGCTGTTTGACGTGATGCTTCGGTGTGCGTTCGGCCACAACTGGCAGGACATTCCGAACCACCTCCCCGAAAGCGCCGGCATCACCACTCGAGGCCTCGCCGCATTCTTCCTCTACTGGGCCGTGCAGCTGCCCTTCATGCTGATCCACCCCCAACGCGCCAAGTGGCTCTACACCATCAAGAGCGTGATCGCCCCTCCTGTGCTGATTGCGGTTTTCGGGTACGTGGTGGGCAAGAACGGAGGTTTGACGGGCTCGTCGGAGATCACCAAGACCACCACGACCACGGCGCTCGGCTGGGCGTTCATGAACGGCATCAACTCTGTCAGCGGAAGCATCTCGCCCGAGATCATGTCCAATGCGGATCTTGCCAGGTACGCCAAAAAGCCCTCGGACGCCGCGTGGGCCCAGGCCGCGGGTATCTTCACCAGCAAGACGTTTGTCATCTTCATGGGCATCGCGTGCTCGAGCGCCTCGCTGAACCTTTGGGGCACTGCGTACTGGAACATGTGGGACCTCCTGGGCGCCATCTTGGACCACAACTGGAATGCTGGGGCGCGAACAGCCATCTTCCTCGTCTGTCTCATCCAGGCCCTCGCGGTCATGGCAACCAATCTGGCGTCAAACTGCTTGCCCGTCGGCGCTGACTTGACAGGCTTGTTCCCCAAATACTTCAAGTGAGTGTCTCTCGGGTCCGCCGTGAAGAATACATGCTAACCGCCCTCAACTTCTAGTATTCCGCGTGGCCAGGTCTTTTGCGCAGTCATCAGCCTTGCTGTGGTGCCCTGGAAACTGCAGGCGTCGGCACAGACCTTCCTGACCTTTTTGGGGTCGTACGTCGTCTTCATTGCCCCGGTCATCTCTGTCATGATGTAAGTCCTCCTTTTGCCCCCAACTTGCATCAGTCGGTCTCTTTCCTGTACTGACTTATTGCGTGTAGTGTCGACTACTGGGTCGTGCGCAAGGGCAACATTCACGTGCCGTCTCTATACGACGACAGCCCCGACAGCCCTTACTACTACTGGAAGGGGTTCAACCTCCGCATGTTTGCGGCATGGATTGCCGGCGTCGCCATCGTCATCCACGGGCTTGCCGGGTCGTACAACCCCCACTTCAACCAGGCCAGCAAGGACATGTACACGATGGGATTCATCCTCGCATCCTTGACGGGCGCCCTGGTGTATTACATCCTGGTCCGCATCTGGCCGATCAACCCGTACCCGGCGGATCGTGCCGGCATGCCCATGACGATGGAGTACCTCGGTCGGACAGACGGGTATTTTGAAGACGACGTCATCGATGGAGTCGGCAGCGAGCACCGGCAGGAGGTCTTTGACGAGATGATGCCATCCAAGGAGAAGGACGTTGCACACACCTTCACCACGTTGGCCTGAAGCATTCTTTTGCATTGGCGGGTTAGAGGATGTACAAGTGCGACCGGGGTGCCGACAACGGCGAAGTGCACACTGTATACCAAACGTATCTGGTAGTATAGAGTTAACGACGGGGTGTTTGCAAATTTCAAAGACACGTTTGTGAATCATCTTTAATGGACGAAGATCGCCTTGACAGCACCATTATTTTGTCACGAACACGTGTTGTGCCTCTTTTACAACAACACGTAGTATCTGATCAGTCGGTTGGGACGAGACAAATCTCTCGGAGGTATGGGGCTGTAAGAGAGAAAATTGTACGAGGCACAGCTCGTCGATGAGCAGGGCGATGCACAGATCCAGGTAGCGTTTGTGGTTGTCACAGAGAGCGTGCCTCAGTCGGAGCTCGCTGTCCTCAACTGGATCTCTCGCCTCTGAGTTTGTGGTCTAGGAGCTTCAGTTCAATCCCGTCCCGCATGTATTCAAAGTCACAATGTCCAGACGAATAGACAACACCGCTTCCGGCTCGTTGGAGATTGTGATTTGTTCAATTTCCGTTCGCCTATTGACAAGTCGATCAAGTGTGGTTGATTGCCGAGTCCGTATCATCGCCGGCTAATGTTTGAGGCATCGGCATTCCCTAACGCCAGTCAAGGAAATTGCCGAAAGGATCCCTCTCGCGCACTGGCTTCTGCTCCTCCCCCGTTCTTATCTGCAGGTCTTAGCGTTGACTTTCGGCAGTGCCGACATCACGTCAACGCAGATACATTCTCAGAAGCTTGATTATCTGAGGAAAAGGGGTTCGGAACATGCGAAATTTCTCCTCGTCAGCGACGACCCCGAAGGCTCTGATCGTCCCTGTACGCGCGTTACGGATTTGCGACGAGGCCCCAATGGAGCTATCCCGAGAGTCCAGATAATTGTTGCAGTTGGTGCATCGGCGTTGCACGGACTTTTTTTGTAAATTCATGACAGAAAAGAACCACATCCCCATATCCACTTGATCGTTCGTGGATCACGATAAAATGCATCCATTGGCTCTGCCGCGCATGAATGCTGGATGTCAGTCAGACACGGCGACTTTGGGCCTTGCATTGGACGGATCGACGGATCTCTGTCGCTGCTGGAACCTGGGATTTCGACCGTTTCATTCGTTCTTAATCCAGCTTTGTACAGGTCGGTTACCTGCTCTTCATACCAAACAGCTGCCGTTGACATGAGCATGGATGGTGCATATATGCAAAGTCAGGTTGTGGTGTTGTGCTCGCCATTTGTATTTGTTCCTACCGTCCCCTTCTCGAGTCTTGCTATCCTCGGGGCTTTGTGCTAGGTGAAGGAGAACTCGATACTCGACTCAAAGTCCTCTTTGACGACCATGACCGAGTCTGCTTCTGGAAATGATTGTAACGAGCACCATGAGGCACAGACGGTCGCTCAAGGGATCAACCACGAGATCAAATCGGTCCCAGTCACCGTCACCAAGGATGGAACATCAGACAGCAGCGCGACAAAACCAGAGGCCAAACCGCAGATTGAACTCACAGATCAGACTCAAAGGTTGCCTTTCGCGAGGCTGATCATCGTCTACTTGTGTCTCGCCATGTGCTTCTTTGTCTCTTTCCTGGATGTTAACTCGACAACGACTGCACTACCAGCAATTGCTCGATCGTTGGGGATTTCTAGCACCATTACCTGGGTTGGTACATCATACCTTCTGGCCCAGTGTGCCTTTCAAGTCCTTTACGGCCGACTGGCGGATATCTTCGGACGGAAGCCTGTCTTGATCGGCTGCGTGCTCAGCCTGATCATCGGCGATATTCTGTGCGGATTCGCCAAGAATGGGCCCTGGCTCTACACCTGTCGAGCCATTGGAGGTATTGGCGGCGGAGGCATCAGCTCTCTGGTTCAGATCACGGTCAGTGACCTGGTGTCACTGAAGGAACGGGGCAAATATCAGGGCCTGTTGAGCGGAGCCATTGGGCTAGGTGCCGGTGCCGGTCCTTTTACGTCCGCAGCCCTGGTCCAAGGACATGACGGACGATGGCCTTGGGCCTTTTGGGTCCCTGCTATACTGGCATCATTGTGCATTCCACCACTGGTGATTCTGCTCCCACAAAAGCCGGTCGTGGGGAACTGGAAAGACAAGGTGCGCAAGGTGGACTGGATGGGCCTCTTGACTGCGGTGACTGGGATCTTGTTCGTTTTGGTATGGTCCTCCTTTTTGTCTCCCTTTCAACCTTCATCTTCCCAAGTTTCTTGGGGAGTGGAGTTGCTCGTTCGCTGACCTGAATCTCTCTAATCTTGCTCACAGATCCCTGTCAACTCTGGAGGAAGCGTATTTCCATGGCACAGTTCGCTTGTCATCGCGTTGTTGACAGTCGGATCGGTACTGACCGTCTCATTCTGCCTCGTCGAATGGAAGTTGGCGCGGCTGCCGATGATGCCGCTTCGTCTGTACTCATCGCTGTCACGCAGCACACTTTTCGCGCAGAACTTTCTCTTTGGGTTCGTGTGGCAGGCAGATCTATACTTCTTACCAATCTATTATCAAGATGTCCGAGGGTTTGCCCCGTTGAAATCCGCGTACCTTACCTTGCCTTTGCTTCTTGCCCAGAGCCTCGGCGGAGTTCTGTCGGCGCCGGCCATGACTTTTACCGCAAGGTGTGTACAATACTCCTACGAGTTCGTTTCTTTCCGAGTCGTGCATGTCTAACATGGGATCTCAGGTACATGCCGGTCCTGTGGTTAGGATTCGTTCTGTGGACAATCGGGGCAGGGTTGAAGCTTTTATTCTCCCGCACCACTGGAATTGGGGTATATGTGGTGGCTGCTCTGGTCGAGGGTGCGGGTGTTGGTTTCGTCTTTCAACCCTGTAAGTTGTGCATTTCGTACTTCGGCCCCCTTTCTTCACGCGTCGATGAGTTATGGCCGTTAATTGTTGGTTGGTGGCAGCTCTGGTGGCATTACAAGCTCTTTCAACCAGGCCAGATGTCGCCGTGACCACGTCCACGCGCAATTGGGTTCGGGCGTTAGGTTCGGCAGTTGGCGTGGCTGTGTCGACCGCGATTCAGTACAGCGTGACCATCAGTTCGTTGCCAGCCGATCTGCCCACAGATGTTAGCTCGGCAGTCAAAGCTGGGACATGGATGGTAGATGGCCCTACACCTGCCTGGGACAATGCAGTTCTGGTCGCCAAAATGAGGGGGATAAACCGAGTGTTCATCACCTTCTTACCTCTCATCGGCCTGTGCCTCTTGGGATGCTTGTGGATTCGCGACATTCCCCTGCGTGGAGACGACGACGAGGACAAGCAGACGAACCAAAAGCGGCTGATCTCGAGGTACAGCAAGTTGACCGAGATGATGCCGAGGAAGGCTGGTGCTGGTTGATTGTGCATAACTGCGTCGTTTGGTAATTGACTTTGTGCTCGGGTAGTGAAGGAGATTGAAATGTGGTTCGAGTTGTGGAAACAAAGATGATTATGCACTGGCTGACGAATTGATACATTATTACCCGACGTCGCTCTCCCTATACATATTCCCTGCGCCCATTGACTCGACTCCCTCCTCCTCCTCCTGCCTCCTCCCTCCCTC